TCCCAGATTGAAACGGAATATTTCAAACTGTCAGCATTACAATTCCATCAATCTTTATGAGTCTATTTTATATCTTATTTAAGCCATTAGAGGATAAATTAGGGGGTTGTAGTTTTTTTATGACATCAATTTTATGGATTTAATTGGGAATTGATGGCTTTTAATAATGGAGGTTTCTTTTTAAAAAGTATAAGCAAATTAATAACCTAGCCTAGTCAATGCTTGAAGTATTTTAACGAAAAAAACAAGTCATTGCCCGTTCAAGCATTTTCTTACCATAAATATGATTTTAAGTTATTGATTAGAATTTATCTATTAAATTCTTATTGTTTTAATATTGATCAAGGTAACTAAAATTATCGCTAAATTTGAGAGTATTATAAAGATTGCATTAAAAATTTATTGGATTTCCAAAGTTAATATAGATTGGTTAAGTAAATATTTTGAATTTTCCTTCAGTTTGAAATAATGGGTACATTAATTGTGATATTGTATTCTTAATGCTTTTTTCTAAAGGAATTACAGGTTTAAAATGCTTTGGTGTAAATTCTAAACCCTAAGAAGAGTTATAGATTGTCTTAATAAAATGATTGTGAATTGATTCTTTATGTTCTTTGATGGAAATTTAATTAACAATTCTTAGATAAAAAATTAATACAATCAATTACAACATGCTGTGATAAGTTTATTGCTTGATTAGTCATCATTAAATTTTGAATTTAATGTAATTTATATTAATAATTATTATTTCTCTTTTTTTAAAATTCTAAACTACCTTATAATTCAAATTAAATATTAGTTCATTGATTGAATCCTATCTTAATTATAAATTTATTGAGCTTAGATGTGTCATATAAGAATCTTATTTAGTTAATTAGATTAATAAGCATTCTTAATTTTTTTTACCCTTATAGGAGTCCAATTATTTTAATCCAAAAGAATAAGACTTTTGATTAAATATGTGATTGATAATTAAATAAATAAAAAATCTTCAAATTTTATTATATAACTGCAATTTTCTTATTTCTAGATTTTAGTAATAAATTATCATATTTAACTAATAAATGGAAAATCTGTTTATGAAAAGTTAAAACTTTGACTTTAATTTAGCAAAAAATAAAATTAATATAGAAAATGTCATCCCTTAATTGTTATCAACCATGGATTTCAAAACTTCTGATTTTAAATTAAATTAAGTCAGTCTCATAAAATTAAGAGGAGGAGGATGTGGGACATCTTAGCCAGAGAAAAATATTATGGAGTAGTTAGAAATTGATTAAAATTTAAAAATGTCATCTTAATTACCTCAAAACTTTCAAACAAATCTAAATGATTCATTAAACTTCATAGTAGAAGGTGCTAAGTAAATTGGAGATACAAATTAAAGAAATACAGTAATTATGAAAATTTAATGGTTTATTCATAATCGAGAACACTTGAATTATTTTAATATTGATAAAAGAGAAACAAGCAAAAATTATGAATTAATTCAAGGAAATTTTTTAAAATTATTAACAGTCCTTACAACACATTTAAGAAGCTCAGGATTTTTTTGTTAATAAATTCTATAAATTTGTAATGAATTATTAAGAATTCTTTATGCATTTTAATTAGACAATCCTAAAAGATTTTTTGATGATGATGTTAAATAAGAATACCTTCAATACTTATAAGACTTTAATATTTAATTAGATATAGAATAAAGTAATGTTTGGAAGACTGGAATTGAATTTGAGCTAATAATGATGAAAATAATGATAATGAATTCAAAAAGTAATTCGACTGAAGGAAAGGATAAATTATTAGATATTTTTAAGTAAGTTGCTATATCAATAGCATCATTCTCTCCTTCTGAAAACCTTTTTTAGAGTGTTGTAAATGGTTTTCAATATCTTATAAAAAAAGGGATGGAGAAAAAATTATATCCAATAGAAGTTTACTAAACTTATTATTTATTTTAATTAATTAAATGGTCTATTATCAGACAATTAAAGTCTAAGTAATCAGTTTATAAATAAATCGAATAATTGAAGAATGCTTTTCAAAAATATATTTTAGATTCTGAAAATTGGATTTTACATTTCAGTTGGATATAAATGATAACTGATATTATTGCTTATCGTCCAATAATCAATAAGTCTATTCTATTTAACAAACAAGAGCCAAGTAAGTAATTTATCCTTTGGAATTCCTTAATAGAAAATAATTTAATTAATATTGTTTCATACAATAAGAATGAAGCAATCATGAACCTATTTTAGGACTAAGAGAGGAAAATGTTAAGTTTTGAATTATCTAACTTTTTGGAAAATTATGGCAAAAAAAAATTTCTACTGTTTTCTCAATTTTTATTATAAGGAGATCTTATAAAAACGATTAATCATTGGGATTATTACAAAGAATTCTCTTTGAAAAAAAAAGAAAAAAAAAAGCATGAGGACTATGATATCATTTTAGCTAGTCATGAATTAGAAATATTACAAACATTAATTTTCAATTTTAAATCTTAAAAAGATACAATACTATCTAATTATTCCAGAATCTTATAACAATTTGAAACATTTTTTAAAGAGCCTTCTTAAATAATGATTGAAGTCATTAAAGATGATTAGTATGTATCTTTAGAGTAATTCTTAGAAGCCTATAAAAAATTAATTTTATTATCGAATTATATTTATTAGTTAGCTAAATTTGAAGTTGCTAAAATTAATATGCTTAAACCCTACTTAACTGAATTCTAGAATAATACTACTTTTAAGGATTCTGAGTAGTTAAAATTTCTCAAAAATTCATTATAAAGAATTGAAGATTTTAATAAAAATTAAATCAATTAATTGATCACTCAATTTTTAAATTACTTTTTAATTGCTATTAAATTTACCAGTTCAACTTATGAGTTAATTTAGTTTTTAGATACTAAGTAATCGACAGATTTAGTTAATATATTGGATTCTTTTTAAGTTAATTAATTTGAAAAACTTTATGTTAGTTTTGAAATCTAATTTGATTAATTTACTTTTGAATTAAATATGTTTAAGGATAGTTTTATCTAGTTAATAGAGAAGAAAGAAGCAAATTAAATAAAAACAATCTCAATACCCTCATACAATATATCTGAAATTATTGATTATATTAGTTAAGGTAAATGGATTAATACAATTTTAAAAAATCTGTTATTTTAGGAATATTTTAGTAAATTCTCTTTGTTTGAATCATAGCTTATAACTTTACAAGATGTGAAAGAAAATTATGTAAATTGCAAATTTTGCATTACAACATTGAAATTTTTAAAAAAATTCTTCTAATTACAAGATTAAGAAATAAGATCAATTTTCTCTTAAATAAATCAACAAAAAAGCAAATAAGAAATCAAATAAGAAAATTTAAGTGTTAAACAAGTATTTCTCTAAAATATTTTGGAATAATAAAGACAAAAAGTAGATGAGATAATAAACTAAATTAATGAAAAAGGTTTTAAAGTTGGCTGTAAAGCTTTAGTAGATTAAATATAATCTGATATTACACTGTATAAAGAAGAAATTTAGAAAATTTAGATAAATAAACAAAGTCAAGATATTTCATAATTCTTTTTAGAATCATAATTTGTTTTACTAACAGTGATAAACGAGCCTAATAAAGTATAAATTTTAAAAGAACTTCTTGCTAATTATGATAGAAAATTGAGTTAAGTAGGTTAAAAAGATGAGAGCAATAAAAATTCCGAAAGCAATTAGAAAAATAATGAATAAAATAACCAGAAGGAGGAAATATAAATTGATGATAAGAAAAAATGCTTATAAATACTAAATGAAAGTTATAAATATTTTAAGTCTTTTGAAAAATTATTAAGACTTGGTTTAGTTTTGATTCATCAATAAAGAAATATTTGCACTTCCAATTTAAAATAAGAATAATCATAGACAGAGTTATAGAAAAAATAATCAAACGAAGAATAAAAGATCAAACCTTACATAGAGAGCCTAATGAAAAAAAGAAATGAATATTTTAGTGAAGAAAAATAAGCCTAAATAAAAATGCTAATTTAATTTTTAATTGACCAAACCAATAATAAATAATTTGATCCTGTTTATCTCAAATTAGAAGAATTTATAAAATTTTTTTAATTGTTTTTTAATGATAATTCAAGCTATGTGGGAGATTTAGCTAATTAGAAAAATATGAAAGCAGATAAAATTAATGATTCAGTATGGAAAGATATCTAAAATGCATATAAAGAAACAAAAGAAAAGATTCTGGACTCACTAGATTATAAACCTGATTATAAAGTAAGAGAAGGATTAGTCTACAATTTAATCAAACTTTAATAAACTGTTTAAGAATAATAGATTAATTCATTTTCATCTAAATATATCAGCTACATGTGGGTGTTTGAAAAAGATTAAAAAGTTAGAAGTTTATTGAAGAATAAAGAATTAATTGAATTTTAGAAGTAGTTATTTGCTTAAAATCTAGATAATTTATAAATTTCAATAAAAGATGAATTGAAAAGTAGAATATAAAAACTGGATAACCTCTAACAATAAATCAAACTTGAAGGAAATTAATAAAAAAGAGAATAAATTTAATTGTTGTTAAAGAATACTTATGATGAATTAGATGAATCTTTAGAAAATATTTCTGAAATGTCAGAAGCCATGGATATTAATCTTATATTTCTCAAAGATATTTCGAAGGATGTAAAGTAAATAAAAGTGCAAATTGATAGTTTATAAGAAAGTATTAATTAAGTGGGTGATGATATTCGTAAATTAAGGGGGAAAAGTTATAAAGAATTATTAGATATTAGAAAATAAAAAATATTATAATAATCAAAACTAAATGATGTTGACTCGGTTTATGTATAATTACACACAATTGAATATGACCCTATTACTGGTGAAAATATTCTTTCTGAAGGCAAGCAGACAACTTAATTGATGGTTTAATAATGGAATGATCCTAATGGAGAAGTCAATGAATTCATTTGGGAATATGAAATATTAAGAGAAAAGGAATAAGTAGAAGCAGAAAAAGAAATAGAAATAGAAGATAAAATATAATAAAAAGAATTAAAAGATGTTATGTTAATTTCAGGATATGCTGGTTCTGGCAAAAGTAAAGCAGCCAGAAAAATAGAAGAATTTCTTTGGTTACAAGAAGGAATTCACTCAAAATGGATTCCAATATTTGTATCTCTTCCAACTTTAAAGAATCCAAAATATAATTTATTCGAATAGGCATTAGAATCAGAAAATTATTAATTTGATTAATATTAAATTAGAGAATTTAAAGATGCAATCTAAGCAAGAAAAGAAAAAATTTTACTCATCCTTGACAGTTACGATGAAATGAAATAAGATTGTATTTAGTAAAATCTATTAATGACTAATAAATTGTTTTAAGATTTAAATATTGACAAATTCAATTTAAATTTGAAAATAATTATTACAACAAGAAAAGAAATATTAAATTCAGTTGGATACTAAACTTGGTTTTATGGGTAAAGTCTTTCAACTTTGAAAGAAGTGTAGTTATAAAATTTTAATCAGAAATAGTAAAATTAATATATCAATAAATATGTTGAGTTGACTATTAAAAGAAAAATTAAAGAAGTTTATGAATTTGTTAAATCAATATCTGGGTATAATTTTGATTTGGAAGAATTCCTTTTAATTTGGGGTTTAATTTCTAAATAAGTTCATGAAATTGTTTAAGAATCTAAATTTTCTAATCTATATGGAATTTTCAAAAATAAATAAGAAGTATAAATAATACAAAAATTAAAGACCCATAAAATTCTGGAAGTATTAAAAGAAGAATAAACAACCACATTACAAAAAGAGCTTTTAGCTTTGTGGAATCCAAATTAATTTAAAAAATCTATTGAAAGTGTTTAAATTCAAGATTTACTAACTACCCCATTTATGTTGGAAATTGTTGTTTAAGTTTTACCTAATATGATCAAAATGTATAAAGGATCAACAATTATTAAAGATATTTTCATCATTAATTTTATAAAATTGAAAAAATAGGTAAGCCAATCTAAAAGTTTAATTGAATTTTATCGAAAGGAATACAATCCATTCAATTAAAATGAAAGATTACGCTTAGTTAAATTTGATATTGATTAGGAGTTCTCAAGATTAAATGATGAAGAATAACTTTCTAAGATTCAGAAAGCAGAAATAAATGAGACAGTTGATAAACTTGATAAAGAAAACTTTTTCTAAAAATATTCTATTGCTAGTATATTGAAATCTGAAGGAAATAATATTATTGTTGATGGTTATAAAGTCTAATTAAACCCCGAAGACATTGATTTAGTAATTATGTCCTTAAAAATGAAAAAATTCACTATTTTTGAGTTTTATGAGAGCTTCATCAATTTTTATCATTTATAGTAAATTTAAAAATAAAGAGAATTAGGTAAAATATAGAATTATGAGAGCTTTGCATTTGATATTTAATAATTCTCTAATTCATTAGCTATTGATATGACTTTAAGAGAATTATCTTAAATAAATTATAAATCCTAAGGTAAACTTGATTTAAAAAGTAATTATAAAATAGAAAGAGTTGTTGATGATTGGTTGAAATAATATTTTGATATGGAAGATGAATATAAAAAATTAATTAGAACTTGTATTCTATTAACTTCTAAGGGAAGTATGCATTCCTTTACTCATAAATCAATTTAAGAATTTTATGTTGCAAAATATATTTATGATCTTCTTTCATCTTTGAATATTAAACTTGATTATAATAATTCGAAATATTTAAATGAAGAAATGGAAAAATATATGGCAATATTATAGTCATCTGTATTCAACGACCCCAAATTTAATCTATCAACAGATAATTTTAGGAACATAATAAGCTTGATTATAGAAAAAATACTTAATGATGAAAATATCAAGTATAAATTAATTGAGATAGTTAAACTTTCAAAAACACACTGTTACACTAGTTCAGCCTCAAATAGTATTTATTTATTAAATTAAATGAATGTTTATTTGGGATCTTAAGACTTTAGTTAAATAGAGTTAGCTAATACAAATATATCCGGTTTAAGCTTTTTTAATAGTGATTTAAGTAGCTCAAAATTCGAGAATGTAGAAATAAATTCGTGCAATTTCAATTTCGCTTAGTTATCAAATGTTTAATGGTCCAATTTGATTTGTAAAGAAAAACCATTTTTAAAAGGCCATACAAATAGAGTTGTAGAAGTAAAATTTTCCCCTAATGGTCTTTATATTGCATCTGCAGGAGATGAAAATGAAATTAAATTATGGAATTCTTAAACATATCAGTTGATTTAGAATTTAGAAGGGCATACAGATTCAATTAATACACTCTCATTTTCATCAGATTCTTCAATAATAATTTCTGGAAGTAACGATTACACTATTAGAAATTGGGATATAAGAAATCTTTAAAACAAAATTACAGGTGTACTTATAGCTAAATTGAATGCTTAAGTCTTAAAAGTATAAATATCTAAAGATTAAAAAAGATTATATGTCTAAGATAAACATGGTCTTTTTTAGATTTTGAATTTAAAAAATGAAGATTTAACTTTGATTGATGATGAGATATTCAAATTAGAAAATAAGAATAAGATTAGATTATTTGCTTTTAATCCAAAAAATCCAATAGTTTCAATTGCATATAGTAATTAATAAATTGAATTAATTGATTATTCAACAAAAAATGAAGAAAAGCCCAAAATTATACAAAGTCCTCTTCTAAATTAGATTAGATATATGATATTTAGTCCAGATGGAAAATACTTTGCTGTCGCCTCATATCATGATGTTGCTGTTTATGATATTACACAAATAACAATATAAATGTTAAGCTAGTTTAGATTCACAAATGTCCGTTTAATAACTATTTAATTTGATTCAACAATTAAATATTTAATTATTGGCACAGAAGATTGTATATTTTAAAGAGAAATTCATCAACCTAAAATCGAAAGTCAGGAAGTCTAAGAAAAATGTCTTGAAATTTAAATTTCACCAGATGGTTAATTAGCTGCAACAATATATGAAAACAAAATTATCATTAGAAACTTTTAATCAGATTAACTATTATATTCTCAATCTTTCGAGTTCTAGCCAAGTGAGATTAAGTTCTCAAATGATGGTACTGAATTATCCTTTTTGCTAAATCAAGGTAAAATCATTAAGAATTTTTTAATTATGAATTTAAATAAGTTTGAAATTATTTATAATCTTGCTTGGAATAATAAAATTTGGAATAAATTAATAATTTCAAAAAGATTTGAGAAAATGCTAGTTCTATTTAAATTAATTGAAACAGATTAATAGGAAATTACAGGATCCTTAATAATAGATAGAAATAAAATTAACTAAAATTTATAAAACTAGATATTGAATTTAAACATTAAAAAGTTTTGTGTTAAATACAATAGTTGGATTATTGCTTATATAACATCGGATTCTAACTCTATAATAATATATAATTTAGATAAGAAAAAGTAAATTCAAGAGCCTCTTGAAAATGAAAAGAAAATAATCCAGAACTTTTCGTTTTCCCCTATAAAAAACCATTTAGCTGCTGTTTATGAGTAAGAATTATTAATTTGGAATTTAGATTTGTAACCTTTTGGATTATAAAAAAGAATTAAATTGAATGACTTCTTTATTTCCTCTATGAATTATTCTCCTGATGGTTCACGAATAGGATTAATATTTGAAAATTCGTTTCAAATTTACAATTTAATTGAAGATAATTTTATAATTCATTAACAAAAATTTCAACCTAAAGAAATAGCATTCTCAATAGATAATCAGTAGATTGGATTAATAACCTAAAAACATGAAATATTCTTTTTTAATGAAAATATGAATGAAAAAAAATTATATAACATTTCAAAAAACAAAGATTTTGTTTTTACGCCAGATTAGAAATGTATAATTACTACATATAAAAATGAATTAATTTTATTGGATCCATCTACTTTATAAAATATAGATAAGAAGTTAATGAATATAAATTTTGATTCAGTTTCATTTTCTCAATATACAAATATAATTGTATTACAGAGAGATTTTATTATAGAATTATGGAACTATTAAGATAATGCATTAAAATATATTGGATCTTATTTATTTGATTATTCCATCAGTTAAGTAGAATTTGTAAATGATGATTAACATCTTTTAATATTAAAAAAGAATTCGGAACTAATTTTGATTGAATTGAATTTTTAGTAGTTGTAATAAATAGCAATAGGTCAAATAGATTGCGGTGCCTTTTCATTGGATGGTTAAATTGCATTAAATTATGAAAGCTATTTAAAAATATTTAATTCAGAGTTTTAAATGATAAATTTTTTAGAATTTGATCTTTCCTTCTGTAAATATTTAGAGTTTTTTGAGCATAAATAAAATTATATATTAGCTGTTTTAAGAGATAAAATTGTCATTTTAGATTATCTAGAGAATAAAATTATTAGTTGGCCCTCTTCATTTGAGGAGGGTTTAATTTAATCAAAATTAACTTTGTAAGATACATTAATTATGATGTAAGATGAAAATAGTGTTAAAGTTTGGGATATAAATGACTTCAACAATATCTAATTATGCATGTATTAAGAAAATATTCAATCTTTTTTTATTTATGACGAAGGGAAATATGGAGTTGGAATAAGAGATGGTTAGGTAATAAGAATTAAGGATATATTTAACTTAAATTTTGTATTTCCTATAAATTAAAAAGAAGAAAGTGATTAATTAATTATTAATTAAGAATCATATTTAATCTTAACTAACTCTTATAAACTTTTATTTTATTAGAGAGATAACAAATAAATATTTAAATTTAAAGATGAGGTAATTAGCTTTGCATATTCTGAAGAAAAGAACTTGTTTGCAATTTTCTCAAGACAAAATTAAATTTAACTTGCTGAATTTTTGAATGGCCAATTTAATGTACTTTATGTTTTTGAAGAGAAAGTGTCAAATATCGATTTTGTTAGTCTGTTTTTATCGAAAGATGGAGAATAAATGATCATTAAATCTGAGGAAAGTTTCAGTGTATTTTAAATAAAAAAGAAGAAGAATGTATTTCGAAAAGTCTTTTATCTTGGTTTAAATGATTAGATTTCTATTATACCTAATTAGGCAATAGCATTTTAAAATTAAGGAACTTCTACCCAAAAGCAATATATAGCCCTTTTAATGCAGAATATGAAATCATTTAAGATAGTTGATGCTTAAAATTTGAAATAACAAGTATTAATTTATTCAAAAGATTTATCGATATTTGAATTAGGTTAAAATGAAGAAATTTATATGAATATTGGAAATAAATAAACTATTATCTTTGACTCTATAAAACTTAAAGTAAGAATAGAGGAGAATTCGAAAATGAATTGTAAAAATATCTTGAAATCTGTTGGAGAGGATAAATTTGTTTATATAAATGATGAGAATAAAATTATTTTATATACTGCATCAACTTTTTCTTAATCAGAAATTGAAATAACCATAGATAAAATAACCTGCATAGAATATTTACCATAATAATAGTGGATAGCAGTAAGTACAGATGAGAATGCTATAATATTTTGTGATTTGTAAGCTAAAAATATTGTTGGATCATTAAAAGGACATTAAAAATAAATTAATTCTATGACAGTTTCACCGAATGGAAACGTTTTTGCATCTGCAAGTGATGATAAACTAATAAAGTTATGGAATATTCAATAAAATGAAACTTCAGAGGTTAAGTAGAGACATAAATATTCTATTAGTTGTTTGGTATTTTTTGAAGATGGTCAAACTCTAGCATCAGGTAGTATAAAGGGTTTAGATGAGGAAGTACCAATTTTTCTATGGGATCTAGTTGATAAAAAGTTACTGAATCAACTTAAAGGACATACAGATACTATTCTCTGTTTAGAAATCTCTTTTTGCGAGAAATAATTAATTTCAGGAAGCAAGAATGGAACTATAATCTTTTGGAATGTTCAATATCCATAGGCAGCAGAGATTTTATATTATATAGATGAATTCAATTTATCTATTAATTCTCTTAATATTTCCAAAAAGGAACCAAATTTTATTATATTATCCAATCAGAATTGTATTTAAAAATGTAATCTAAAATAAATTAAAAAATAAGACAAAAGAACTCTCCAACTAAAGAATAGATTTTAAGAATACTAGTTTCTTTAAGCTGATTAATTTGTTTATATAGATGATAAATCGAAATTAAAATTATTAAAACTTGAAACACAAAAATAAGAGGTAATATCAACAGAAGGAAATAAAATTATTTAAATCATTCCTTCAAAAGATTGCAGTTAGATTTTGTGTTTATAGAGCAATGGATATTTAAGTTCTTATTAAAAAAATAAGGATGCAAAATGGATCAAGTATTATTTCAATCATTTATATACAAAGCATTTATTTATCACTCCCAATTAATAATTAATATTTTAGTTACTGAATAAATCTTAGGATATAAGCTCTCTTAAATATTAACCAATAATCATACATGATTTTAATAAATTTTTGTCTTCATCATCAGAGAAAGAATTTTTGATTGAATAATAGATTATGGATGACGAAATAATAACATTTTCTTAAAACCTAATAATCAAATTTATTAATAATACTATAACAATACAAGAAATTAGTAATTAAAAAATTATTTAGAGTTTTAATAATAGCCAATTTACAAAGAATTATAAAATATCATATGATTATAAATATTTGGCTTGTTAATCAAATAATAACAGTACATAAACTTTTCTATAAATATGGGAAATTTAAAATCCTAATAATTTCATTCAACTTAAGGTTTTAGACTAAAGTCTGATTGAATATGAATTCTCTAGTAAAGATTCAAACAAAATTTACGCAATTTATAAAAATGGAATTCTAATGCAATGGGATGTTATCAATCAAAGAGTTTAAATTTTGAACGTTTCTTTTTAATTGTCGAATTATATAAAATTTAATTTTTCAACAAGTTTAAAATATTTATTGTGCTATAAGGATGGTAATTAAATAGATGTATGGTAATTAGAAAATTCTGAAAAATATTTAGAAATAGATTTAATTTATAGAATTGGAAACATCGCTTTTTCTAAAAATGATGAAAATTTTATAGTTGCTCTACCTTTTTAGGATTAAATTATTTTAACAAACAAAATAAAATAAAATCACATTGATGTCATTTTTAATTAATCTAGAGAGCTAATAATTTAATTTGTTAATAATGAATAAAAATTAATTGCTATGATATCTCGTTTCCTAGTTTTATGGTAAATAGATGAACAACTTAATTATTAATTAATAGGATATTGGTAAGTATTGGATGATCTTCTATAGAGTATTTAAACAAATTGCTTTTTTGATTACGATGACTAAAAATAGTAAATAGCTATTAACTTTGAGAATAGGATATATGTAATAAAAATGATTCCAACAATTTGTATGAATAGTGAAGATAGCTTTGATCATATAAATGATTAAAGATCAGTTTGCTTTTCACCTGATAGTTAATATTTTATTAATTTGACTCCATATTTGAAAATCTACGAAGTATAAAATTTTAAAATGTTAATTGAATCCAAAGATTTTTAAGGTTAATCTGCTTCATTTTAATCAAATGAAATTTTAGTAATAGCAAATAATTAAGAAATGCACTTTATAAATATTAGTAAGATAGATAAATTAGAAGAGATTAACAAAATAAACTACTAAAATTAGATCTTTGATTTTGCATTAAGTTTGGACTATTTATTAATATAATACAAAAATGAAAATGAACTATTTTAATAAATTAATGTAATTCCTGAAATGAAGTCAAAGAAGAAAAAGAAAAAGAAGAAAAATATTTAAATAAAAATGAGAGATCGAGATAATTAAATAAATTAATAAGTGGATTGTCAAGATAAGCTTACGAAATTATATTCAAAAAATAATTCTCTTATATCTATCTTTTATACTTTTGGCAAACCATAATTTAGTGAAAGTGGAAAATATTTAGTATTAAATAGATGGAACAACTTTTCAATAATTAATATTTAAAATATAGAAAATCATATTTTTGAATAACAACATTTATTGGATCAATAAATTGAACATGGCTAAATTTTTTATTCTCCTGATGAAGAATTTATATTTTTATTTACACAAAACAGTATTTAACTTTTAAATTCAAAGAGTTTAATTTCAATAAAAAATTTTCCAATAGATTTTTTAGTAAAAGAGATTTAAATATCTTAAAATTGGAAATCCTTTGCTTTAATGAATGAAACATTTGTAAAGATTTATTTGTTTAAAAATTAATAAGAATTTGAATTGGTTTAGACAATTAATGAAAAAAAACACATATTCAATTGTGTCGCTTTATCTCCTAAAGGAGATCTATTTCTTACTGGAGGGTAAAATAAAGAAGATTTCACAAATTCAATATAGTTATGGAAATTATATTAAGATAGTAAATTATGCATTAATGATTTATTATCTGATCAAGTAAAGTTATTAAAATTTTGTCCAGATGGAATCAATTTTGCTGCAGGTTTCTAAGATGGATCTGTTAATTTATTTTCAATAAATGTAAAATAGTTAACACATGTTTCGGGCTCAGAATAATATAAAATATTTTGTTATTAATCATTTGCCAAGTAATCATTATTGTAAGCTCAATAATGCATATTATCAAAATAACCAAAAATGCAAGAATCAATTATTTAACTTCTGTGTTAAAAAGGTGCAAATTAATAATGAGTTATTAATTACAAAAATTTTAAACATCTAATTTTTTTTCTGTTATCCAATTATTCATGTTATTTGAATAATATTTTTTTTTTTTATCGTATTATTTCATTAATTTATTTTTAAGATTAATTTTACAATTAGTATGACTTTAATTTAAATCATTCTCTCTTATTTTCTAATATTGGTGAAAACCTTTAAATAATCAAATAAAATTAATAAAACTATATTATATAAATAAAATATTATGATTGATTAATACTAATGTTTTAATGCTAAGCCTTTCAATCCAACTATAATAATACCTTTATCAGAAATATTCAATTATTTTTTAATCCATTTTAGTCTTTATAAAAATACTTATAGCTATAATTATTCTAATGCATTATTTAGCAGATCCTTTAATGAAGACAAAATTATTAAGTTCATTGCTTAAAGAAATTTCATATTTATCATCTTTCAATTCCTTAATATAATGTATGGATCAGTAATTAAAAAAGAACCAATATTAGCAATAACTTTATATCCTTTATAACTGAATCCTAAATCCTATCCATTAACAAAGATGTTATCTAGTTTTAATCATAGAGTAATATTTATCAATTACAGGGATGGTAAGGTAAGTGACAAAATAATCACCAAACAGATGCCTCATGTCTATTTCCATAGCCGTTCATATTGATAAAATATTTTAGGATGCACAACTGTTTTTTCTACTATTTCAATCTATATTTTAATTGTGCATTTATAAAACTATGAAATTATAGATTTTCTTATCTTGTCTTAGTATTTTGTCTTGGTTTTTTTACATAATATATATCTATTTAAGTATTGATCTGTTTTAACTTAATTTTATAAACTTTATATTCCTTTATAATAAAAATTCATAATTTTATTCATTTCTAATGGATGAACATTGATAAAGATAATCTTTTTGTAATTATTTTTAAAAACAATTCTTAAAAATTCACTTCAGTTATTGTTTTTATGATATTATATCATTTCAAAAACCAAATTACACATATTAATTCTTTTTTTATTTAATCTCAAAACATATTATCCCTTGGGTCTAATAATAATTTTCATTAAAAATCAATTTTAAGATATTTAAAATAAATTAGATCCCTTTCAATTTTTTATCTAAGAAATTTAAGAAATACCTTTTGAGAAAAGTTATTTATAAGAACATTATATCTTATTGATAAATGCAATTTTGGTATATTTAATTATTTTTTCTAAGAGTTTTTTTAATTGTTTAAGATAATCAAAAATATCTAAGTTAGTATTTCTAGCCTTATCAAAAAAGTATTCTTCTTACGATTTCTTTTAATTTATAATATTCATTATGTAAAAATAATTATTACTTTATAATTTTCTTTAGCTCACTTAACTTAATAAACAAGTTTAAAAATTTTCTTTTTTTAGTATTTTGTAAATGCTTTTTCATCAAAATTTTGAACAAAATTTGCAGCTACATAAATTTTTATTAATTATGATATTCCTTTTAATTCAAATCGTTGCCATTTTTTGTGAAAACAGAAGCTGTGATGTTAAAATTGAATAGATGAATGTCTATCCTACTAAAGGGGAAATTTATAATATATGAATGACTACCTTATTTGAAGGAGTCTTTTTATTTTATTCTTATTAGCCAGCATTAACCTTTATAAAAGCTATTAATGCTTTTGCGGAAGTAACATAAATTAAAGGATAAGGTATAAATCAGATATTTTAATATAGTATTTTCTTCGTTATCATCTAATTTGACACATTTTCTAACAATTACAGAAAAACAACAAATAATCATTTATAATTGGAAAAATTCAATTATTCAGCAAATAGGTAATACTATTTAACTACCAGGATAGTACAAATGCTTTAATTCAATATTTTTATTAAATATGAATGCTTACTTATTGGATTGTTACACTAGTAAATCATTTGTTCTTTTAAAAATGATAGATAATTAGTTTACTGAGATTTATTAAGTTACATCTCAAATTCCTATTACAACAACATTACAAAAATATATTGTAGATTCACTAAATTACACTCTTTATGCTCAGCATTTTAAAACTTACTCTGTTTTAACTTTATTTTCATCTGAATTTAAAAATTAAACATGTTGGGAGGATAAATTCGTTGATTTTGATGTTTCATTTTAAGGAAATAATTTTATTTATGTTTTAACTTCATCTATTGTCTATTAAATTATAATCTCACAATAATAATAATTTGAATTTATAGCAAATTATACAGAAAAATTAATTCATTATGAGTACAATATATTTTCTGTTTATTACAATTATGAACAAACAGCTTAATGCGATATAATAATAATTGAATATTAATATTTTAATAAACAATTGTAAATAAGATTATTTGCATAGTAAGGTTTATTTATTAGGGAATCATATAATTATTTAAAAGATAAATAATAAGTTAAATACATTATTTTCAATAATTAATTTTTGCTGTAATAATCCTCAAATAATATTACAATTTATGAAGTTTTATCTAGTTAACCTCTTTATATCTAAAATATATCTAATACTACTTAATTATATTTTAATTCATTTACTAATGAAGTATTTTTATTTGATCTAAAAATTATTGTTTATAAAATTTAACTACCAAAATTATAAATAAACGTTAGAAATTCATTAGATTATTAATAAATTAGTGAAATTTAAATTTTTGCTCAATTTAGAAATTTTAAATTGGCAAAAAAATGCATTTCAAATCTGAAAATATAAATTTTATAAAAAAATGATACAAATATTTATTTAATTAAAAATACTCATCCCACCCTTTATCAAGGGACTACAGGGGCATCTTTTTATAATGAAGTTATTGGTTTTTCAGGGCAATTATTAGAGATTAAAACAAATTATGATAATTAATATTTTGGTTAATTCTAAGAAGTAACTTTTTTCAATATTTATAATTTACCCTAACAAGAAATACAATTTGCTTAAATGATTAATCCATCATTCTACTCCTCTAAATTTGTGTATTTAGCTACCTACAATTATCCAAATTTAACAAGTTATGTTTGTAAGTGGTTTTAGTTAATTGATGGATTTGTATATAATTGTACTATCGCATACTAACTTGATATTTCTCAAAATATATCCTCATTATAGATTGCATATAATTTACAATCTCCTTTGATTGTAGGAATTAGTTACAACAATACTATTACAATTTTTTTATTGAATTCAGATAATAGTACTAATCAGTACAACATTATAATCAATCAATCAATTAGCTAATTTTTATTAACATTTAATAGTGTTATCATTTTGATAGAAAATGAAGAAATTTAAATAATATCTTATAATTAAACAAATAGGATTATAATTAATCAAGAACTAATAAATTAATTGTTTAAAAATAAATATTAAATATCATTCAATCCGATATAAATTATGATTAATACTTAATATATATCCTCGATTTTGATAATTAATAACATTAACAGTATTATACTTTTAGCGATAAATCTAAATAGCTATCTCATACCAATTAATTTTTTACATTTTAACTTTTCTATTTATTAAATTAATTAAATCAAGACATATGTAATTCTATCTTATATATGTAATAACACTACATAGCTGTGCTTTGAAATTTGGGATTTTTTAAATGTTTGGAATCCCTATAGACAAAAAAACTTCCCAAGTGTTAATTTTGACTCTTAAATTAGAGTTTAATCAGATAATTTATTTTTTTATGTTCAATTACAAAATAAGACAGTTTTTGTTTATAATCCTGAAGTCCCAGAATAGATGTCTTTACATTATAAATTTGAAATTAATGGGAAATAATTTTGTAGCATTTAAAAATCCTTTTACTCTTTAATATTCAACGTCAACAGTTTTTATTAGTTATTTCCAATTAAAGTTATGAAATTTTAATTAAATTAATCAATCCTTGTAGAAAAATAATATCCAGAATTAATTTACAATTTTACTGTAATAACACCATTCAACAACACTGCAATGTAATCTATGATTAATTAGAGCATAATATTTATTTCAAATTTCACACAACTAAATTCATCCAATTTTAAAACATATTATTTAAATTTTACCAATATTAATAAAATCAAAAGAACGTTTACTATTCCGATCTCTCTATTTACTGAAAAACAGATAATTAGATGCAATTTTTATAATGGATCCAATTCATCCTTATAAAACCAATATGAAAATAATCAGAATTGTCATCTGACTAACACAAGTAAACAAAAAGCCTTGATTAATATTAATAATTATACTTTAGTGACTGCTGTAAACAATTAATTTTATGTTTTACAAAATAACATAAATATCATGATTAGTAATTGGTTGATTGAATCTACTTCCATTAAATATTTTGATTATTCTTATCTAAATTTCTCAGAGTGTATAAAAACAACATCTACATATTATTAACTAAATTCTATTTGTAAAAATTCTTCAAATTAATACTGGCTTACTATTATTTTAGATAATTAAGGAAATGTTTATTTTATGGAATGCACAATATTTCCTATAGTATTTTAAACCATATATAAAATGGTTTAATTTTAAAATTATCTTTTCATTTCAGGATCTCAATAAAACTAATCATCCTTATTGTACATATTTTTTATAGTCAACAATATTGTAATAAAAAATATGAATAATTCGCTTTATTAAAACTATTCTATTTAGTAATATGATGTAGCCTAATTTAAAGATCAACCCAACAATAATTACAATGTTTTTGCTGTTATTTTTATAGCAGAGAATATGCCATTATATTCTATTATTACTTTCAATGAAAACATAATTTTGAGCATTAATTGTAATTATTTATTTATAGATGTTTTTAATTAAAAGATTAGTGTAATAAATAATCAACTGAATTAAATTTTTATTGTAGAAGTGAAGAGTAATTAAATAAAGTTATTATTTGTTTGTAATTCCTTTGCTAGCATTTTTTTGAGTTTAAGCTATAATAAACAATTAGCATCAATAAGTATCAAAGAAATTTTAGCAACAATTTCTACTTATGGATAATTATAAATTACTCAAAATATAATATATCAAGAAGGAATATTAATGTAGTAATTTTAATTACCAAATTAATCTTATGTTCTTGGGGTATATAATTTATCATAAATCCAATTTGATAATCTGGATACCCCTATTTTAATGTTTGAAGGGTAAAGTAACATTTCTATGCCCAGTTATTCGATGATAATTAATAAGCTATATTTCAACGGAACATTTGTTACATTTATCAATAATTCTATTTTTATTTAGCCAATAATTACATAGTTATTGACTTGTCCTTTCATTAAGAAAAAAAAACATTTTAATGTTAGTATTTTTTGTTATAATGATTTTTCTTTTGGTAATTACGAAGTTACATTTTTAATACCAAATTTGGATGAACATAAAGAAAGCTGGTTTTATTCACTTTTTTTAATTATATGCTTTTTATTAATTGGCTCATGTTATTTTGTGAAATCAAAAATAAAAGGAAAGAAATTTTATATAGAAATAGAATTATGAATTGAAATAATAAAATTATGAAAAAATATAAAAGTNAATACTGGCTTACTATTATTTTAGATAATTAAGGAAATGTTTATTTTATGGAATGCACAATATTTCCTATAGTATTTTAAACCATATATAAAATGGTTTAATTTTAAAATTATCTTTTCATTTCAGGATCTCAATAAAACTAATCATCCTTATTGTACATATTTTTTATAGTCAACAATATTGTAATAAAAAATATGAATAATTCGCTTTATTAAAACTATTCTATTTAGTAATATGATGTAGCCTAATTTAAAGATCAACCCAACAATAATTACAATGTTTTTGCTGTTATTTTTATAGCAGAGAATATGCCATTATATTCTATTATTACTTTCAATGAAAACATAATTTTGAGCATTAATTGTAATTATTTATTTATAGATGTTTTTAATTAAAAGATTAGTGTAATAAATAATCAACTGAATTAAATTTTTATTGTAGAAGTGAAGAGTAATTAAATAAAGTTATTATTTGTTTGTAATTCCTTTGCTAGCATTTTTTTGAGTTTAAGCTATAATAAACAATTAGCATCAATAAGTATCAAAGAAATTTTAGCAACAATTTCTACTTATGGATAATTATAAATTACTCAAAATATAATATATCAAGAAGGAATATTAATGTAGTAATTTTAATTACCAAATTAATCTTATGTTCTTGGGGTATATAATTTATCATAAATCCAATTTGATAATCTGGATACCCCTATTTTAATGTTTGAAGGGTAAAGTAACATTTCTATGCCCAGTTATTCGATGATAATTAATAAGCTATATTTCAACGGAACATTTGTTACATTTATCAATAATTCTATTTTTATTTAGCCAATAATTACATAGTTATTGACTTGTCCTTTCATTAAGAAAAAAAAACATTTTAATGTTAGTATTTTTTGTTATAATGATTTTTCTTTTGGTAATTACGAAGTTACATTTTTAATACCAAATTTGGATGAACATAAAGAAAGCTGGTTTTATTCACTTTTTTTAATTATATGCTTTTTATTAATTGGCTCATGTTATTTTGTGAAATCAAAAATAAAAGGAAAGAAATTTTATATAGAAATAGAATTATGAATTGAAATAATAAAATTATGAAAAAATATAAAAGTATAAAATCTATAAAAAAAAAAAACTTACTTTATTTTTAATTACTCAACAATAAATTAATTGTTATCTTAGATTTATTAAAACAATAGAATAGCAATTTAGATGTCTTAAGCTAATGAAATTTTTAATTATTATTTATTATATATTTTTTATTAAATAAATTATTTTAACTTAAGTCAATTCATTTAAAAATTTTATTTACTAAATAAATTGATTTTAATTATGATGTTTTATTAAATTGAACCTCCAATCAATATCATACCAAAACTAAAGAAAGTAGAAAATTTTCTTGAAAATTCTAATTATTTTAAATATTTTTATTCCTAAAAACTGTATAATTACTATTTCATATGAAAATGTGCTTAGAGTATACAAGAAAGATTTATCTAAAATAAATTATATTATTTATAAAATTTTTATTTTATTTATTTGAAGATTATATATTTTAAATTTATTACTCCAGAATAAAATATACAATTAGAAATTTCTCATCCATTTTTAAAACATTTATAATGATAACGTTTCAACTTTTGCTTTTTCTTTGCTTTTAAATTTATTTTATACTTTATATACTCATAAACTTTATGAACAGAATATCTTAAACTCAAATAATACTAAATTCTTTTTTTCATTTTTATGTACTTACTAATTTATCCAAATTTATTATCAATTTTTTGTTAAATTCCATATCTCATTTCAATTTTAATTATGAAAATGAGCTCTTGTCTGTGTGACTTAGCCAAATTATAGAAAATTAATAAAATAATAAAGTTATTCCTCTTGATATTTAAAGAAGAGTAGGAAATGTCAAGTTTTATTGACGAGATCTATAAATATGAAATAAATAAATTTAATATTTTAATCAGTTAAACAAAAGTTATTAATAATTTAATCTTGATTCTTACTTAACAATATTTATAAACTCTATAAATTTGATTTTGAATATTGAAAGGAATTTAATAAAAATCTCTGTAAATATCTTAATGGTAGGCTTTTTTTTCAAAAACTAATGTTTAATTAATCCTTATAATTTGAGACATGAATGCCATTATGACGTTGCATTTTTTTCTATTTTAAAATTATCTATTAAGTTAAATATAAAAATTTAAACTTGAAAAGCAAAATATCTCCATAAAATCATTCAATTACAAAAATTCTGAGTCTTTTATAGAAATCAATATTAAAGTAAATTTGAAATTGCTATNTAAATTAATTGTTATCTTAGATTTATTAAAACAATAGAATAGCAATTTAGATGTCTTAAGCTAATGAAATTTTTAATTATTATTTATTATATATTTTTTATTAAATAAATTATTTTAACTTAAGTCAATTCATTTAAAAATTTTATTTACTAAATAAATTGATTTTAATTATGATGTTTTATTAAATTGAACCTCCAATCAATATCATACCAAAACTAAAGAAAGTAGAAAATTTTCTTGAAAATTCTAATTATTTTAAATATTTTTATTCCTAAAAACTGTATAATTACTATTTCATATGAAAATGTGCTTAGAGTATACAAGAAAGATTTATCTAAAATAAATTATATTATTTATAAAATTTTTATTTTATTTATTTGAAGATTATATATTTTAAATTTATTACTCCAGAATAAAATATACAATTAGAAATTTCTCATCCATTTTTAAAACATTTATAATGATAACGTTTCAACTTTTGCTTTTTCTTTGCTTTTAAATTTATTTTATACTTTATATACTCATAAACTTTATGAACAGAATATCTTAAACTCAAATAATACTAAATTCTTTTTTTCATTTTTATGTACTTACTAATTTATCCAAATTTATTATCAATTTTTTGTTAAATTCCATATCTCATTTCAATTTTAATTATGAAAATGAGCTCTTGTCTGTGTGACTTAGCCAAATTATAGAAAATTAATAAAATAATAAAGTTATTCCTCTTGATATTTAAAGAAGAGTAGGAAATGTCAAGTTTTATTGACGAGATCTATAAATATGAAATAAATAAATTTAATATTTTAATCAGTTAAACAAAAGTTATTAATAATTTAATCTTGATTCTTACTTAACAATATTTATAAACTCTATAAATTTGATTTTGAATATTGAAAGGAATTTAATAAAAATCTCTGTAAATATCTTAATGGTAGGCTTTTTTTTCAAAAACTAATGTTTAATTAATCCTTATAATTTGAGACATGAATGCCATTATGACGTTGCATTTTTTTCTATTTTAAAATTATCTATTAAGTTAAATATAAAAATTTAAACTTGAAAAGCAAAATATCTCCATAAAATCATTCAATTACAAAAATTCTGAGTCTTTTATAGAAATCAATATTAAAGTAAATTTGAAATTGCTATGTTTTTAATCATATAATCATCTTAATTCTCCTTAAAAGAAATAATTTTGATTGTCTTTTATTATACCACAAAGTATAGTTTCAAATGATGATAATTTTTGAAAGATGGTATATTGTTTCACATTTATTCTAAAATAAAATTTCCTTGAAATATGAATATTTTAAAACAATTATGATGAAGAGAGACATTAATAAGGCATTTAAATGAGTAAAATGTGAAAGTGATAGTTCTAAATAAAAATTTTGATTTAATAATAATGTTTTGGTATCAAAAATTAGCAATGTAATTGAAATACATAAGTTCTCAATAGTGGAATCTTAGAATAATTTATAGATGAAAAAGAAAAAATGTTAAGAGTTTAAATTATTTAGTGTTACTTAATTCACAGTTATCAGTTTTAGAAAAGAGAATAATTAGTTTATATTGATACTTATATTATAAATATGTATGATGTTGAAATAACAACTAAGTCAGATGATGAGATTCTTTCATTAATTCGATCATATTAATAATAAGGATATTAGGTCTGGTTATAAAAAAGATGCTCAGATAAATTTTTGATGCAAGCCGATTACAATGTATGAATAAAAATTAGAACATAGTCATAAGGAGTATTGGATATGGATAATTCTAGCATATTTAAATGCTAAAATATTGATCCTAAACAGTTTAATGATCAATCAGTTATATGTAGCATTAGAAAGAATGTTGAAGATGGTCATAAAACTAGTACTATGGAAATTAAAGACACAATGCTTATATTTCCAAGAAAAACATAAACTGACCTATACAGCTTGTTAAGTCCAAAACTAAATTCAGAAAGAGAGGATTTATTTCGTGGATTTTATGAAAAATTGAAAGAAGCCTTACATTTAGAATAGTTCGGATAAGTGAAAGAATCTATTGTAATAATTATCTATTATCAAAAATTAGGTTTTGTTGTAAAACTTAGTAAATGAACTTGAAAATCAATTGATTGATTCATAAATATTGCATTTAATACTCGTTGAAAGTTTATTGACTCTTGGAATACTGAATGCATAAATAATGAAATATTCAGATGCAAAAATGTAATATTAATATTAAAAAAGGTGTCTAGAGAAATGCTTAAGATTATTCGTTATAAAAGATTAAATCCTTTTAGCCTAAATATATCGTAAATTAGGCTAATATTCCCAATCTATTTTTAGTTATTAAAAATCTATAGATTACTACAATTAAGCCTTAATTATATATGAAATATACAATCTGAAACCAGAAATAGCAATTATAATGATGTCAATAGCTGTTATATATTCAAAAGTAAATTAATTTGAATTAGCATCAAATATTTCACATCATGCTTTAAAAATCAATGGAACTGAGATAAGTAAACATACAGCTAATCTTTATTCAATGTTAGGAGAGATTTATTACAATTCGGAAAATTATACAGAAGCATTAGATTATTTTGATACTGCTTATGATTTACAATAAACAAGTTTGGATGTACAATCTCGAATTAGAACAATAAATTATATTGCAAGTTCTTGTTTTCATTTAGGAGAATATAAAAAAGCTTAAGAGTTATTTGAAGTAGCATTAAGTTAAATTGATGATAAAAATTCACTTCTTGAAGCATAATTATTAAATAATTTAGGGATCACAAAAAGTGCATTGAAATTAGAAAGCAAAGAAGAATTTGAAAAATCCCTTAAAATTTTCTTAGATTTTTATCCATAACATCATCCTTCTGTAAAACGTGTACTCCGAAACGATAGCCATTGATAATAATATGTTTATATTATATATAAAATTGTCCTTAAAAACAATATTCTCATTCACATGGTGCTCTTATTGCTTCTAAAAATAATTCATAAATCATTTCTTTTCCTTTTTCAATATTTTACAATGAATTATTAAATGTATTGACTTTAATTCTGACTTCATCTTTACCCTTATATCTAGGACCAATCAAATAAATAAATCTATCTTTTTATTTAGGAGTAAAGTTAAATTCACTAATATTGATGAATAGTTCAACCTATTATTATATTTCAATTATATTTACTTCACTATTTTTATGTAAATTATGTCCTTTTAAATCTGGTATATAAGTAATTTCAGCATAAACTTGATAAGTAGGTGGATTTTAACTTAATTAATCATCAATTTCCTTTTTTGTTCTTAATGGGTAATCAAAAGGATCTCTAAAGGTTTATTTCATATAATGTGGTATGGCTTAACTGACTTTTGGCTTCCAAAAACGTGCTTAAATTACTTTGAATACTACATTTATGAGCCAATTTAAATGTAGGCAAGAATGTATTGAATTTATAGAGCGTCACAAATTATTTCATTCAATTAAAAATTCTTATTATTATTATTTAATTTTATTCATAAAAAGTGGTGTGTCTGCATCTTCTTCTTTAATAATATCTAAACCATTAGGAGGACTACTACTTGCTTTAATTCTTTCATCCAAGGAATCTAAACTTGAATTACTATCACATTTTTAAACTATATCAAAAAATTCTTTAACTTCATCTGGTTTAGTAGAAATAGATTGACATAATGAATTAATTGATTATTAGAAATGAATAGATCTATTTCTCATTTGTTATGATGTATCTTTATCAGTTTAATGAATAGCATCAATAAAACATTTATTTTTAAAATCATGTTTTACATTCTGATAATCTTCTTAAGATTATTAAAGATATTTAATAGCTTAACTTGAATGAGCATTAATTTAAACTTTATTATTTAAAAGCATATCATCTTTTGTATATTATTTAGAATTCAATTTCATAAATTATAATTAAGAAATTGAATATTTTTGATATAATAATGGATGAACTAAAGCTTCTATAATAATTAATAAATAATTTACATGATGCATTAATTCTCTTATTAGGATTAAAAGATAACAATCTTTTAAGTAAATCTTGAGAGAGTAAGTCAAGTGATTTAAATTCTGTTGATAAAAATGATTGTTATTGAATTTCAATATCATTGAATTCAATTCTATTTTCAATTATGATTGGTAATCTATTACATAACATTTAATAAGCAATAACTCCAATAGCCCAGATATCAATCAATTCATTATAACCAGATCCATTCCATAATTCAGGTGCCTAGTAATTAATATTACCAGTAATAGTCCATAATAATTGGATTTAAATATCTCTCTATTATGTTATAATAAATCTTTTTGATACACCAAAATCAATAATTTTTATAGTACTATTATCTTAATCAATTAAAATATTATCTGGTTTAAGATCACGATGGCATAAACCCATTCTATGTAAATATTGGATAGCTTCCAAACATTGTCGTATTATAGATAATTTATCATCATATGTAAGTGTATTTTGTTTTAGTAGTTCAAGTAGACTAGGATAAGGTAAATATTCCATTACTAAATATGAACATTCTGTATTTGTATCAATATAAAGCTTATATGTTCTCACAATTAGAGGATTATTTAGTTTCAAAGTGTTTAGAAATGTTTATTTCATTATTCCCATTATTTCAGGATCTCCATTTCGAGTAATCTTAACTGCATAAGTTTCATCAGGATTTTATATTTACCAACATTATCTAACTACAGAATGAGCTCCTTCTCCTAATATTTTCCCTATCTTATAATCATCTTGAAATTTTCTGTTTCTTTAATCTATTGTAATCTAAAATGTCTCCTCCATTAATTCACCATGACTTGAACATTATACATATTCAAGAATTTATGGACTTAATTTTTATATCTATCCTTCTTCATTATTCTAAACAAACAACTCTTTTTTTACCCTATCATGTAGTCTTAATAGGTTTGCTTTTTTGTCCATTATATTAATAATTATGCCAAAAAAACGTCGTCAACAATCTGATTTTTGGGACACTGTTCATGATATTAAAAAACTCACTTAACCATATCAAACACACCATAAAAAACATTTTATAGAAAAGCCTGGCAAAAAAAAAGTACCTATTTTATCTATACAATAAGTAAAAAGGATAAAACATGCCTTTACCTATTTTAAATGGTATTAGAAAGAAATACATAAGTGATGTTAAATAAGAACAAGAACATAATATTGAACATAACATCTAATATCGATCAGACATGAAGAAAGACTCAACTTTGTTAAAAACCATAAAATAAAAAAAAAATTCATTTTAAAAAAATCAATATAAATTTAAGAATATGAAGGCTAAAGGAGCAGGTAAATTCGAGAATGGTGCTCTCAAATTCTCCAATAAAGAGCTCAAAAAATTCAATTAAAACAAATGACTTCATTATATTTTAAAAATAAATAAAAATATATAGTAGTATATCATATTTTATTCTTATATTGATATCAATCAATTATCTTTAAATTTTATTTACTTCTAATTATTCTACTAGGATCTTCTTATTTCATTTATTAATTATAATTCATTATTTCATGTTCTCAATACAAGTAGTATAACATTTAAATACTCCTAAGATTAAATATTTTTGAAAATATTTAGATCCAGGGAAATATTGTATATAATTTAAGAATATTTACACCTATTTAATTTTTAGAAACAGATATTGATGTTTTTTCATAAAATATTCATGGATTTCTATCCTTATTTTTATCATCTTTAACATACTTACTTTTCATTTTTATACTGACTATGTAATTACAACAATTAACATAAGAAGTTTATTCTTAAACTAAAAAATACTATTTAGGAACAATATCCTTCTTTAAAATATTTTATAAGATTTATATCACATTTATTATTGATCTTCATGAGTTTAAATAAAACTTAAGGAAATGGAAATTTAAAGATATTTAATAATCTTATGATTTTCAAAATATTAAAATCAAATAAAGAAGAAATTGCTATTTTTTCATTAGATTGATAATAATTCATATTTCACCAATATCAAATATAAATTAAATTCTTCTAATGCTAAGCGTCAAAAATATAATTTCTAGTTATATAGATTTCGTTAAATTTGATAAAATTTTATTTAATCTTGTTATTACATATAAATAATTATAAATATTTGAATTAGCTGAAAAAAATAGATGTAAATATCTTGAAATTTAACTCCAGAAATTTAGAAACCTGTACTTTTTTTATTAACGTGGTATAATTGTATTTTTTTAAATTAAAATGAATTTATGATCAATCAGAAAAGACCTTGAATTTCAACTGGCTCATTTTAATGGAAAATCAATACAAGAAAAATAAGTATTGCTAGACAGATTGAAAGAAATTGCAAAAATTCTTTTTGCTTTTGTTAGAGAAATTTGCAATGAATGTCTACAGAGAGGGAATTTCTCCTCTAATTTTATATTTTTTTAAACTCTTCATTTTTCTCAATTTTAATATATTAGCTTTGTATTTATTTTTTTTCCCTAATTATATAAGGCTTCTAGATCTATTTTTTCCTCTAGGCCAACATCTAAATAAATTTTCATAATAATACCTGATCTGATTTTGAATGTATGTTGTATTATATCAAGTATAATGGTTTCGGATTAAGTCTTCTAATATTATCTAGAGATTGATTTTCAATTTCGAAGAATTTTGATTCTTCATACAAGGATTATGAATTTAATGCTGATTTCATTATGTGTAATTATTTAATAAAGATTCCATTTTAGGAATTATATTCTTATATCGAATTTAATTTTCAGTAACTTTTATTAACATTCTCCTTTATTCATACTTTTTATCCTTTTGTTAATACTTTATATAAAATTAATCTATCACTTTTTAAAATGAATATGACATTATAATATCTTATTTTAATGGCAAATAAAGAATTAAACTTTTAATGACAGAGGATAAAAAAAAAAAAAAAAATAAAATAATTGAAATAATAAGAAAAAAGAAAGAAAAATTAGCTATTAAACACTAATTTTATTTATTTAGCAATAAAATTTATTTTACAAAATGTACCTTTCATCAAGAACATAAGGAAGATTAGCAAATCTAATTATTACGATAACTGAAGGGGAAAAAAAAACTGAAATAGCTAGATAAGTATTGGCTGAGTAAAAAATGTTTGAACCCTACACAGCATTCAGAAGATTAGATTAATTAAGATCAGGTGAATTAACTGTAGCAGACATTACAGACTTTTTGGCTGATAATAAGATCTTCCCAACATAAGTTTAGGTTGAATATTTGTTTAGAAGATTGGATTTGAATCATGATGGTAGAATCACATATCCAGAGTAATTTTTATAGAATATTAAAAAGTTTTGTTAAGGCCATTTTACCAAAGGAAGACTCAAGGTTAAGATAGATTGCTTCATTAAGAGATAGCTATTACATTGAAGTAAATATGCTATTACCAACAGAAGTTGAATGGGGTCTTTCAAGAGTTTTATAATAAGAAGTTTAAAATTTCAAGTAATTGTTTAATATAATAAATTTTCTTTAGTTCTATTACAGCAGCATAAGAAATTTTGACAGCCAGTGTAGATTTTACTTCTTTAGATGCATTTAGATGTATAGATTAACTTTATATTGGATATATCACAATAGATAGGTATATAGTAAATATATATTAATAGCTTATAATCCTTTTTGAGAGCAAATGGTGCTAAATTAACATTTGATGAATTATAAGCTTTCTTTAGAGTAGTTGATTCTGATGAAGATGGTAGAATTACTTATTCTGAATTGTTGGAAGCTATTACTTTTGTTCCAGATTATTTCTAAAAGGAAAGGCAGATTGTAAATGAATTAAGAAAAAGTAGAGAAAGAATTACATAACTTGAAAAAGAGAGAGAAGTTTTAGATGATTTATAAAGAAGTAGAGAGAGAGTTGATGATTTAAGAAGAAGTAGAGAGAGATTAGAATAATATCAAGATTTATAAAGAAGTAGAGAGAGACTTGAAGATTTAAGAAAAAGTAGAGAAAGATTGGATGATTTAAGAAGAAGTAGAGAGAGATTAAATTAATTGGAAGAATTATAAAAAAGTAGATAAAGAATAGAGTAATTTGAAGAGTTGAAAAAGAGTAGGGAGAGATAAGCATAAATGGATGAATTGCGAAAAAGTAGAGAAAGACTTGATGATTTAAGAAGAAGTAGAGAGAGATTGGAATAATTAGAGTAAGAAAGAAAGAACACTGAATAATTGGAGGAACTACGAAAATCAAGAAGTAGAATAGAAGAATTGTAGAAGTAAAGAAGAAGGATAGAAGAATTGAGAACAAGTTAAGAAAGGTTGGATGCTTTGAAGAGAAATAGAGAAGATTTAGAATTGAGGAGAAGTTAAGAGAGACTTAATGAATTAAAAAAGAGTAGAGAAAGATTGGAATAAATAGAAGCATTAAAATAGAGTAGAGAATAATAGAGAGCATTAGATGAATTAAGATAAAGTAGAGAGAGATTAGAATAATTGAGAATGTCATAAAATAGAATAGATTAATTAGAAAATGAGAGAAAAGCATTATAAAGAAGTAGATAATTGGAGAGAGAGATACAGTATGAAAGATAAAGAAGTAGAGAGAGATTAGAGAGATTAGAATTAGAAGCTTAATTATAAAGAGAAAGAGAAAGAGCATTAGAATAGGAAATAGTGACATAAAGTAAGATTGTGCAGAGTAGAATTTATGATACCCCTTAGAGATTTTATTGATTATTGAGATAATAAAATAAAATTAAATTTTGTTTAATATGAATATCATTCAATTTTAATTATTTGAAAACACAGTTAAAGTTAGTATGACCTTATTTAGAAATGCTATATAATGTATAGTGAGTGATACAAATAAATTTGGAAGTGTTTTGATAGCTGAATGTGAAAAATTGAGTGAAGATGAAAATATTTATGATGTAAAAACTAAATTTGGATCAAGAGAAATAGTTGAATATGAATATTTTGCTAGGAGAATTATTGAGGAAATGTATAATTCAAAAAGAATAGTTGCAGAAATGTAAAAAAAATATTAGACATAAGAAAAGCAATTTAATATATTTTTAGGTAAAAAACTTTTGTTATTTATTTCTTTAAATGAGAGAGAAAACATAAATAAAATAAAAGTGATTCTTGAAGAAATTAGGGTAAATCTAATTAATTTGATATGATAATAATTAAGTATATTTAATAATATTTTTAAATATATGATAAATATATAACCAAGAACAAGAGAATAAAGAGTAAATAAATGAAAATATTAGATAATAGGAAGCATAAAAAGATAAGGATTTAATTGAGAAGACAAGAATAGATTAAAGAGGTGAAAATAGTAATAGATATAATAGTTGGATTTGAAGCAAGAGGATTAGGAGTGGGAACTTTGATACATTAAGCAACACCATAATCATCACTTTATGTTGCAGGTAAGAATAATAATAATAAAAGAAAATGAGAGATTTGATAAAGACTTTGCTATAGCAGATAAAAGATAAAGAGATTTATAACTATAGTAGAAAGGATAAGTAATTGATAAGAGAAGAATGGAAGGATTAGATAGAGAAACTAAAAAATGGGAATATTAAGAGAAATTAGAATAAAAGGGTTAATAAAAACTTATTATGTAGACTCAAACTTAAACTTAAGGAAAGAGAAATTAAAATGGGTATAAATTATAAAATTTTAATTATTAGATTAGCTTATAATCCTATTACCTTATAGTATGATAAAACTTAATAAGGAAATTCATTAAAAGAATAAGATGATTAAGTAAAAGTTCGTCAATATGTAAGAGCTTAAAATCTAGATTAAAAAGGAAATGCTGGATTTAATATATTAACAGGAGAATCTCGTAATGGAGTTGAATAGATTGTACCAAATCATTTAAAGAATTAATATTAATAAAAACTTAGAGATCATGAATAACATTTACAGATAAAAACTCATTCTTAATTTAATAATTGAATTAAATAATGATGAAATTATATATATAATAAATAAATGGATTATTATAAAGTATTAGAATTGCCAAGAAGTGCAAATGAAGCAGAAATTAAGAAAGCATATAGAAAGTTAGCACTTAAATGGCATCCAGTATTTATATAAAAAATTGTTAATAGGATAAAAATCCAGATAATAAAGATATTGCAACAAAAAAGTTTAAAGAAATAGCAGAAGCTTATGAAGTACTTTCAAAACCTGAGAAGAAATCTCATTATGATAAATATGGACATCAATAACCACCTTCGACTCCAAATTATTAATAATCTAACAATTATGGAAATAATCAATATTAACAAAACTTTAATGATTTTTAAGGATTTTCTTCAGGATTCTAAAATGAATTTAATAATTTCAATAATAGATCTAATAAATATACAGAATAATCTTTTGGATTCCCTTAATTTAATAGAATGCCAGATTTGAATAGATTCTTTTTTGGTGATAATTTTGATCCATTTGAAGTTTTCTAGAACTTTTTCAAAAATGATCCATTTTTTAATTAAGACTTTTTTGGAAATAATTAATAATAAAAAACAAGTTTAACAAAAGCAAATTCTTATAAGAGTGACTTTGATGATGATTTCTTCAAACCAGTTTACTAAAATAGTTCTAATTAAAATATTAATTAGATCAGAGGGTAAACTCATAAAACAATATAATCTACTACAACTACAATGTAAATTAAGATAATAAATAATTTAGGAATGGTTAAACAGTTTAAAGAGTTAAAACAACAATAATTCATCCAGATGGAAGAAAAGAAATAAAAGAAGAGATAAAACCATTATCTTAGTTATAAAAACATAACAGTGCCATTTACTGATAATATTATTATATAATTGAAAATAAGATATTAGACAATTTTGTTGTTTATTCATTTTTATTTATGGTATTAAAATATTAAAACAATGTCTAAAGATAAATAAGATTAAGATTTATAAAACTTAACTCTAGCCGAACTATAAAAGATAAAAGATGAAAAAAGGTTTGATAAACTTTTAAATGATGAATAACAAAAAAGGGAAGAGTTATAAATGAAGAATGAGAGAAATATTATATAAAATGAAGAATCTAATTAAACTATTAAATTATCATCAGATGATCCTTCTGAACTATATGAGAAATTAAAAGAGAAATGGGGACTTTAAGAGAAATAGACTTTAAAAGATGATAGTAAATTTTAACGATTATAAAATTTTAGTTAGTTCTAATTAGACAAAAAGCAAATTAGAGATTTTATTAGAAGAAAGAAGAAATAGAAAACCACCTAAACTCTAATAAATTTAAAATGATTACATATAAAAAATATAAGATGAAACAGTGGTCGATTCTGTATATAGCAAAGAAGGACCTATGCCAAAAACTATTTAATAAATGTTGACAGAATATTAAGGAATTAAAGGAGCTGTTAATATTGGTTAAGAATGGACAGATATTATATAATAAGGTGTGAAAACCAATTTAAAAAATTAAGAATAAGCTGCAAATAGTAATAATTTAGAATATAAAGTTTAGACTACTTTTGGTTGATGGCCAAAAAAGGTCGTTTAGGAGTAGATGGTTTTGCTATTGCTTTTGGGATCTTTGGCATAATATTATTACCAATATATTTTTATTAGAGATAGAATAGAAGAAGAGGAGCTTATAAATAAGAAATTAAAATTGTATCTGGAGTTAAAGATTGGGAAAATTCAACTTTGGATATTGATGATGTTTCAGTTTAATAAACTTATTATACATTATTTTCAGAAGAAATACAAGAACTTATGAAAAAGAAAATGCAAGTTTAACAACAAATAAGCAAACTTTTAGGAAGAGAAAAATGATTAACATTATGATTTATTTATTTAAATATATGATTTATATGTAATATATATATATATAATTTATTATTAACTATACTTATGAAAAAGGTTGTTTAAAAAATCTAAAGCTTAAAAAATATTTCTTAAATCATAGCTTAAGGAGATCATGCTGTTACAGTAAAGAATATGTTAAATGCTTTTGAAAAATAAACAAAAGAAGATTTAAGTTATTTGGAAAAGAATTTGTTAAAGATATTCCCACTTTTTAATTTGATAAAGAAATAACTAAAATCATAATCAAAATTTTATGAACTTATATCTCATCTTTTAATTGAGAACTTTTAAAACAATTAGGTTATTTTTTATAAAGGGGATATTGGAAGAAAAATGTATTTTGTTCTCTCTGGTCGTCTTTTGAGCTACCCTTATGATTTTCGAGATATAAGTATTTAAATTTTTGATTAGAGATAAACATACCGCAAATAAGGAACTAAATGTAGGAGANGATGATAGTAAATTTTAACGATTATAAAATTTTAGTTAGTTCTAATTAGACAAAAAGCAAATTAGAGATTTTATTAGAAGAAAGAAGAAATAGAAAACCACCTAAACTCTAATAAATTTAAAATGATTACATATAAAAAATATAAGATGAAACAGTGGTCGATTCTGTATATAGCAAAGAAGGACCTATGCCAAAAACTATTTAATAAATGTTGACAGAATATTAAGGAATTAAAGGAGCTGTTAATATTGGTTAAGAATGGACAGATATTATATAATAAGGTGTGAAAACCAATTTAAAAAATTAAGAATAAGCTGCAAATAGTAATAATTTAGAATATAAAGTTTAGACTACTTTTGGTTGATGGCCAAAAAAGGTCGTTTAGGAGTAGATGGTTTTGCTATTGCTTTTGGGATCTTTGGCATAATATTATTACCAATATATTTTTATTAGAGATAGAATAGAAGAAGAGGAGCTTATAAATAAGAAATTAAAATTGTATCTGGAGTTAAAGATTGGGAAAATTCAACTTTGGATATTGATGATGTTTCAGTTTAATAAACTTATTATACATTATTTTCAGAAGAAATACAAGAACTTATGAAAAAGAAAATGCAAGTTTAACAACAAATAAGCAAACTTTTAGGAAGAGAAAAATGATTAACATTATGATTTATTTATTTAAATATATGATTTATATGTAATATATATATATATAATTTATTATTAACTATACTTATGAAAAAGGTTGTTTAAAAAATCTAAAGCTTAAAAAATATTTCTTAAATCATAGCTTAAGGAGATCATGCTGTTACAGTAAAGAATATGTTAAATGCTTTTGAAAAATAAACAAAAGAAGATTTAAGTTATTTGGAAAAGAATTTGTTAAAGATATTCCCACTTTTTAATTTGATAAAGAAATAACTAAAATCATAATCAAAATTTTATGAACTTATATCTCATCTTTTAATTGAGAACTTTTAAAACAATTAGGTTATTTTTTATAAAGGGGATATTGGAAGAAAAATGTATTTTGTTCTCTCTGGTCGTCTTTTGAGCTACCCTTATGATTTTCGAGATATAAGTATTTAAATTTTTGATTAGAGATAAACATACCGCAAATAAGGAACTAAATGTAGGAGATCATTTTGGAGAAATTAGTCTTCAACATAGAATACCAAGAACATTAACGGTCATTTGTAAAGGTGAAGTTATTTTAATTAGTGTAAATTATGAAACTTATTCTACTTTTATTTAGACCTCAGTTGATAAAATGTTAACGGATTCATATAAATTAATTAAAACTTTAAGTATCTTTAGAGATTGGAGTGAATTTACACTTTAATTAATATTACATCATTTAAAGGAATCAAAGTTTTAAAGAAATTAATATGTTTTTAAAGAGGGAAATAAAGATTAAAATTTATATATTATTAAATCTGGAGAGATTATTTTATAAAAATAATATACAATCAAATAAAAAAAAAGTGAAAATGGATTGATTTATTTAAGCCATAATTAATGTTTTGGAGATTTTGAATTTATTGACGATTAAAAGTGGTTAAATGATAAAAATTTATTAAAATAAATAAGTAGACAAATGGATGCAAAATCAACAACTGAAACTTTTATTCTATATCTACCATTTCTTACTTATATTAGAATATAAGAAGAATATCATTCAGTTACTCTATAATTATTTTTATCTAATTCAAAGTAGGTTGTAATTTAGAGAATGAAAAAATTATAACAGTAAATTATAAATAAATAAACAAAATTAGATGAAGAAAATGAAAAAAAAGATGAACTCTCTGAATTAAGAATATTTAAAGATTAAAAAATTGAAGAAAAGTAACCTTAAATAGAAAACGATACTACTAAAATTAAACATTCTAACAATCCTTATTTATCTTTAATGGGAGCTATTAAAAACAATAGAACTAAGGAACATTAATAATAGTAGCCAGCTTAATAAATAGATTAAATTGCTAATCAATTTTCTTAAAAATCTATTTTAATGAAATTTGATAGAGGACACAAAATATTATTATTAAAAAAGCTAAGAGATGCTTCAATATTACCTGATCCTAAAGATAATTTTATTTATTAATAATAATCTGTAAGAAGTAGTTATTCAAGATTAAGGATAAATAGAAAATATTAATAAAGTATTTAATAGGATAATGTTACTATAATCAAACCTTAAGTTAATTCTCGTTCTCACACCCCTGATTCTTCAGTGGTATTACAAAATGAAGATAAAACATAAAATAAAATAAATAAATGTTAGAGGGCTTTTACATTTAAAATAAATGATTATCATAATTTTAAACTATCATAAAATTCTGTTGGATATTCACGATCAATGTCTTAAATGAGTGTTAGTCGAAGTAGCATAAATCGTAAATCACCAAGTAAATATAAATTTGAAATTGAATATGAAAAAAGCTAATAGTAAACCCCATAAAAATAGCCTAAAATAGATCTTGATTTGTGCATTTATGGAAAATAATGATAATACTTTAAACTTTGAATAATATTTATAATTTAATGGTTTATTATAAATTATTGTTTTCCTGTGAGACTAAGAATGTTGAAGCAATTTCAACAGGTGGAACAAACTATGAGTATTTAGAAATTAATTATCATTTAATAGATGGCACATTTCTTTAGTTTGTTCAAGCTGTTAAACATAAATTAATGAAATTTATTTTAGAGGTGATGATGAAGTAGATGTGGCTAATTCAAGAGGATAATGCAATTTTTAAATGAAATGTAAAACATGTGCAAAAATGATAAATATTTCTTTAGAGAAATTTCCAGACACAGTCAATGTTCAAGAAATAAGTATAATTATATTATTTTATTTTAAGGTAAGGATATTTAGATTGCATTATTTGATTGCAGAGGTGCTGAACCAAAAACCTGGAATTTCTAAGGTTTGACAGTAATAACACCAAATGGAACAGTATTTTAAGATGCTGATTTAACTGATACATGGGTTGAATATGATGAAAAGGCTGCAGAAGAAGTGTTAGTTGATAAATTTAAAGCTTATTTCTAAAAAACAAAGTGAATTCATAAGAGTTATTTAAACTCATATATATTAAAATTTATAAATAATTTAAACTAATTCTTTATTGATAATGAGTGCTGCAAAATTTATGAATATCTTATCTCAAAGAGATCAATAGTAAATAAACTTACTAATTATTTTTAGATATTTGGATAATCCATAACTTAATTCTTATCAGTAATTCAAGCAGACTATACAGTCACTTGGTTTTTAACATAAATAACCTACTTAAATGAATTTTTAAAAACATTGCACTCCACCTACATCCGATAATTCACCATATTTCTTTTCGAAATAAGAATAATGGCAAAAAACCTAAGACTTATTGGCTCAATAAATTAACTCCAGTTCAAACAAATCTTATAGAGCTATTTACCCAAATAGAAAATTAACTTCTATAGAAGAAAGATATTAATAACACAATTCTTAATCTTATTTTATGAATAAAGTGTTATCTTCTGAGCCTAGTCCACTTCTATAATATAAATCTCAGAGTCCTTCATTAAAAGAAAAGAGCTAAAGTGAAATGAGCTAAATTTAATAATAGATGTCTTTGCCTGCTTTTAAAAAGTCTAATCTTAAGATCAAAACTGACGATGAAGGAAGGATAAAAAAAAAAAAAACAGTCCAGATAGTTGAAATCTAATTAGAAAAAAATAATGAAAGTAATGGATAAAAGAAAAGCCCTAAAAAAATCATAACGAAAACTCAAATAAGAACAGTTTAAGACTTTTTAGTTGAAAACTCAAACAAAAAAAAGAAATGAAATTTTATCTTTTAAAAATTTCATTATATACACTTCATTCTTATTCATCCATGTGTACCATTGATTCTTAGTTCTTTTTTTATTATATTTTTTATTAAATCTGGAATCTGTTAGAGAGACTTATTTGATTCTAAAGTTAGTAAATTTTTTTGCATAAAGCTCTTCTCTAAGTAAAATCGAAATTATTATCTTATTTAGGACTTGTTAAGAGGGTTTGAATAGTAGAATTGAGTTTTTTAGATTGAGGGGTTGAAATTTATCTATAATTATTTTACATAATATAATAATAAATATAGAGCAAAAGTTGAATATTGAATTGTGAATTTATTTGAAAATTTTTATAACAAATCTCTTGATTTTCTTTAATTATTTGGTTGACAAAATTTTAGATTAAAAATTATGAGTTAATGAAATGGTTAATTAATAGGAGACGTTATTGAGCATATAAGTTTAACATTCTATAAGATTTATTATTTAATAACTCATTAAATTATAAAAATATTAAGAGTTTTGTTAAAATGTCCAAAAGAAACATTTTCGAGAAACAAGATAGTAATTTATCAAGAAGATCTTTAATAAAATAAAATACAAATAGAAATTTAACAGGCTAGAAAACTTTATTTTCTAAATTTTCTTCTACTCTTTTCAAACAATAAGAAGCCAAATAAGAAGAAGGTTATTTTAAAAATCTTACTTTTAGAGATTCAATTCTTAATTAAAGAGAAGTAGTAATGCATTCGTGTTTTAATCTATTTGCTTTAGAATTATGATGGAATGGAATAATTTTTGAAAAAATAATCTGTCATCGGTCCATTAAATTCATATGATCCCATAACATAAATTTACTAAGATATAAGTCCAATTAGAACGTATATTTATTTATTTATTAAAGAGAATTGATCTATTATTTTTAGATAATCTCTGTACGAGATTTTCATGATTTTTATGTTGATTTTTACGCTACTTTTGATAAGAATAAAAATTTTTCACTTGAACCATTTGAATTTAAATAACTACTTGAGGTTGCTATTAATAAATGTGTCGGTTCTAAAAAATTTAAGGTTGTTACTGATCTTTTTTTAGAGGATCGTTCATCATATGACAACTAATTAAATGATAAAATTTTTGAAGAGATAATTGATTTTTTTAGAGACTCAGATAAGGAATCAAAAATAGATTATTTATTAGTATTTCCCTATATTCTAAGTTTTTTTTTAGAATACACTTACTAAGAAATAAAATATCGATAAGGAAGATTAGATTTAATGAGAGGAACAGAAATAATAAAAGGAAAGGAGGTAGAGATAAAAAACATAACAAGTTTAGTTACAATACTTAAGGAGATGGGAATAGATTATCTTAGAGATAAAAGAACTACATGTTTGACATATAGGGATGTTGAAAACGTTTTAATTAAATTAAAAAATATATAGAAATGGATAACATTTGATATTATCAAATAGATTATAAATTAATTAGCAAAATTAATGTCAGTAGATCCTAAAACTTAAAATGAAGGGTAACCATTAAAACTACATAAAATAATTAATTTTTTAGCATTAAAATTGTGTATACATTAAAATTGTCTACACATAAGTAGACAAGATAAGGAGAAATAGAAACCACCTTCAGCATATTTAGAAGTATTAGTTTTATGGAATGCTGCTATGTATGGATAAATTATGAAATAAACTAATTTAGAGTCATAATTTTAAAGATTTCTAGATAAACATTATTCAAATAATTAAAGTTTTAGTAGAGTTGAAACTCTTAAATTATTGGAATAATTTTTTAAAAAGAAATTTCAATTAATGCCTAAAGATTTAATTAAGATGATTTTAGAGCAACATTCTTCTTTTTAAACTAAATAAGTTATTTAACCTCCAATATAAAAAGAAAGTTTACAAAAAGAACTTTTTTAAATGATGTGTAGAGATGGATATAGAAAATTGTAAGAATATATTAGAATAAGTTATGAAGGAGTATCTAAGACTTCGAATAATGATAAATTAGAATAATATAAAGGGTAAGGGAAAAATTTTAATGATGATCATTAAATTAATTCTCCAATATCAAGTGATAGGTAGTTAAAAACAAAATAAATTGTAAATCCTAAAAAGATTAATTAATAAATATAATAATAAAAAAGTCAAGATTCTAATTCAGAGAGTGAAGTAGAATAAGAAAAAAAACCAATAAATAGATTAAAAAAAGTAGTTAAAGTTATAAGTTCAGAATAAGCTTTTGCCTCAGGAGCTGAATAAAAAAAAGATGTATTAAAAGCATGTTTAATAATGGATAGTTTTTTGAAAAGACAAAGTTAAATGTATTAAAAAATGCAATAGAGCAAAATACAAAATTAAAGTTGTGAAACTCCTTTAAAAGAAGAAAGATAAAATGAAATTAAATTATTTGATCAAGAAACTTAATAAAATATAGGAAAAAAGAATTAAGATGAGGATAATATTAAAATAAAAAAAAATAATAAAGTTAAAGAGAAAGAAAATAAATAAGATAAATAATAATTTGAGAACACAAATGATGATTAAAGAGAGGAATAAAATTAAGAAGAGAAGCATAAGAAACCTAAATTAAATTAAGTTCGTCCAATGATAATATTGAAAGATATTAGAAAACCATCATAATCATAATCTGGAGATATATTTTCAGTAGCTGGAAAAGCAGATAAAAATGTAGGTCCTTCTAATTTTAAGAATGCATATTATGGACATTTGAATACATAGTAGGATGCTTCAAAAATAATGAATTGGAGTACTTCCACAAAAAGTTAAATATTTTAATTAACAGATGAGGTAATAAATATTTATTTAATTAATAGGACTTTAAGGATGATTAGGGAAAGTTTCAAGTTGTTATTGATGATGTTTAATTATAAACATAAATTTAGATATAACAAAATTAAGCAAAAACTAAAAGACCTAAGGATAGATCAACTTGTTATTATTGCACTATCTAATGATTTTAATATAAGATTATTTGTTTACAATTATAAGTTATCTTTTTATAATGTTTATCTAACAATTTATTTATAGAAAGTAAAGTTGAAGAAAAATACATGTTTTCTAGAAAAGTTACTTAACAATTTCAATAAAATGATTAAAATGAAAAGGATAAAAGGATAGCGAAAATGCAAACTTCTTTCTTTAAATCGTTTACATCTTCAAAGAGAGAAGGCAAGGATGGTGATGGTATATCAATAATTTTATTAAAATTAGAGTTTTAATTTTTCTTTCGAAGTTAAGATTGTGCATTCCATACAATATTATTCATGATGGTTAATTTTTAAAAAGCAGAGGAAGAATCTAAAAAAAAGGGCTTTTCTTTATTAAGTAATCCTAAGCCAATTATGAATATGGAATCATATTCAGATATAAGTGAACTCAGACCGTACTTATGTATATGTTTAAAATAGGGAGTTGATATATTTTTTTACCGTTATTTCTGTGAGGGACTTACATGATTTCTATGTTGATTTCTATGCATCATTTGATACAAATAGAAATTTTAGTTTAGAAAAGAAGGAGCTTTAAAAAATGTTAGAAATTGTGTTAGGATTGATTGGGCATTAAAAATTTAAAGTTTTTAGTGATCAAGCTTTGATAGATAATGAAGCTTTTGATGGAACTTTAAACTAAAAAATCTTAAATGATATTGGTGAAAATTTTATGTTGCCTAATGAATAAAATAAAGTTGACTACTTATTGATATTTCCATATATTTTAAGCTTCTATTTAGAATATACATATTAGGATATAAGGAATAAATAAAAACGATTAGATATAATCAAGGGAACTGAGTACCTGAGAGGAAAAGAAGTTGAGATTAAAAATATTACAAGTCTTATTTCAATTCTAAAAGAAATGGGAATTGATTATTTAAAAGATAAAAATACTTATAAAATTTCTTTTAGAGATGTTGAAAATATTTTATTAAAATTTAAGAATATTTAAAAATGGATGACATTTGAAGTAATATAATAGATTTTACAATCATTAAGTAAACTTATGTTTGTAGATGAAAAAACATAAGAAGAAACTAAAAAATTAAAGTTACATAAAATAATTGATTTTGTTGCATTAAAATTATGTATTCATTAAGATTGTCTAAAAATAAAAAAATAAAAAAAAGAATCTAATTAATCTGTATTTCTGGAAGTAATATTTATATATATTTTTAATATTAGATCTTAGTATTATGGAATTGTGCTTAGCTTTCTAGGTTTTCAGAAAAAAAAACTTTGACCTTAAAATTTGAGAAATTTCTAGATAAACATTTTTATGAGAAGGAAACTTTTAATAGATTAGAAATGTAAAAATGTTTAGAAAAATTTTTCAAAAAATTTTATTAATTGATGCCAAAAAAGTAAATTTACGATATAATTCAATGTCATCAACTTTTTACAGATAAAAATATTATTAAAAATTATTCAATTGAAAGAGAAGAATTTAAAAACTCTCTTTTTACTATGATATGTAAGGATGGTTACAATAAATTAAAATAATATGTAAAAATTATATTTGATGGTATTACAAAATAGTCAAAAACAACAACAATATAATATTAGAATTATGGGAAGGAATTAGATTAAGAAAGTATATAAGGAGGATTGTCTTCATAAAAATAGACTAGGGATCGATAAATTAGTTAATAAACAAATTCTTACTAATAATAGTAATATTAAAAATAATAAAAAGAAAAAGAAAAAGAAAAAGAAGTTAGTGATAGTGATTCAAGTAGCAATGATGAAAAATAAAAAGGAGTTTAACCTAGTCAAAAATTCAAAACAGCTGTTAGAACTATCTAATCTGGAAATATGATAATGAAAGAGAGAAATGAAAGTAAAGATATATTAAAGGCTTGTTTAATGATGGATAGTTTTCTGAAACGTTAAACATAAAGATTATAGAATTATGTAAAAGTATCCAAATCTGTAAACATTTCTGTAGTTAAATCTGATGTAAAATAATAAGATAAGTCTTTGTTTTTGGATTAAGATGAATAAAAGGAATTGTTTGATCCTTCTGATATGTTAAATAAGAAAAGATAGGAATAGAAAAATAAAGAAATATATAACATTAAAAAAACAAAGGAAGGAAAGGTTTGGGAGAAAAATGATGTTCCATAAGATAAAAAGATCGAATAAGATATGGATGTAGTAAGTACTTAAGTTGAACAACCTATTGAGATTCCAAATGAATTAAGATTTCCAGAGGGTAAATAAAAGAAAAAATTAAATCGTCTAGAATTGGCTAATGAATTACAAATGGTTTTAGGAAAATCAAATAGTGATTTTGGTTCAAATAATTTTAAGTAAGCCATTAGATTATAATCAGCATCTCAAATGACTCAACCTATAAAAATATCAAAATAATAAGATGTAATTTATATTTATTTATTAAATAGGAGTAAGATAATTTAGTTATAATTAATGAAACTGTTCTGGACAATTTAATTAGACGTAATTAACATTAAGAAAGAGTAAGAAAATCTACAAGAGATGATTGTTAATGTTTAATTTATTGAAGTTTTAATTTATTAATATAAATTAGTATTAATAATAAAAATTATTTATTTCTTTACCAGAAAGTGGAGTGCAAATTTTCAGTTGATAATAAATTAGCTATATCATAACATAATCAAAATATCAGAGAAATAAAATAGAAAATCTTTTTAGATGAGAATCGAAAACTTAAAAGAAGAAGTATATAAATTCTAATTTTGATGAAAATATAATCAATAATCATTATAAATGAATTGTAGCTTTTCATAATTTAAATTTTCTAAGTGTTTCAAAATACAAAGATAATTCCTATTAGAGAATCAAGAGTTTTTATTTTTATTAATCTTCTTCTATCATCACATTTTTAAATTTTCTCAGATATTATTCTTCTCGGTTTTACTTTGAACAAATGTTATCAATATTAGTATTATGAAACAAATTACAAGGATCACCTGCAATTGGCATGATTAAAGGGGAATTATTCTTAACAAAATAAAACTCTTCAATTATTGGCATTTTTCTATTCATTACTTTAATTAATTAAAAACTTATCATTTAAAATAAATGAGATATCAAAAACATAAAGAATTTTATAAGAAAGCAAAAACGAATAAGTCTTGATTAAATGAGAAAAATAATAAAAATAAAGAATACTATTTTTTATTTTTTATCTATTTCGATATTCATCAACTTGTAAATACTTTGTATTTAAATAGATCTATAAAAGAAAAAAAGTGTTTTATACAAATAAAATAAATAAATTAGATTCATGTAATCTTTAATAAGATTAGACAAATATAAAAGAGAAAGAGTTTTTAGATTGTATGATTTCCTCTTATAAAGAAAATCTAAACGTGGAATAAAATAATGAATTGAATTATTTAGATTGATATTCTAATATATAAATATCACAACAGAATTTGCTCAGTTATTATTATAAATAAATAAAAATGCCTCCAAAAAAATAAAAGATTGACTAATTTTTTGAATCAAAGGAAAAAAAGTCAGAAAAAAAGGTATAAGAATAAAATAATGATAATAAAATCATTGAGGAAGAATACAAAGTATTTCTTTTCTTAGATGTATAAGCCTGTCCCTGAAGGTATTGTTCCTTTTGATGACTTTTATAATGGTTTGTTTAGTTGGTAGAAAAGTTTAAAAAATTAAGAAGCCAACCTCAAAAATATTTATGAATTCATTAGAAAAGAATATTAGATTAAAACATGTTATCCTCCATTTGAGAAAATATTCAATGCATTCTAACTTACACCAATTAATAAGATAAAAGTTGTAATAGTGGGATAAGATCCGTACATTAATTAAAATGAAGCAATGGGATTATGTTTTTCTGTTCCTCGTTCATAATCAAAGATACCTCCCAGCCTAAAAAATATTTATAAATTACTATCTACAGATATTTAAGGATTTTAAATACCAAAACATGGAGATTTGACTAAATGGGCATAATAAGGAGTTTTCTTACTTAATACAGTATTAACTGTTGAAGCTGGAAAGTCTAATTCTCATAAAGATTGTGGTTGGATTAAATTCACAGATTAAGTTATTGAAGTTATTAATAAATAATGCAATGGAATAGTATTTTTATTATGGGGATTACCAGCCTAAAAGAAAGCTAAAGGTGTGGATAGATAAAAACATTATATATTAGAAACTGTTCATCCAAGTCCATTGTCTGCTAGTAATGGATTCTTTACATCAAGTAATTTATGTTGTTAATGATTAGATCACTTTTCAAAGTGTAATTAATATTTAATTCAAAATGGAAAGCAACCAATAGATTGGACTTTGGATTGACAATATAAAATTATTAAATTGGAATTCTTTCTATTATATATATAATAATTTTAAACTATAGTGTTAAGATTTCAATATTGTAACTAAAATAATCTGTGCATGAATTACCTAGTTCTAAAAGAATAAGCTATTAACTTGTAATATAATATGAAATACTGAATATCTCATATTATGTTTCAAGTTAAAAATATAGATTTCAATTTTGATTTAGATTGTAAGGCAATAGATTGTGTTGGATTCAACTTTGATGATTTATCAATAGTTTTTAATCATACATAAATAAATTGGTTCTTTTTTGAAAGTACATAGGTAATACATTTAAATTACAAACATTTTAGATAGATTATATCAAAAATCATTAGTAAATGGAAAAATGATTAAATTTTATTAGAATCAATTTATTGAATAGAGAAGAGTATGGATATGAATAGATATTGTAATTATTTTAGATTAAAATGATGTGATTGGTTTTATATGAATAAGGCTTATATATATTTGGCTATCGTTAATAAATTTAAAATATCAAAATGGATGAATATATTACGGTAATTAAGTATTATTAGTATAGAATTACAGAGAATTGGAGAAATTGATAGATGGAATCCCTGTTCCAGATATTACAGTATCATCTATGTCATAATAATCAAATCGACTTACTCCTCAATCTAAGAAAAAATAATCTCTAACAAGGGAGCAAGTCCAAATGATTTTAAGAAAAACAAAAGAATAATCTTAATTTCCTACTACAAAATAGAAGGTCTTAACTATGCAGACTTTTAATTGTAAAGAAAATTCAAATGATGAATAGATGTTTAAAGTAATGAAATAAAAGGAAGAATATAGCAATTAAGAATTTTAGAGATTGTAGTAATAGATAAAAGATTAGTAGAAAGTTATTGAACAATAAATACAACAGATTGGATAAATAAACATTTAAATTGAATATTTGACAAATGAATTATAGGATAATCAAGAAAAGAGATAAGCTGATTCTAACAGAATATTACAATTATAAAAAATAAATGAATAATAAAAATAGACAATTGAAGATTTAAGAGTTGAATTGTAAGTGGCTAAAAGAGTGAGTTCATAATAATAAAATAAGGAATAAGATTCTATGAATTAGATTAGTTTGTTAAAATCTAAAATAACTAATTTAGAAACTGAAATTAATAGAACTAGAACTACTTTTACACTTACATCTCCTAAAAATGATACAATGTAGACTGAAGTATTTTCAAATAGAATTGATCCGGAATTATTAAGTGAAGAAGAAACTTTAACTATCTTACTTAATTTATTAGGAAGAGTTTCAAAGAGTTAAAGAATGTCATATTTATTAAAAAGAAATGCTGATTTCAAATTATTAATAAGATGTAAACGTAGTTAACCAAGTATTAATAAAGTTTCCATTCTTTAAAGTAGTAAATCCATGTTTGATAGAAAACTATCATATAATCATGAAAACTTTAAATAAATAGTAAAGAATGTAGGAATAAAAATCTAATAATGAAATTCACTTTATCTATAATTTATATAAAATTAATTAATGTTTTTAGATTGCATAATCAATAATGAAAATAATGAAGAGTATGATACTCCTAAGATTTGTTTAGATACTCTAGGCTTAAGTTAAGAATTAGATTAATAAGTATTATATATTTATTAGATAGCAAAGTAAAAATAAATGTTAAAGAAAAATTAGAATTATACAAAGAATTTAGGTGTTGGAAATTCTGCATATGATAATCATGATATAGATTTAAGTGCATTCACTATTGAAAAATAGATATTTAAATAAGAAAAAGAAGAATCACTAGGATCTATTGATTTGAATGATGCTCCTTAATTTTTTGAAGCTGTTTAATTAGATCCTGTATTAAAAGAAGAACTAGTATAAGATGATAAGAATCTATAAAACATTACAATAAAATAATAATAATAAATAGAACATAATTAAAATTCATTAGAATAATAAAAAGAATAATAAGAATAAATAGATGGTATTATTACAATCAGTAATATGTAAGAAACTACTGTATAGGAATTAATAGCCATACCACCTATTTGTCCATATTCTGAAAAAATAACCTAATTGAATTTACCAGATTATTTAAGAGATTTTCTTATAAATCCTATACCTTCTGCAGGAATGTTTTAATGTACAATACAAAGAGATAAATCTGGATTAAATAGATTTGTTCCTAAATATAGAATGTATTGGAGTCATAACGGATAATTTTTACTTGCTGCAAAGAAAGTTTTAAATAAAAATAAGTATTTAATAACATAGGATGGAGAATTTAAGTAGAAAGATGAAATTCTATTGTTAGGTAAGGTTGAATAAGGTAAATAATCAAAAGCAGATTATCATTTATATGATAATGGAGTAAAATAGAAAGATTAAAATTAATTTAAAAAATTGAGAATTTAATTAGGTAGTGTATTTTTTGACACAACTTAGTCTAGGCCAAGAAAAATAGTTTTGGCACTTAGAAAAAGTGAGAAGGAAACTGTTTAATTTATAAGTAGAAGACCATAGGTTATAATTAATGGAACATGTAAGTATTTTTTTGGATATAATTAGAAAACTTGTATACTCTTGATTTTTTTGGAAGAGTAAAGAGATCATCTATCAAGAACTTTTAATTAGTTTTAAAAAGTGATGATAAAGATATAATATATGTATAATTTGGAAAAGTAGATTCGAATCGATATAATTTGGATTTTATGAGTCCTTTAAGTCCTTTAACAGCTATGCAATTAGCTTTAAGTAATTTTGATTTTGCAGGGAAAGCATGATTTTTTTATTTTTAATTTTTAATATATTACAAAATAAAATAAGATAGAATGGATGAACAAAAACAAAATAAAGTTATCATAAAAGTAAAGTAGTTTTTAAGAATTAGATTTTAATAAAATAAGCATTGATACAATAATACTTAATTAATATAAATGTATGTTGTCTTTTGAATGATTATTTTTATACAATAGCATTAAATGGTTTAGGAATAATATTCATTGCTTTTGTTTATCATATTATACCTTTAAAGAGTAGTAAAGTTAAGTATATAGTGGAATATTCATTGTTAGCTGGAGTTTAAGTAAATATTTGAAAATAGGGATATTAGATTCTTGCAATATTCATGAAAGAATTATTAATATATTTAGCAAGTTCATTATTAGGATTATCAATTTTATCAGTATTGTTTAAGATATGTAGAACTTAATTAAACGTTGACCAATCATTAGGTTTATTTAAATTAGTAATTATATATATGTTGATAGTTGAAAGTGTGTAGGGATGTTGAAATGTTTTTTAAGTTTATAACTTCTATTTTTATCATTACATTTAAACTCTGTATTACCATGGAGTTGGATATAAATATTTGTTATATTATGGTTTATTTTAGTTTGCGGTTTGTTATTTTAGATTTGCATGATATTGAATTTAATTTATAAGACATTTAAAAGATTGAATTATTCAATTGAAAGAAGAAATAATACAAATATTAAATATTATGGTGGTATATGGTATACATTATAATTACATTGTTTGACATTCAATCCATTTTTTACTTTACTAAATTTTTGTTTAACAATGGATTAGAATGATAGCAACATATACCTTCCTATAATTTGTTTAATAGGATGGTTAATAATGATGATAGTATCATTTATTATTCGTAAAGAAGTAAAGTAACAGTAAATATACAATCAGATAATATTATTAGTAAATGAACAACTTAATTCCATAAGTTAATACTTCTCATAATGAAGTATTTATGAATGAAAGTATCCCAAAATATTTGATGAAAATATCTTCAACTTACTTTTAAAAGACTGATAAACCATTTGAAATTCTATCCACATCACCTCGTAAATCAAATGATGGTGATATAAAATGTTTAATTTGTTTTGAAAATGAAAGTGGTTATGTCCTTATGAATTGTGGACATGGTAATCATTATCATTTAATTATAGGTGGTTTATGTCTTAAATGTGCATCCAATCTTCTCTTAAGAAATAAAGAATGTTATTTATGTAGACAACCTATAATGAAAATATTCTAAATTTAAAAGAACAATTTTAACTTTGTTGAAGTCATCGGCATCATTGAAACATAATGAATTATCATTATATCTTTATATTTAATTATATTATATTTATTTATATTTAATTATATTATATTTATTTATATTTATTATTTTAAATATATTATTTATTTATTTAATAATTATTTAATATATACAATCTCATTATCATCTTCTCCATATATTAAACACTGTTTTACTACTTGCTATTACACATCTTGTAAATCCACTTATACTGATTTATGGTAGATTTACAAATTCATTATTCACTTCAATTATATCATTTACATCATTTACATTCCAAATTCTAATTGTATCATCCCATGATGCTGAACCAATATATTAAGAATATGGAGAAAACCCACATGTCCATATTCCTCTTTTATGTCCTTCAAATTATTTTAACAATATGAAATTACGAGTAGACCATAACTTTATAAATTTATCCTTACCTGAAGATATCAACCATTCATAATCATAAGAAAATTCTACACAATATCCCTCTTCATTATGTGCTTACCATTTCTTTAATACTTTATCATTTTTGTATATTATTATATTTTTATCATCACCAATAGTTGCAATAATTTAATTTACATTATAATTTTCTTAATTCATATTTAATAACCAATTACCACCACCAAATGAACAACCATTCACAGCTTATGAATGTCCATTCAATCTATATTGTTATTTATTACTTTCTATATTCCATACTATACCTTATCTATCACCGCTTACTGAACAAAAATATTTAGAATCAGAGGAAAAACTAAATCTATTTATTCCTTCATTATGTCCCTTAAAAATAATTGGACGTGATTCTAAATTATTTATATCCCACATCCAAATATCTGACGATCTTCCACTTCCAACTAATAACCATTTTTTATTTGGTGAAAATTTCAATGCTTAGATTCTATCTGATTAACAAATAAAACATTTTAATTCTATCATCGAATCTAAATCATACACTACTACTTTATTATTCCAATTTGAACCACCAGCAAATAATTATCCATCATTTGTAACATCTATTGCAGTCACACTATTATAATAATCTAATTTTAATTTTATTAAATTTTTATCACATAAACTAAAACTATCCTCCTCTCTTATTTCTCTTTATTATTCCTTTAATTATTCATACTATAACTTTTCTAAATTTTCTAAATATTATTTTAATTAATCTCTCTCTTGTGTCTATAATATTATTGATTATAACATTTCATTTGATTTTTATGCCTTATTTAACAATATATTCAGAGATTACATTTCTAACACAAACTATTTTAATTAACTAATTTGTTTCTATCCAGAAAATTTTAAACTCAAAGATCCTGCATCTAATCTTGTCAATTCTTATAATTCTTAACCCAATTTTTATAAAACAATTTCTGTGATTTCTTCACATTAAATATATGTCTTATAGATATTTTAAACTTAATTAATTTCATCTAAAATTGATGAAAATTAAGATCCATACTTCAAAAAACTTGAACCTATTTCTTCTGTGATTTTTTCAAAATCATTAACTAATTACTATTTTAATTTATTCTAAACCCATCTTTCTTAATATTCAGTTATACATTAATCAATTTTAGATATGCTTATCACTTTATGATTAATATGAGATTCCTTTGCACATATAGCACAAATGGCTTTTTTATTACTAATACACTTTTCATCTAAACACATTACTGATATTCCTAAACCTAAATCAGAATGATTTTTAATATGACATTTGATTGAATTGGCTTTGCTAAATAAATCGTTCATTTTTATAGATTAATAAATATAGATTAAAATAGTTTTGTAAAATTCTTAAGAATATTTTAATAACATAAATCTATATAACAGACAAGCATATCTCTAGGATGAAAATAGCATAATTAAAGTATTAAATACATGAAAAATAGTCCAAATTTTTATTTATAAATAAGTTTATTTATTAATGCAATAGAAGAAGGTTTGGAGAAAGATTTAATATGATATTCGAGATAAGCCAATTCTTTAACTTAAATTTCAAAAGGTAGGCAAAAAATCAAATGATATTTATATAGGATGTTTTAATGAATATCTGATAAAATATAAAGTAAGAGTTTTTAAAAAGAATATAGGATCCATTCTACACAATCCCTTATAAGTTATTTGATTTAGAATTCACAAATAAATTTGAAGTAATAAGAACTCCTTCTAAATTAAAATAAGAGAAACCTCATAGTAAAGTAAGAGGTGAAGAGATCTTAGAATTAGGAGAAATCGTAGCTATTCGATTAATTATGGAAAATATTGATAAGCCATATGAAATATAGGGAAAGACTGATTAAATGCATCAATTGAGAAGCTTTTTGGGTAACAAAATCAATTAAATTGGATTTCACAATTTATTTCGTGTATATAAAAAAATTGGGAGAGGAAATTTTGCATCTGTTTATTTAGCAGAAAGAATAGAAGACAATCTAAGAATGGCTGTTAAAGCATTTTCAAAACAAATTGTTTATAATGAAGATAAAGGAAGAGTATATTTTACTGTTTTTCATTTTAGGAAGGATTAATAAATGAAATATAGATAATGAGAGAATTAGATCATCCTAATTTAATGAAATTATATGAAGTCTATGAAACTAAGAATTCTATCTATATGGGTCTTGAATTACTAGAGGGAGATCAATTATTTGAGTATTTAAAAAAGAAAATCTAATTTACAGAAAAATAAATTCAAAGTATAATGGTTGGTTTATTGATGGGCCTTAAACATATGCATATTAAAGGAATTATGCATAGAGATCTTAAATTAGAGAATATCTTATTTAAATAATAAGGGTATTATAAAAAATATATAAAGAAATTTTGATTCTGTTGTTATAGCTGATTTTGGATTAGCCACTCATATTAATAAAAAACCATATTTATATTAAAAGTGTGGCACACCTGGATTTGTTGCTCCAGAAATCATCAATTTAAAAAATGTATATTAACCTTATGATTCAGTTTGTGATGTTTATTCAATGGGAGTTGTATTTTATATATTGTATTTTATTTATTTTATATAATTAGATTAACTGGAAGACCTGCTTTTACTGGTAAAACTTATAATACAATTGTTAAATAAAATAAAGAAGCTAATGTTAATTTTGATTCTCCACTTTTTTAAAGTGCGGCTAAAGATGTTTAAAATCTTATTTTTCAAATGCTTTAAAAAGATCCTTCATTAAGAATTAAAAGTAGCGAAGCTTTATTACATCCTTATTTGTAAAGTGCTTTATTGATTGATGATGATGAAGCTCACATTTCTACAGATGATGATCCTAATCTTATGGAAAGAATTAAAATACTTAATAAATAGTTATAAATCATTTATATTTTTATTTAGAACTGAAAAAGTTGATTTCACAAGAATCAAAAGATAAAACAGTTAAAATATTAAAGACTTAGCTTTATAAGGCACTTAAGAATTAAAATAAAACTAATCCTCTGATGAAGAACTTAAAATTGTTATGAGGACACCAGTTATCACAGGAAGAATCAATTCTGTTGATAGTATTTTGTATTTTTTATTTAGATTCTCCTATGTTAAAATGCCTTTCACCTTTCCAAAGTACTGGTGGTTATGATGAAATAGCCCATGATTAGATTATTTTGTAAAGATATTCTGGAAAAACACTAAAGATATGACTTTATTATTTTTATATTTTTAATACATCATATTCATTTAATTTAACTTATTATATATCCCAAAGAATTTAACTATTTAATTCTTCAATTTTAATACTCACCTTATTACATCAATTCTAATTTAATTATATATTATATTTATATATAAAGTAAGGCTTATTTAATTAATCAATTTAAATGGAAATAATATTAGTTCTCAAATTTAACATCTCAGATTTCCCAATAATTTAAAATATAAACAAAAAACTTTAAATTAGTATTATTCAATCTCATTAACAATTTATTTTAATTTTATAATTCTCTTAACTTTTTTAAAAATCGTTATTTATCCAAAACAATCCCTTATATTTAAAAAAATATGTTTGCTCTGAATAATTAATAGAATTTTCTAATAGGAATTTATTTTATCAAAGCTTTAAATTGTATTAAGTTAAGATAACCTTTTTTTTATAAAAAATATTTATAATATTTAATTATTGATTTAGATCTCAAAATTATATTAATAATAATGAGATCAAATATAGCTTTGAGATTGAGAAAATCAGTTGAAAAGGAAAAATATGATTCTACATAGAAATTATCTTTACATGCATTTAGTATCCATTAAGGATCAAGTCCAAAGAGAATAAATTATCAGACCCCAATAAGAGGAAAATATTAAATACTGTAAAAACGAAAATCATTCAATGAATAAAAGTTAAATGATAAGAATGAGCTGTTAAAGAAAATTGAATACTTTAACTCAGTGAATATTACATTAGAGAGTTAATAAATAAAAGACTAAGATAAAAGTATGTAATATAGAAGAGATAACCGTTAAAAATCAGAAGACAAGATACTCGTATATGATATTTTTAGAGAGGTTGGGTACACTTACAAATTATATGTCTGAGGAATAATAAAAGCCTGGCGATTAATAAGAAAGACAGAGCAAAAAATATTCTCTTCCAATTTTGAAAAAAAGATCTTCTCCATCTCCTTAATTTTAAGATTCTTAAACTATACCACCTATGCCAATTATAACAGAGCTAAATTATACAAAAATAGCATCAAGTACTTCATTTTACAATTATTAGATGAAATTAATAAAGTTTAAAATAAAGAAATAAAAGAACTTCCAGAATCAACTGAAAGGATACTTGATTTATTATTACTTAATACTTGTGATCTTAAAAAAGTATTTTAATAATAGAAATAAAAGAATAAAAGAAAAATAATAGTTTAAGGAAGAATCCCTCAAGATTTTTTCAATATATTGAAATAATTTTGATTATATATAAATATATTTAAGTGCTTTAAATTTTTCAACCTTAAAATATTCCCCAGATTTCCATTCTATCAATTACAAAATTCTCTTTACTTGACAATACTTCATTGCCAAAAGTTTCACAATAATGAGAATATCCATGATAAATTTCAGAATCTATATATAGTCCATATTTATCACCACATCCAATAGCTAAACCATTTTCATCACATAAAGTAATAAAATTATTTTAGTTAATCCAATTATAAACAGTTAAAGATAATGTATTCTTAAAAGTAAATAAGAATGATTCACCAGTTCCATAAAAATGATCTTGACTCTTTTAAATACCATCTGATAAATAGGCTCCGAATAAATATTTATGTAAGTCTCTTACAAATACAATAACTGGTTAACTAAATTAAGTATTCCTCATTAAAGTTTTTATGGATGATCCATTTAAAGTTGAAGAATATAGAAGAGTCCATCTTTACGATTTAAAGATTGTTGGAATGTAACAAGCTACCATCATAAATATACTTTAATCTATTATTTCAGATTCCGATTCTAAATATGAAATGAATACATTAGAACCCATAGATTCTTATCATTTATATTTATATAATTACTTTCAAATGCTAGTTAAATATTTTATTCTAATTTTACGTCGTTCTTGTAGTAATAAGGAAGTATAGTTTTCAATTAAGGTTTTGTTGGAGTCTCTATTACTTTATTTGGAGTTGGAGGAAAGTATGATACCAATACAGAATTAATTGAATCCATCAATTCATTTAATTATTAAACATCTATTAATTGTATTAAAACAACTTTAGAACGCTTTGTTTAAATATAGATCTCTACAAAATGCATTTTTTAAATTTCTTTACTACCAATTTGAATGCATGCTGGAAATTCTCTTTTTGTTACTTTAATTACATTTTATAGTAGGATTTAAAATTGTAATTATTAAACATTTTTAAGTTTTGCTTCCTACATTATTTTTTCATTTAAATTATTATTATAATCTGGATCAAAAAATAATACATCCTCATGGACTGTCAATTTTCCCTTTATGTAACCTAAAGATGTAACATAATTTATATCAAAAAATTTATTGTAAGTTTTTTAAAACGTATCTAGTAGGTTCTCTTGTTTTTATTCTTAATTTGTAATTTACTCATAGATTGGCATCTATTATTTTCTTGGTATTTTTATGATTATACCTTCATATAAAGAGTGTTCAGAAATTTGATTAATTTACATGAGTTAATCTGCACTTCTATTACAAACTTAAATACCTAACATTAAATTTAAGTTCAAGCCCAAAATATGAATCATCCTATTCAACTTTATATAAAAAATATTAAGAATCATCTTCAATCTTAAAATCATCCAAAAACTAAGATTCTAAATCACTCAACTGTATGTCATCTTCATTTATTGGAGAGTGATTTTCATAGATAAATTTATAGTTTCCCAAATATTCAATGTTAAGTACATACTCGTACTATTATTCACATTATTATTTCTAATCCATATTATTATTATATTTAAAATAAAAATTAACAACTGCCTAAATCATTATAATCATAATCTTATATAAATCTATTTAACCAAATATCTAAATAACTTATTTCCTAATCTATTTAAATATTATACAAAAATAGTTTTTATTGTATTAATTCATTTATATAGAAATAAAAGTAAAAATATTTTCATTAATTTAAAAAACATACATGTTACCAAACAAATAATAAATATCATTCCATTTTGACAACTTACCAAAGTTTTATCCTCTATATTAAGAATTTCTTCAGATCATTAATTCTAATACTTTAGATAAGCTTTAAAATTCAAATTCTCTCAGTTAACATATAAAAACAGAGAGAAACCTTAAAAACTAGGATTCTCATTCTAGTAGTCCCACTCAAATTTATCAAACTAAAAAAAAATGTCATAAAAGAAATATCGCTTAACCAAAATAATTGTAACAAAAGATAAGTTGTTAAAATAATAATTGTTAGAATAAAAGAAAAAATTTAAATGAAACTTAGTTCAAAGATAAAACTATCTTATTATGTAATCGATGTTTAAACAATTTCCACTCAAACAACTATTGTGAATATTGTATTTAAGTAATATCATTTTCAATAATTTAAGATATATGATCCCACTCTAGGATATGAAATGGATGATAAATAATGGATTATGTGTGAAAAATGCAACAGATGGGTAATTTTAACTTTTTTAATTTTTAATAGAACCATGTTGATTGTGAACAAACTCTTGGATAATAGAATTTGACCAAAATTACTCATTAAACTAAATATCAATGTTCCTAATGTTAAAAAAATATTAAATTATAACCAAAATCAAAGATAGATAAAGATACTTTTTAAGATTAAGAATCGATCAATACTAAAATAAAATAACCTTTAACAATAATAAAATTATCTAATAAAGAAATTTTAGAAGATATATCCCTTCTAAGGATCTTGATGTTTGATGAAAAATAAAAAAAAGTGAAAATAGAATTGATTTAATGATTTTTTTATGATGTACTCCTTATATGAATTATAAATTATTTTTAAAGATAATCTTATATCTCAACTAAGAAAGACTTTTGAATCCTATTCTTAAAAATATTCATTCTCTTTGTGCAATCAAAAAATATTGTTCTTTTACAATACTTTATAATCAATTTATCTTTATAATGATTATTTTAATAGACATTAAAAAGACCCTTTGTTAGGAATTTTCTTGCTTTTTGAAATAAATTATATAATAATATAATTATATATATATATAATAAAAGTAAATCTTCATAATATATATAAACACTTTGTTTAATTAAATATTATTAAAATTAATTATATATCATCCTTTCATAGATTTAGGATTGACTTATTTTTATAGTTTAAACTATTCAAATTCTTTTAGGTATTATTAATATGATAAATCTTGGGATACTGACATGTCTAAGACACTTTGATCACCAAAATTAATTCTACTCATAATTAAAGTTCCTTCTATTTCTTAGTCTAATCGATCTAATTCTTTATTAATTTTATTAACTTCTTTTCTAATACTTTCAATTTCTGTAACTGATTTGTATTTATCTGCATTTGATATTTATTTAGCATTTTATTTTTGTTAAACATTTTGTTTAATATCTGTCTCTTCTTCAGTATCATATTATTGAGTATCATTATCATCTTATTCATCTTCTTCATCATCTTATTAATCTTCTTCATCATCATTTACTCCTTCTTCTTCTTCTTCTTAATCTTCATCATCTTATTCTTCTTAATCTTCTTAATCTTCATCTTCATGATCAATTTCTTCTTTTTAATTTTAGGCTTACCATTCATCATCTTTTACTTTTTTTTAATTTACAATAATTTTAGGTTCTTCTTGCTTTTGTTATTTATTTATTAATTTCTATGCAACAGGTTAATTTAAATTTGATTATTCTTAAGAAAATAAAAATTATGGTCCTCTAAATATTTATTAAAATTATACTTAGTAGATTACTATGATGTATTAGTTTAGATAGAAAAGGGATTAGCGTTGCTTTTCGGTACTATAGAATTTAAATTTTGATTATTCCTTGAATTATTTTATACATATGGATTTTATTATTATGGTATAAATGATTACTATTATAATGATTGTTATGATCGCTAATTTGCAGTTTAATGGCTTTAATTTGTTGTTTGAGGATTATTGTAATATTAATATTATTAACGATATGACATAATTTAATTTATATTAAATTATTATTAAGAAACAATAATTTTATTGATAATGTAGACTATAATAAAGTATGGATATTAAAGTTTGATAATATTGTTTTAGATGAAAGACTTTCATAAGTTTGTTAAAATAAGATAAATACAAAAATAATTTATTAAAAATTTTATAAACTTATTATTCGAATATAATGATGTATCAAGAAATGATAGATTAATTTAGTTAAATGCCAGAATCATAAATGGGTTCATTAAGAATGAGACCTTCCCAATTAAGAATAGAAATGACAGATGATTAATAACTTTCAACAAGACGGAGGAATTTCATGTCTCCTACTGCTCTGCCATTATTTAGAGAATTGTAAAAACAATAAGTTTCTTATATAGATAATAACAAACAACTAGACAAAATCTATAATAGCCTATAGCTCCCTTATAAATAAAAGTAAAATAACTTATTTTATTAATTAGCCAATATCAAGCCAATCTTAGATCACAAAATCTTTGCTATTTAATTTATTTTTATAAGGTTTCTTTATGAACTATTATGGATATCTATTTTGGTAATACAGTTTTCGCTATGTTTTACTTTAATTATGGATTTAAGATTTACTAACAATGTTCATATTGATTTATTTTAATTATCGTAAAGGAGAGGAATGTATTTGGTAACTCATAGAAGCTATGTTTCTATTTTTCTTAAAAGTATAACTTTCATTTTAAAACAGGTTTTTATAGTATTTTATTATGAAATACAAAAATTCAAGATTTACTTTATTACTATAATGATGATTTCACTATCCATCCTAGTATTGTTTATGCGAGTAATTCAAAAGTTGAAATTTCAATTATAAAACAATCAACAAATTGTAAGTATTAGATTTATCAGCAAGATTGTGTAATTTATAAAAACTTTATTCTGTGTTTAGATGACACTAATAGCCTTAAAATGGGAAGATAAAATTGAATGGGTTTGGTCATAAATCTTTATAATCTTATGGGTATTTCTTGTAGTCTTTGCACTAATATTATTTATATCATTTATAGGATGCATTGAAACATTCATAAATCTTCTCAAAAAATAAACAAACCATAATTATTGTATTCCTCATATTTATTATAGTGATAGGAAACATATGGATTTTTATCAATATCATAGGTTACACATTATTACCATTTACATTTCTTTATAGATTGACCCAATTATACGATAATTAGAAAGAATTAGGAGAGGATGAAACAGTTTAGCTTATAGTTTTAAGTGGAATCTATATGATATTTTTAAGCGTTTATACTACATTTTTTCTAAATAATATAAGGTATATAAATCATATAAATTAATATTAGAATATTCTTAAAAGAACTGTAAGGATTTGAGTAATACTCTACAAGAATGCCTAATTAACCAATTTAAAATTAGTAAGAATAAGAATAAAGAATTGACAATATACCTGATTCTATTGAAACTTTATCAAAAAAAAAGAGAAAAAAGCCATTCAGATTTGTTAAACTAAATGCACCTTTATACTTAATAAAAATGTCATGCACTTTTTTTGCTATTTTCGATAAGTTACATTTTGATTAAGAAAATGTTAAACAGACTGAATAACAGATTACTCAGAGAGCATTAGGATAATAAACATCTAATAGAATGGAATTTTAAAAGGAAATCAAAGCCAATAGTAATTCATTAGATGATAAGACCAATAATTTAGGGATATTAGAAAAATAAAAAGAAAACATTCAAGAATAGGCTAAAGAAATAATATTACCTAAAAAGATCTAATAAGAAGAACCTAAAAAATCATGCAAATCTTAAAATTCTTTACATGAGGATTAATAATCTACATAAGATAAATGTTTGATTTGTTATGAAAATTAACCTAATATTTTATTTGTTCCATGTAGACATGGAGGAATTTGTGAAAAATGTGCAGAAGATATTATGGTTAAATCCAATCAATGCTATTTGTGTAGAAAAGTAATTATTTTATTTAATTTAGGATATCAAATAAATTTTGAAGATAAATACAGAAGGAGGAAAATTGATTGTTAATGAGATTAGTAACATTAAGCAAAAAAGATAAATTTAAATATGAAATTGTGAATAAATTTACACTAAATTTTAATCTCGTTCATTAATATTCTGTAATATATTTTCAGATGGCTTCATTCTGTTCATTTTATTGTATTCGATTATCCTAAGCTTATTCGTTTGGTTATTGATATTTTTATAATTTAGCTGGAACATATAGCTAAAGAACCAAACAAATATAAATATTAAATGCATTTTATTCATTAAGAGCATTTTATGTTGTGAATTTTTGGTGTTCATAGAGCCTTATATATTCATTATAGAGTACAAAGGCAAAGCATATTGTTGATAAGATGTGAAGAAATTTATAATTTTTAAAAAATGATCTAGCTCCTCTCAATTAATCTTATTCATCAAATATTTCGTAGGATTTTTCAACAGAAGGATCTTATTCTATATCTGATTATTTTTAATTCCATTATTTATATAACAAGTATAAATAGTTAACTGTGTATATTGATATAGCAAGTAAACTTATAAAATATTAAGAACTTGAATATGTCATCTAATTTTTTAAATCAAACTGAATTCTTGTTTACTTTTCAAATATTATATAAAGATTAAGAACTGTTTATGGGACGGTATAAAATAATACGATTAAAAATTTAATCAAGTGATTTTATTTTAATTTATTCTAAATGGCTGCAAATTCTTCATCTTTGACATTCTGAAGTTATTAAAATTCAAAAATTAGAAGCCAAAAATAACATAATGTTGTTTAAACAATAAATTAAATTATATGAGTGTATCCTTCAACTAAATGGTAATAAGACAATCGAAAAATTTAAATAGGGAAATTATAAAAAATCATCATTAATAGTAAATATGGAATCCATTTAAGTATTTCTGGCCATTTAAATCTATTATATTGTCTAATTTGATAAAGATAATTAAATAATGCATATAATGTAATCAAGATAAATATAATCTAAATAATATAAATATATACTTAATGGAGAAAGATAAATCTATAATATTTAATATTTTCAAGTGTTGCTGATATATTCAAGATTTTAAGAGATTAATATTATGGTGGTTTTTGTACGGTAATTTGTGAAAAAATGAATTGATAATTATTTAAATTAACTTCCTTTAATTCTCCTAAACAATTATAATGAGTAACCATTAAATTGCATTAGATCTTTAAATTAAATGTCTCATTTATGATTAATTTTTCAAATTAAGAGGTTGGATTGATTGATCTTAAATAAAAATTAATAATACGTTTAATTTGATAGTGATTGATTTCCATATAGAAGGAGATGTGTTTTGATATTATGTATTAGGATTTTTGGTGAAAGTACAGTTTTTTTAAGTTCAAATAGATCTTGCTAATATTATAAAAAAAGAAATACTAATTGAATAGAAAATGCTACTTCTAGAAAAACATAGTTAGTTTGTGGATTGAAAAATCCATCTGAATCACATGATTATATGGTTTAGTTTTGAAAATCTATATCTTTGCAATTCTATTAATAAAAATGATAGAATGAATATTAATTTTATCTGCTAGTGATTACTTTTAAAGTAATGTAAAGTATAAGCCAAAATGTTAATTTGAGACAAGTTCGACTATGAGATTAGACATCTATTTATAATGGTATTTATGAATCAGATAAAATCATAAAAAAATCATTATTAATTTTGAATAATAAAATAATTGAATATGTGTATCAATGTACATATAATATGTTTAAAAGGAGATTATAATTAATTTTTTTTAAATTAATGAATAATTTATAATATGATTAATACTCATACAATTTTTTCTTCTTTAACTTCAACCCATGTGAAATTGAAAGTTGTTGGTTATCCCCAATGAATGCCATTAAATAAAGGAGTCCAACTAAAAACTGGCTATTGATCAGTGGTAGGTCCGCTTTGAATATAAGCAATATTTAATGGAACTGAAGCTAATGATGCTACTTTTCCATCAATTGATCCATGTGCTCTTGGGTTTGTCTATAATTTATATTATTTTAATTACATCAAGTAAATCTAATCTACTTGAAATAGCATTAGCAGGGTTTTTATCTGAAAATTCATCATTTTTATAATCATTATATCTGATGAATTATTTCATATCTTAAAGACTCTTAACTTTAGGAGCATCTCTTTTCATCATTTATCCTCTTGGACATAATTCATATGAATATTTAATAGGATCTTTCTTAACAGCTTCTGTATAACCTGCTTTATCATATACTTCAGGTGTATATGGAATATTATAACTCTTCCAATAATTTCCATTTGATTTCACTTTATCTGTAACATCTAATGCAATTGCAAAACCTGGAACTGTTTCAGATATCCAAATAAAATCTTTTTCAGGACCTTAAGTACTTGTAATTTAATAAAATATTATTACCCTTTTTTAACAACTTTAAGATCAATAACAATATATTAATTATTATATGTTCCTGAATTATGTCTAATAAATGTTTTAGTCCATTTTTCACCACCTTTTGAAATTGAATGAGCAACTGGAACTCTTTACCATGTTAAAAGAGTCTATGCATTTATCAAATCATAAAGTGAAGTATCTAAGATTCCATTTGTTGTTTCTATCACAACCATATTAGAATCAGGTAAAACATAAAAATCATCTTTTGAATATAATAATCCTGGTTTTGATGAAAAACTAACTCTATATGGATTTGGACCAGAAAATTAATAATACTTATAAATTCTAAGCATATTCTAATAACTTGTCCATGTTGTATGAGCCATCCATACATCACTCCAATCATCTAATGCTTTTATTAAAGCAGAACAAGAAATTCTCTTTTCTCTTTCCCATTCAAATTCTTCTGAACTTAATAAATGCCATTAAATTCTTTCTTATTTTGTTTTCATTGCTTCTTTTAATTCATAAATATCTCCACATGCTTACAATAACAATAATTGAACCCATGTGAGTTTCTTATTTATTGGAGCTTTATCTTAAATAGCTTAAAATAATCCATCATTTTATGCTAAGATTCTTTCTAAAGCTTCGTAATATTCATCTCCTCTATTTTCTTTTACTAATCCTCTTGCATATTCATATTACTCCAATAAATATTATTCTAATTTCTAATCAACTTTCTCCTTTCCAAAAGTAAAATCATACCAAGACCAGAAATGATTATATATATGTTCATATGTTATTGATCCTTCCAAATAACCTTTATATTATCTTATATTTATTATACCTGCTGCATAAGAAGTCTTTAAACTATATTCATGAGATTTAAATGTATCACTTGTCCAAATATATAATTTACCCCATCCATCTTCCATCACCTCATGTTTATAATAACCCCAAGCCAAAGCTACAGGAGATTTACCTTCATTTAATGTGTATTTTCCCAATCTCTAATCTACTGAATACACTGTCTAATCATTTCCAAGGCATAAACTAACTAAAACCAATAAATAAATTGCTTTCATTTATATAATAATCTATATTGATTTTACAATTTCTCTTTTAAACTTAATTTTTTCTTACATGATGTAATTCTCTTTATCATTTCTTATTTCTTAGATTTTATACACTTAATCTCTATCCCACTTTATACATCTCTTCAACTATACCAAATAATATTTTAGAAATATTTTTGATATTACTCTTATCATTTTGAAATTCTTGAATTAATACTAAATCAATTTAGAAGTTTTACATTATTTCAATTCTATAAACACACCTCATTCGTTTTCATAACTTTTTTTTTATTTTATCAAATTAAATCCATATTCATACATATCATCCAATCATCATATACAAAAAATGTTATTTCTTAAAATAAAACAAATTTCTTCTTAAATCAAACTCTTACATCATCTACAACATTTTTAATTTAATAATATCAATTAACTCTATATTTCTTTTTATATAAATTGAAATTTAATCATCAATTATACTTTAATATTCATTTATTGATGATTACAACCTATTATAGAAATTAACAAGAGTGTTACAACTCTAAAGTTATTATCTAATCAATGCAAATTACTATTAATTTTGGATAAAAATACAAATTTATTAATTCTGATTTCAGTGAACTTATTTAATTTTTTACCATATTTTTTTGATGAATTATTAATAAAAATTGATGCCTACTTCTAAAAATATTTGTTATTCTATAGAGGCAGGCACTTATTTATTGAATTAAAGATCAAAATGAATGATTATACCAAATAAAATACAAAATTAATAATCATTAAATTAGAAACTAAAAATTATTAAAATAATATATATTTAAAAAATTTATATATAATTTCTAAGTGAAATTAAATCTTTCCTCACTTTTATGACATCAAATATATTTATTATTTCCATAACTTAATTATATTATCTAACTATATTTCGATCGAATATTGTTAATTCTAATCAAAAATAGCAGACTCGTTGCAATAGCATTCAGAGTATTAACTCTTGATTGAATTAGACTACTCTTAATTATTACACCACTCTTATTATTTGCACATAGCTTATTTTTCATTATTGATATACTTATGTATAAATTTGTTCTGAAATTCTTCACTCTTTATCTCTTTATGTAGTAAAGACTGGCTTTCTTATTATTAAGTTAGTATGCTATTACTTTTCCTTATCCTTTTATTAGTTTTGTAGTTATAAAATGAAACATCATTTATGCTATTTCCAAATTTCATTTTGTTTTTGATCCAGAAAATCAAATTATTTGAGATTGATTCTATGTCTTGATGAATGAATTATTGTGTGCACTCTTTAGAATGACGAAATTGATCTTGCTATTTGAAATTACCAGGATTGTTGGGATTAATGGAGGATTCAATAATTAATACATTAGATGTTGTTTATTATTAATAGAGATTTAGATCACCTGTCAAGATGTCAATTATGACGAGAATTTTGTTTCTCTTAAAATATTGTTTTTTATTTCTCTTATCTTTTTTAGTACACCTTCCTTATTATTGATAAGTCTACACAATTCCATTAGCTGTTGAATACTTCAATCCATATTTTAACGCAGTCTAATTAATCAAATTCAAAGAATACTTGTTTAATTGAATTTTCTTAGAAGACTATGTCGTATATCACCTTCTCTCTAATGTCATTTCCTATTTTTTGATAAGGTTGTCGCATTGCATTATGAATAAGTTATTTCTAATCCTATTGAATCCAGGATTAAGCCATATAATTAATAAATATTAAAAGAAGAAATAAAGCTTTTATTCTTATTTATATTCTAAATCTTATAATTTTAAATAGTTAATTAGATTATGAGTGTTAATAGCAATAAATTTAAAATAAATTATTTAATTTGAATTAAATATATATAATATATTATACGTAGCTAAAAAACTAATATTTAATTTAATTACATAATTCATAGATAGGCATAAGATTACATTCTCTAATTTATCATACTTCAATAAATTGTCCCTTACTTGTAAATTATTTAAGAATTAATAATTCTTTAATTTGTAATCAATCTCCAGTATATCAATTATAATTCAAGCTTGCTTCATTTATATATTAAAAATATTACTAAATAATATTAGCAATAGGTATAATATGAATTATTACCAGCCTTATATTTAATTAGTTTTGTGTAAAATTCAAGTTTTGATGTCTTCATAATAAAGATTTCTATTAAATACTTGATTTTCCTAATCATTATGTAAGTAATCATTAAAATCGACAACTTAAAACATTTCCAGAAGTGCAGTATTTTTTATTGCTTCTGTATTTATAAATTTTTAAGAAAGCATTATATAATATATATAATATCGACCCTTATAAATAATTATTTTTTAATTTTACAATTGTACAGCAACTATAAATTCAAGCTAATCTTTGACAAAATAAAAATAACATCATATATTTAAGAATAAAGTAAAAATGAATTACTCATTTTTAAAATGATAAAGATTCTAATAATCAATTATCACTTTTTTGAGGATATAGATTTAAAAATAAAATGATTTTTGATAAAAAATAATTTAAGAGTCAGTAAAAAAAACCATTTGATCTTTGTACATAAATTAAAATGTGAAAATAGCAGAACTCTATAATATTAGAACTAAAATATAAAATATTGTTGAATTGATTATAAAGAACATGAATTAGCAAACTATTCAAATAGAAAGTAAATTAACGAATTATCCTCTAAATTGAATTGTTTAAGATTTTTTAATTATCTATAAATATAAAAAAATTTCATGAATTTTTCATAAGTCGATGTTATTTAAGTAGATAGGCTTTTAAAAATTCAGGGTCTCGACAGTCTTTGTAATTTATTTTATTCCAAGGAATTTTCCCTAACTTTTAAAAAATTAACTCTGAAGTTTAAAGTAAATTGTTATTTTTAAGTTCCTCCTTCAGAGAGAGGAAATCACAATAACACAGTTTTTAAGTATTTCTTACAAGAGCAATATTTCCATCAGAAACATCTATGATAATACTTACATTTGACACCATTGATTTTTATTTGCTTTAATGTTGTGTATGCTCATCTAAATTACTTCCTCTATTTTTAAAATTCTTCACAATGTACTTAGCTGTGGAATATTTAATTTATAGCTTCTATGCTGCCTAAAATTATATAAATTATTACTTATCTCGTTGATAAACTCTCTTAGATTACCAAATTGATTAAAGAATGTTTTTTTTGATTGTCTATTCGCTTATGATTTCTTAATTTTTAAATGGATTTGCTTATCATGATATTTATGTTCGACATAATAAAATAAATTAAAATGAATTTTGAGGAATCAAATATTGAAATTTACGCACAAAATAAAGAAAAATTCCTTCTCATAAAATTTTTACAAATATTCCAAAAATATGTTAATTTCTTTCCTGAATAATACATTAATTGTAATCATCAAAATTGGATAAAGTATATTTCCTTTAAAATATCCGAATAGCTAATTTTCAAAATTCATAGTTAATTAGTTTTCAGCCATTTTTATGGGTTTTATCGATTTTTTTTAAAATTCCCAAACTTGGGTATTTTATTTATAAAGTCAAAAAAATTGCCATTTAGTGGTTCATTCTTTAAAAAATAGATTATATTTGTATTGCTCTGTAAGAAATTATTGAATCAGTATATATGTAATTCTTGAGAAATAATAAATAATCCACATATACCAGAGTAATTTATTGGTATAAAAATAGAAGAATAAGTCTGATTAAAAGGTTAAGGAATATTTTTTAAAGCTTTTATTATTATTTTCATAGTAGTTTATCATAAAATAAAAGGGTACTTGAATTTTTAGTAAATTTTATCTTAAACATATTAAACACCCCATTAATAAAAATGAAAATCTAATCCATAGATCTTAATACAATTGGCAGTATGTGTAAACTATTTTTTAGTAATTTTCTAAATGAATAATAATAATATAGATATATTTATTTTTACAAATCCCTACCTTTAGATATCTTAAAATATTCTTTTCATCTTGTAAAATCACATATTCATTCAGTACTATTATTTGGACAAGTACCAATAAAATAACTTTAAATAATTTGCAAATCACTATAAAATTTAAGACACATTCAATATTAATTTAATAAACCATTTTAACTAAGGATTTTTAATGCTTTATTATAAATTATAAATCATACTTAATAAACTCGCACAATTTATGAATATCTTAAGACTTAAGTTGAATAATTGAAATAAAAGATTAAAATAACACTTAATGGAGTCAAAAATATTAAAATAAAGCATTTGGACTAGTGAAATATCAAAACAGATAAAAATATATAGATTGAGACTGAAATAAATTCATCGTTATTATAAAATTTAAAATTAATATGTTCAAACATAAATCAGCTTCATTTCATGATGCAAGTATTGATACTCAATTGAAATTCAAACCTCCTAAACCAGAATTAATTTCAAATTCTACAAAAAGAAATTCTGAAGTATTGTCACATGTAATTATCTGAATCTCTAGATTAGCCACCAGAATTATTAGCTAAACTATATTAAACCAATAGACTTTTAGAATAAAATATAATAAAGCTAAATGAAGTTTAATAAAGATTGGCATAAAAAGAAGAGGAAATATTAGATTTGAAATAAAAAGTAAAATGCTCTACAAAGGATTTAAACGAAAAGAATGAAAAAATAGCATAATTAACAGAATAATTAAAAGCATTCAAAACAGATGTGAGAAAAACATATTCAGATAGAGGTAATTAAGAATTGCAATAAAAACTTCATAATGTTTCCTAACATAATGAAGCCTTATTTTAAGATTATCAATCTGTGTTATTACAGAATTAGAATTATTAATAGCAAATTATAGAACTATAAGATTAATTGAATTCGATATCTTATAGATTAAGAGAATCTGAATAAGCAATTCAATTAATTAAAGAAACAGAAACAAAAGTTAATTATTTAGAATTAGATTTGGATAGACTAGAAGAAAAACAAAAAAAATCATTTCCTGAATTGATGAAGTAAAATCAATAATTAAAAATATAATATGAGACTAATATACAGCTTATAAATTGTGGAGTAGATTATATAGGTACATAATTTTAAAAGTCTATTTCAACTTTGACTAAATAACTTTAGATGATTTCAAAATTTTCAAAAAGAAATGTTGTATTGTCAGAAACTCAATTAACATTTTATGGTTTAAATACATTGGCTTAATAAACCAATTCAAAAAGAGTTTAATAAATTTTGTAAAAGATGAATATCAGTGAAACCCTATAGAGTTGGTTAGAAGGCATAGTCACTTTTCTAATGATTAATTGTTAGGAAATATTGTAAAAAGAAGTAGATAAGAAATTAGATAAATTATCAAAGTAAATTTCATAAGTTCATGAAATAGCTATTTAATTGGCTACATCATATGATTTTATGAGATTTGGCAAAAATGTACATTAATTATTTAAAAAAAATAGAGATGCAATAATATGAGTGCTTATAGTTAGAAATCAAATAGTTTTTGTTCTAAATAGTAAGATAAAGAAAATGAAGAATATTCTTAGAATACTAAATTTAAAGATTTCTTAGATTTAGCATTAATGTATAAGTTTATATTTATAATTTTAATAGTAAATTAGGGGAACATCTAGCTTAAATTTAATAATTAAATATTGAATTATAAGTTTCGAATTTTTAGAATAAATCTTCAAGAGAACTTTAGACTGGTCTTAAAGAATAATTGAATTTGCATCAAAATTTAGCAAATTTTTTAAAAAAAGAGTTAATTTCAATAAAAAAAGAAATTACTAGTCATTCTTAGAGAGGATAAGCTCAGAAATACAGTTATATGCCAAAAATAATATGACAAGCATTTTTCTTTAATTAATTATTTATGATAATATAAAATTCTTCACGTCTGGAAGGAAAACACATTAAGAATAGTAGAAGTGCTTAAAGAGTTACTCCTTCTCATAATTTATATACTGAATCTTCTTATATATCCTAAATCTTAGCTCATTAGTAAAAAATAAATGATATTCCAAACTCTAATAAGAGATTATTGTATAATATTAGTCCTTTAAGTGTTAATTATAAGGAGGGTAAAATTCTGTAAAAAAATTATATGCAAAATAAATACTCATAATTATTAGAAGGGAATCATGTTCAAAGAGCTGGTTGGAAAAAGTATTTATTAGATGGATTTAAAGAGAAGATTGAGAACATATTAAATTAAAATAAGAAAAGCTCAAAGTTATTTAAAATCAAAAGATAATATTTTACTCGTAGTGTTGCTTTGTAACCGACAGTTATTTAAGATGATTATTTGACAGTTGATGCATTAATCAAAAAGCAAGATCCTTCTTATGATATTGAAGCTGTTTAAGATAGTTTAATATAATAACATAAACAATACTTAACAAATTAGAAAAATACCGATTATGATGAGAAGTATGAAAAATAATAATATTGAGATTATAAAACTTAGTAAAGTAATTTCAAATAATAGTAGATAGAATAGAGAAGGAAGCATTCAAAGTTAAAATACCAACAAATTTTTCAACTGCTATGTAAAATTACAATGACTTTTATAATGTTTCCTTAGACTCTAAAAATAAATATAAAAGTTTAAAAGTTATAGATTTTAGTAAATTTGAAATAAAATCAAAATTAAAATAATCATATGCATTAAACTTTTGGGATAGAGAAGATATTGATGAAGAAATAGAATAATAAATATAAACATGTAGAGTATCTACTTAAAGAGAATGTAAAGAAGAATTACTAGAAGAGATTAGATAATATTAAGCTATTTAAATTGTTCAATAAATTATAGATATTCCATAAGAACCAGAAGAACCATAATTATAAGAAGAATAAATATAAAATGAAATAATAGATGAACCAATTTAAAATCCAATTATGATACCAAAAGATGATAAAAAAGTGAAAAAAAAAAATGTTAGATATAAATAAAAAAAAAAGAAAAGCTAAGAGGCAATTAATGCTAATAAACTTTAAGAAATCAATTAAAATGGAAATAATGAAAAAGATAATTTACCTGAAATTGAGTAAAATGAACAATTAACTAGTTAAAAGAAATTTGATCATAAATTTGTTGATTACATGTTGTCATTAGAAGATGTTCACGAAGCCGACCTTTCTTAATTCATGGAGAAATAAGTTGCAGAATATGATTCTTACATATTTTGCGACCCTGATGAAGAAATTGTCTATAAACATGAAGTAGATTGGATTTTTTAATTAGATTTTTCGTTAAGAAATATTAGCTGAATTGAATATCTTCTGCTTTAATTTTCTAGATATTTTTGCATTATATATCAATAATTTATATACAAGAATCTTCTATTAATAATAATTTAAATCATTTATTGAAAATTTTTTAAACATGATTCAGTTTATTCAGAGCTCTTAATTTTAAAGTATATAAATAAAATCATATAAATAAAGATATAGAAAAGGAATACATAAGACTTATTATGTATATAGAATTTTATAATATTTAGCTAAAATCACTTTCATTACTAGCATTTTGGACAAACAAAGTTAAGTAATTTTTTGGCTTTATCTTTAGTCAAATCTACACATTTCAAATGGCACCATTCTTAACATGCCTCACATTATATATACCTTAAAATCTTTAATTATTTAAATTACTTCAAATCTGGATTTGGAGGTTTTTAACATATGCATGTTGTTGCCCATTCTTCTATTGGAGGTTAAAAAGTTTGATTTATATAGGCTGCTCTCATAAAATAAGTCGTATCATTCATCGTTTCTAATTTATCAAATTCTTCATAAGTTAGAATTTATGCTAAACTCACTATGCTTTCAATCTCTATATAATCGTACTCATTGGTTTTGAATACTTCATTCTCTGATATATAATCCATATAATTCTTTGGTATATCACCCAATTCAAATTTTCTATAATACCATTGAACTTTTATTAAAGGATATATTTCATCATTATTATCAACAAGTTTGACAATCTTAATTAGTTTAGCGACATAATCAATTCTTCTATCTGCTTTTATGCACAGATTCTAACCAATTTTATATATAACCCCTTCATATTTTAATTTTTTGTATGATGTTCTTTTACTATATGTTATGTATATACCTGCTCTTTTTGTTTTTCTTCAATAACTTATACAGATTGTTATTATCCTTCTTTTGAATCAATTTTTAAATTTAACTCAATAAAAGGACATTATCCTATTTTTCATCGACTGATGATGTTCTAGAAATCTTAGGTTCTAATGAGGCTGACATACTACTTTTTCTTAGTACCAATTTAGAAAAAAAAATATTAAAAAAAATAAATATTATTATATCTTTTTTATATTATGTATTTCAAATATTTTTCTTCTTTTCATTTAAACCTTCTTCTAATTAATCCTATAATTAACACAAACGATGAAATAAATGTTATAGTGAAAAAGCATTCAGTATAGTAATACTCATTAATTATTTTTTTAAATTGTATATTACTTTGAAAAATAAAAAAAAGCAATAATTTAAACTAATGTAAATTTATATTATGCAATCCTTAAAAATTTTCACATATCTCTAAGACAGTTATGATCATCCTTTAAATCAAATCAAAAAAAAATTCAATCAAATTAAATCAAATTTTTTAAAATATCACACCCATTTTCAAGATTTTGATTATTCTTTCCTATATTTTTGAAATATTATAAATAAAAAAGATAGATTAGATAATGCCACTTAATATTATTGTTTTCAAGTAACAACCATTTTCATTCTGCTATTTTAAATAACAATTTATGAAATAATTAATTGACACAATTTTTATCATATATAAATTAAATACAGCTCTTTAGAAGAATAAATTCTTAAAGTATTTGATACATACTAAACAAGTTTTAAAAATTCCTTTTCAAAATTAATATAAAAGAATGAATTATTCTCATAAATTTAATACATTAAAAGTTCAAATCAGACATTTTTAAATTTTATATATATGAGAAATTAGTAAATTCAATTACAGAAAACTGAGTTTTTATTGAGTTTTTCCTACTCCCTCAATAAGTTTCTTATATGGAAAAATCTAATATTTAAATATTTTTTCCTTCAATTTAAAAATTATGTTTGATAAACATAAATTCAATATCATTAAACATTTTGAGATTAAAAATAATTAAAGCAACGAATATTATTAAATTTAGGAAAAAATATTTTGAAACATAAAATTTGTTTTTTAAAATGAATTATTACTCTTTTTTATGAGATATCGAAAATTAAAATCAAGATGCATCATTCTTTTATTTTTGAACATAATTTCCTATTTAATTTAAAGGTTTTATAATTTAATAAATTATAAGCATTTGATTGCTGAATAAAAATAATTAATTATTAAAAAGGATAATTCTAATCATATACTTAATAAATTAAATAGAGAAATAATTAAATTATTTTAAAGGAAGCATTCACATTTATTTTTTATGAAATTGAGCAGCCATTTAAATTTGATTATACTGAAATTTTAGAGAACATGTATTATTTTTTTTCATCAGTTCTTTGCTTAAGAAACAGCTGAATTTGATTTCAAATGAAAAATAACAACAATATTAATAATTTTTATAGAATATAAAAATGTAATCTTTTACAATACAAACGAACTCCAACATCATATAGTACATACTCTATAATCAGGATAGTTTGTAATAGATGATTAAATTATTAAAGTTATTAAACTTAAATATGGTAATGAAGTGTTCATTTATAATAAATAATATAAATTTAGATAATTTGAATAAAAATGTAATATTTTCACCTTTAATATAAAAAAATTAGCAAAGAAGTTTACAAATCTTAATTATAATAGTTTATATAAATAATTTTAATTTAAACAAAATTTTTTAGAATTTTATTTAGTTTCAAATTGTAATAAAATAATTTGATTATTTCTAATTATTGCTATTTATTTGGAATAAATTTTAAAGTTATACAATTTTGATATTAAATTTTTTATCAAATTTATATTTTCGATATTACAATTCATTAAAATAAAAACCTTAGTAATATGATTCTAAAAAAGTGAATAAAAATTAATTATTAGATTAGCATAAAATAGATAGAATCAAGAAGAATTAATTGGATATTTTTTAATAAAAATATTAATATAATTTAAATTTCTCTAACAGCTAATGTTGCCATAATAAATTATTTATAGATAAGTTAGGCATTCCCCATAAAGTATTTATTTAAATAATTTCCTTATAGATGTTTTAAGACAATCCACAGTTCTTCCATATTAATAATTCAGAACTTAAACACCAATAAGATAATAAAGGTCATACTCTCATTTTGATTAATAACCATAAAGCAGCATGAAAAAATAATAAGAAAATTTTGAAAAAGAAAATGATCTATTGAGAGAAAAGGTAAAATAATTAAAGCATTAAATAGCTAGTGTTGAATAAAATTATCAAAGTAATGCAGAAGTATTAAATTTAATAATTTTAGATTGAAGAATAATATATTGTTGCTTTGAGAATATATTAATAATTAAAAATTGAATCTGAATAATTGAAATTAGAGCTCTCTTACATTAAATAAGAGAATAATCTGCTTAAATCCAAATTAAAACAAATTAATTATTGAATTTATTACCTACATTATTATTTTTTATTTATTATTAAATCACAAATAAATTCTTCATGAAATTCAATAAGGAGTCTTAAGAATTTGCAGATTTAGTTCTCAAATACTATTCACCAAAGATATTATTGAAATAAAAAAAATAAAAGGAAGAATAAACATAAAATTAGGAAGAAATTAACTAATAATTTGATAAAGTTGATTCAAAGACTAAATATTCAATAGATTACTAAAAATTTTAAAATTATATTGAAAATAGTGATAAGAATAAACCAAAAACTGCAGAAGAACTTGAAATTGAAAAAATTATATAATCTAATCCTTATCTTTCATAAATTGCTTGCACTCATGATAGGAGAAAAGAAAGAGAAATTTATGAAAAAACTAATAAAGAAAAATTTGAAAATATTGAATACTTTAAATAAGAAGGAAATTTGGCTTTTAAAAATAAAGAATTTGATAAGGCTGCATATTTTTATTAAAAAGTAATAAAAGTTTGTAAATTAGATAGGCATTAGTTTATTTTGATTATACATTTCCTGAAGGTGATAAAGAGGAATAGAAATATAATTTATTATTAGAGTAATGTAATAATAATATGGCTTAATGTAAATTACTTCAAGGAAATTTAGATGAAGCATGGAATTATTCACATTAAGCATTGAAAATTAATCCAAAAAATGAAAAAGCAATATTTAGGCAAGCTAAGATTTCTTTTCAAAAAGATGACTTTGAACAATGCGAAACTTTAATATAAAAATTGGATTAAAATTTATAAGAAACCAAAGAACTAAAGTTAAGTTTACAAAATAGAATTAAGATGTATAAATAGAGAAATGAATAAGTCTATAAAAAAATGCTTTCAGAATGATATTTATGTTAATATCTAAAATTATCTATGAGTTTTTTATCTGATTTTTTTTCACTATAGATTATATCAGAGCATTTCGATTAAAAAAATTCTTTTTTTAATAAATTTTGGTGCAATCAATTTAAAATAGATTTAAACAATAATTCATAGAATGGTGTCTTGCAAAATAAATCTATGAATAAATACTAAATTTTTCGTAATTTATAATCTACATAATTACTTTTATTGTGATTCATAATTTATTTTTCTTAGAATATTATCAGGGATTGTTAATAAATTTTATTTTGCATCTTATATTTTAACTTAAGATTTATTTCCTAATTATCTTTATGTATATATTAATAAAAGTTCTTTTGAATTTTCATCCAATTTAAGAAAAACTTTTTTAAATTTGGCTAGAATTGCAAAAATTCCTTAAAACTAAATAGCTTATTGTTCTATGAAACAATTTTTTAAAAAAGTATAAATTTAATAATCTTTTATTTTATCTTCAAGTTACTTAATCAGTAAATAAGGTAATAGTTCATTTAATTTAATCTATTCTCCTTAGTATTCTTATACTTCTTATAAATAAATTATTCTGTATGCTCTTAAATACAAGTTGAATAATAAATGAAATATTTCTAGGAGAATCATTTCGCCATATAAAATTTAAATATCTTATAAATCTGGAAAAAAGTTAAGCTTATCTTTTTATTTAAGAGGTGCTTATTAATTTTTAAAATCTATCTGCTCTAATTAAGGATCTATAAGTTTTAGTTCTTGATTTTAACAAATTATTTTTTCATTTTTTACATTTTACATGATATAATTAAAGTAAGAATCAAATAAAGAACAATTATTTTGTCTATGAAATTTGAAATTTAATTGTTAAAGTTAATCTTCTTCAATCTCAAATGAAGCTTAAAAAAAATCTTTAAAAAGAGTAGTCATCCAAATATTATGTTAGTTTTGATGTTTCTTTTAAAATATTAAATTTAACAATAAAAATGAATAGGACAATGCTGTTTAATTTGGAAAATGAAATATTTGGATAGGAGGAATTAAGAGACTTTATTTGAGTTAAAGTTGAGTGTATTATAATTCAAGTTGTTTTAGCCAATTCGGTTGAAAATTGAGAAAATTAATCGTAAATGCTTAGGATACATTAGTGAGTATTTAATTTTACTTAGACAAATAAAAAGAAGTAATAAAGCGTGATGATAATTTCTCATTTTCATAGCTTATTTTATTGTAATATTATTGATCATTTGATAATTAATGTAGACCATCTTCTTATTAAATTATATTTTAAAGTGCTTTTCGTTTGTTTTTAAGTTATAAAATCTAAGAGTCTATTATTGAAATGAAATTGAATTTTTATTGAATAATAAAAGATTTATAAGCATTAAAACTATTTAACATTTTTTCAGTTTTTTTCAGTAAAAATTTTAATTGTAAAATTTCTACATCAATATCATGAAGTTAATCTTCAAGACTATAGAGATATTCATGAAAAATAGTTTTAGTTTCATATTCTTAATCTTAAATAATAGTATTTTTAGGAACACCTTTATAAATTCTATTTATATCATAATTCATTTTATATTTTTGCTAATCATCAAATTCTACATATGAAGATTGATTTAATCTTTTTAGAGTGGATATGTCAATTTAAGAATGCAATCCTCTCATGGTTCCATAATTTTTTAAATTTTGATGCAATAATTGTATATTAACTGATTATTTTGAGAATGATTCTTCTTCAATATATTAACTGGCATTTGAATTTTAATAGTATTATTGATAAATGCTTTCATTATCAATAATTTGTTGATATTCATCTTAAATATCATCAGAGTCGATTTCACTTGATGCACGACCAAGAAAAGTTTTTTTATACATAATAATTAATATTTAATATGAAAAAATTATCAAGTAATTCTTTTTGAATATATATTTTATTATTCATACTAATAGTAATTTTGTATATAAAAATGTTTAAAGAATAAAAATGAAAAACTTGTAAAATAATGTAAATCTAGTTTATTAAATAGTTTGATTAATCTTGAGTTTATATGATATCATTTTTTTTTGTATGGATGTTCATAGCTACATAATGGATTTTTGCAATGAATTCCATGTTTGCATTGCTGATGCATATAAATGCATTGATTTCCCTTTTTACAATAGGGAAAATATTTGCACTATAAATAGTAATTTTAGATACTTTAATAGTAGGATGAACATATTAACAATGCTTATTGGTACAATTGGGAAAGTACCTGCATCTTTCATTGATTATATTACTGTTTTGCTATTGTAAATTTAATAATAAATTATGTACTTTTACCTAGGAGGGAATTTCAATATTTTGTTTTTATTGATTTACTGCTGTTAATAATAAGAGTAACATCAATGATTTATTTTAACTTAAAAATATACAATATAATTATACCTCTAATTAAATTAATTTTCTTCTGAAATGGATTAATGATCATCTTCATCTTCAGTTATAATATCCTTAATTTTTGATTGATTATCATGATTAAGTTTGACTTTCTTATTAATAGGTTAAGAGAATTATTTATTTTAAATTCCATTTAAATCTTTAGCTTGGTCATTCTTGATGGCTTGAATTGATTTGGTGAATAAACTTCTGTTTTTTTGTTTTTTAGATATTTTAGTTTATTGAATGCAATATTCCTCAAACCAATCCAATAATTCAATTTATTGTGATTCAGTTAAAGGTTTCTATAAATTATAATGATATTTAAAATACATTTGCTATTTCTTAGAGTGAATTCACCATTTGCTTCCTGTTCATCTTATTTTTGTCTTTATACAATCGGATTGCTTCATAAAGAAATCTTGTTAGCTAGATCCTTACTGTATCCCATACTCACTGAGATCATGAACTAGGCTAGTGTTAGAAAACTTCATATTTAAATCTCTCCTGAATTGTGTTTCTGATATCATTTTATAAATTATTAATATAGAATTGAGTTTCATGGTTTTTTAGAAATAACATTACATTTTTCTAGAATATTTCTAGCTTTCCCAGATATACTCCTTTTAGATTATTCATCATCAAACATTCTTTATTATACAGTTAAAGATTTTAAACCCTTAAAATAAAGTCTATCTTTTTATAAGAAATATTTTACATTTTATCAATTGGTTCTTCATTTTTTTCACTCTTTCTTTTTATTTAGATCTAATCTAAATTAATTTTCATATTTCTTTTTATTAACGAAGAATCTATTATTGTAATTTATTTTTATTTTTCTCTTCTAGATTCCAATTTTTTAGGATTCAAAGAATCAAGTATACTAAGTTCATAAACATTTCCATTTTTATTATCTTGAATTGTTTCTGTTAATTTATTTTTAAGTTGCTTTCCATCACTGAGATATCGATGAGTATTTATTTTATAGTTTTAATAATATTCCAACGAATGTAATGCAGAAGCATTAAGCCATCTTCTATTATCATTACTTGTTGATCTCGATTCTTTGATATATATTGAATCATGAATAATAATTGGTTATTAAGACATCTTTTCCAAAAAACTCATTATTCTTTTATCATAATTTGTTGCTAAAATATTATTGATTTTTTTAGTTTCTTATGTTGCTATATATTCTTATTCAAATCTTTTTTCTTTTTATTATATCAGTTACTCAAACTTTTCCCTTTGGTAATAATTATACATTTATATTTTTAATAATATCATATGAATCACATTATGGCATATGCTTTAGCAAAATGGTAAACTGCTGAAACTATCGGCATAATCTCATTAATACCAAATGACAGCCAAATTTCATGTGATCTTTAAAATACCTTAGCAAATCTAAAAAATGAAAGCATTAGTTAATTTTAAAAAATGTAAATATATTAATGCTATCTTTTAGTAAATTTATAACAACTGAAGGTGGTAAATGGTATTATTTACCCTTTAATAAAGAAGTTGTGTAACTAGTATTGACTGATAATGATTATAATTAAGAAAATGTAGAAATGCTTATCAATTCCATTAGTACAAAAATTGTATACTTTAAATCAATAAATTAGTTTGATCATAATCCAACCACTCCTCAAAGCATAAACATATAATAAAAATAAAATATTTACAATTTACTAATCTACTTTGATTCAGCCCATGGAAAAGAACCTAAATAAATACAATAAATTCTATAAACTTTAGATAATACTAAACAAACTGTTTAGCAAAATATTGAAAAGATTATCAATAACAAAGAATAATTAATAAATATTGAAGGTTGTATTAAGCTATATTCATATAATTAGTTCGGTCATTTGAATTAGATAATAGTTCATAAGTATTTTTAAGCTCAGCATAAGAATTACACAGAAAATAAAGAATGAAAAAATTAAAAAATAGATTAATTATTGGTTCAATAATTTTATTTGGATTAGCAATCTCATTCTATGTAATTTGGAGTTGAACTCGTAATATATAAATATTATATATTATATAACTTTATTAACTATTCTTCTTAGAATGTGAAATTCTAATTTAATATTATTTTTTTACAAATTCATAATCAAATAGTAACATTATTTTATAAAACATATTTAGATATTTACATGAATATTTACTCATCATTTTATCTAATAATCCTCACTTGAAAATTATTCTAATAAAAGTTACTATTTAATCGTTAACGGATAATTATAATAAAATTTATTTGCTAATGGAGATATTCATCAATAGACAATCAAATAAAGAAAATAATAATCCAGTTTTAGTACTTACATAGAATGAAATTATGTAAAAGGAAGGAATATTTACAAAAATCAATAATCCTTTCTATACACATCATAGGTTTCATTATAGAAAACCTAGACATTCTATCAATTCATCCTGTTCGAATAGTTCTTAATCTATTCATTAAGATATTGAGAGAATCGTATAATAATTATAATCCTAATAAATTTACACATAGACCTAAATTAATTATAGATAATCCCTTAAAGAAAGATATCTTACTCAATATTCTTAACCCTCTAGTAATCAAATTAATGAGGTAATTGATATGCTTGAAAAAGAAAATTTACTAAAAATTCATCAACTTAAACCATGCACTCCCATAAAAACTTAACCTCCTTCAATTAATTATAATTTACCATCTCTACTTTATGAAAATAAAAGTCATGATCAAGAAAATAGTGAAAAAGTCACTCCTCTTCTAAAAAGTAAGACTTTATTTAAAAAAACTTTAAATACTTCTTTTGAAAATGTTAAAAAAAAAATCAATTCATCTTAAGAAAATAGGTAAAAAAGAACAAATTCTTAAACAGTTAATAATTCAACTCATTAATCAAGACAGAAGTCCTTAAAAAATAGAATTAAATTAGTAGTAAAGAATCCAAAAAATATCTTATAATTATGTCGAAAAGTTGAGGAAATCTAGAATTCTATCAATGAGGAATAGTTAATGTAACTAATCTAATCAGATTAATTTAAGATAGATTTATAACTTTTGATTAAAAATTCCAAAGGTTCTAATATGGAAATCTAATAAGCACTCTAAAATTTTATGATAGAACAAGTCAAGAAATCAAAAGAATTGTAAGAAGTAGAATATCTTTTAGAATGTATTAGTTTTAACTATTAATTAGAAAAAAAATAAAACTTTAGCCAAATGCTCAATAACTATATTCAGGAATTAAAAGATAGACTATGATTTACTCATTATATTTCTAGAAATTAAATTTACTAAAAATTATAATTTATAATATTTACTATTGCATATAATTTATTCGTGCAAAGAAACTCTAAGTAATCTCAATTGTTTCTTAAATTTTAATCTTATTATATGCTACCTTAATTTAAGTTTAACGAATTAATTAACTTAATTAAATTTAGTATAATTAGTATGTCAAACTCATTCTAGTGTGATAATAATATATCAAAGTAACTATTTTTTACGAATTTTTTAAAAATATTATCAAAAACAAATTGAATCAATATGAATATCAATTTAAACAATTTTTTCTCATTTATTTATTTTAGAATCTAAAAGGGAATTAATACATATAATTTCAATAATTACCTCTCAACCTATACATTTAATAATTAATAATTGACAATTTTAATTGAATTTGAGACCTCACAGTAAATGATAGCATCAACAAGTTTATAAATATTTTATTTAGTACATTTTAGTATTTATTATCCATAGTTATGATGATAACTTAATATTATTATTTAAAGAAATCATACAAATATTGAAATATAATACAAAAATATTTCAGATCAAAGGGTGTTCTGAAACTATTGATAATCTCTTTTATCTTAATGGTGATTTCGTTAATAATAAGGATGATGTTTTAACTAGCATTGGTGGTGTCATTTCTGATGATGCATCTGTATCAGAATCAAGTGAACGATAAGAGAAAATCAATTATTTTTTTGCGTGCTCAAATTTAAACTATTTTTATTATGGGTCAGTCATGAATATTAATTTTAAATCCTACAAATAGTTGATGATATCTTTCTCTTGGGAAGTAACTTCATTTAAGCAATCATCGAATTCAATTGTATCATTCATTTTAAATAAAATATTTTATTTATTTATTCTCCATTTAGTCATTTACTATGATTTAAATAGTGAATCCGAATAAATTGTTACTTTCATTATTACGCATTTTTAATTCGCTCATTAACATAATTTATAAATGAATTTATTTATGGATGATTAATATTACCTAATAATACGTAATATCTTAATAACAAATTAATCTTGATATAAATCATTCTTAAAATACAGTTATGCAAGGATAAAATTAATCTTTAAATCTTATAGTGTCAAATTTTAAACAATTTGACTGAGATTTCAGAATTATTTCATAAAATGGCAAGAAACATTTAAATAAAATATAAATGATATTCTAATTAAATATCTAAATGAATTCAATTTATTCTTATTTACAATAAAGAAGGTATAAGTTTATAATCATTTTTCTGTAAGTTCACGATAGCCTTTCCAATTATTTTTTAAATACGGCTCTTCTTTAATAACTCTTAATAAAGTATTACTTGGACCATCTTTATAATTAGGTAAGAAATTCTAGAAATATTAAATTATAAATAAAATACTAAGGTTTCCTCAAAGATAGCTTTAGCTTAATCCCAATCTCCAGATATGTAACATGAAAACCCTTTTTCCCATTTATGATAAAATTCCTAAATAAATAATAGTGTGAAGTTATACTTTATTAAAGAGAGCTCTAGATTATTTAATATTATTATCTTTAATCCAAGTTTCTGATATGGCAACATGATTCTTTAATACAGCTTATTTTAATTTATCTCTTTTCATCCTTTTGATAACCTTTTACTTCTTTTTTTATTTAGATTATTCTGATTCTGAAAGATGAACTTGTTTTTATTTTTCTTTTTTAGTAAAGTCTACAACAGTCTTTTTTTTATGAATTTTTCTTATCAAAGAATCAACATTCAAATCAACAGTATAAATATCCATAGGTTCAATACTACCTTTAACAGTTACTCTATCAATATGTCTAAGATTCTTTTGTGTTATTTTAGTAGCTACATTTCTTAATTATCCTGAAATTAATATCATTGATCCAAATTATTTTGTTGCTGCTTCTAATCTTGATGCCATATTAACATTTGGACTTAAATAAGAAGCATCTATTTTATATTCTGAACCAATTGCTCCTTCAATAGCCCATCCTACATGTAAACCAAATCCCATTTTAACAGAATAATTTGGTATTCTATGATTCAATCCTTCATGTTATTTATATTTTTATAATTTTTGTGATAATGTAACATTTGTAATAATTGTTACAAATGATAAAATAGACATATCAGCTATTTATGCTACATGTTCATAAGCTTTTAAACTTAAATTACCATCTTTATCTTAATAATAATCATTTTCAGCAAATTTCCATACTAATAAAAATGCATCACCTATATTTTTATTTGCACTTCCTGAAAATTGATCTACAACACCATGAACTATTTCAGCAATTTCATTGACAAATACCATTACATCTTATTATAATACTTCTGTTGCATCTGTGAAATTTCTAATATCACAAAATCCAAATATTGCCATTACTTTTTTACCTGGTAACATTGGATTTATAGATGCATTTGCACCCATATTTTAAGCTATTATTTATGATCCAGCCTCTCCAAATCCTAATGCTAATAAACTTCCTATCTTAACAATTAATTTTTATAATATAACTGTTTCTAATTTTTCATCTTCCTAATCTTCTAATTCTTTCATTTCACCATTCTCCATCATTTATATAAATGCTTTGTTTTCCTCCTCTTAAGCAGCAACTAAAGGATTCTCTGCTATTTTCTTAACTGTCTCTAACATTTTCTCTACTGGTGTTAAAATTAAATCTTGGACATCTCTGCTGAACATTACTGCTGCCACTGAAAGTACTATTGATACAAAAATTGTTCTTATTATTGATAAAATTGCATTTAATTCATCATCTGCTGATGTTAAACAAATTGATATAGCATCATTACCTTCAGAATCTGTTGTAGTATAATATTACAAAGAGTTTGTTCTTTAATGTTCATATTAATAAGGATCCTCTTTTGGATAGTATATCGTAGTATTAATTTCAAAGAATACTAAACCAGTTCTTAAAGGTTCATGATATGTTATAAAATCTTGAATAAGATAATCATAAATTTCAGGATCTTTAGCCCAATACTGGATAGCTTATAATCCAGTAGTAAAGCTGACATTTTAATCAACATAAGTACTCAAATTCAAGATAGGAACACTAAATAAAATAAGCATAACAATTGTAATAACTCTCTTATTAGTTAATTCAGTCAATTCTTTACCTATATTAGTTTCTTTCATTTCTCCTTCATCATATTAACCTTAATTTGATAATTTATTTGGAGACTGCAAAATAATAGATTTTCTTTTTTAAATAGTTGTAAGTGATTAGATTTATCCAGACATAACAATTTTTCTAGTTTGTCTTCTTTAAAATCTTTAATCATTTTCTTAACTAATTTAATTATTATTAGATAATCCATTATACATCACAATAGATGTTCTTTATTAAATCATTTTAGCTACCTATTATTATTAAACAATATTATTTCCTGATTACTTGACATTTCTTTCAGATGAATCTACTGATCTTTAAGATGAAATAGCATCATTTTATTATTCTTATCTTTAAGGTTCTTCAACTTAATTATTATTATTATTATTATCCATTAAATTTTCTTCCTTCATTTCTTCTGCTAATAACTTCTCAGCTTCTTTTTCTAAAGATTATTTGGCATGTTTATATAATTTTGATAATCTCACTAATCTTACAACTCTTACTATTCTTCCAGCTCTTGTACCTACTCTAGATGCTCTTCCAGCTCTATAAATATTATATAAATTTAATATTACCTTGCTAATGATACTGCACTTAATGCTGCTCCTCCACTTGTTCCAAAAATTGCATTACTCACCCAGCCAATATCTAAAAGCATTGATACTGTTGATAGCAAATCTAACCAAAAAAAGAATCCAACAAAATATCCATCCTAATTATATTACATATTTATTTACTTTACAAATAGATGCCAATACAATCTCAATAAAAAACAGACTCATACATATTGCTGTTATTACCCAAAATACTTCATCTCCATCCTCATTAATATTAAAAATACCTTATCTGTAGCTAATACTCGTACATCATCTCCAAATAATGCATATACAGTTACAATTGTCATAAAAATCATATAATTTAAGCTTTCTAAAAACATTTCAACTTTACGCTAAAAAATATAATAGATTTTACACTATATCCAATATTCACCTCCTAATTTGTTCTAGTGCTTTTCGCTCCTAAATTCACTGATTTTCTATGAGTCACTGTTCTTGTAGGCTATTCTACCTCTGCTTGGCTAATTCTCTTATTTGGAGATGATGCATCTACTCTTGATTATGACTATATCTATCAATCACTTTTTACTCTTTGTTAAACACTTCTTCCTTATTCTTCATCTTCATTATTTTAATCCATTTATTTATTATTTTATATTTATATATAATTTGATTAAAACATCTTCTAAGTCACTATCAAATTTCATTATTTATCTTTCCATTCACTCAAATATATCCTTTTTTTATAAAAGGCAATCCATCTTAATCTTAATATTTTATATATGTGATTTTATCGATTATACTACTACAATATATCAATTTTTTATTATTTCTTCTTTTTATAAATCAATTAAAAATATTTATTCAATTTGATTAATTTAAAACACTTATATTTCCTTATTTTATATTAGAGATACAATAATTACTCAAATAATCTTCGAATTATTTAATTTATACTCACTTTAATCTTATACACAAATTTTTGATCTATTTTTAGATTTTAATTGGTTTGGTACTTTTTAAATTAATTTATAAAAACTGCTAACTTTCCATTCTTAGGGTAATTTGAAAATTTTCTTTTTTTATTACCATTCTAAATATTTTTAGTTTACAATACAGGTTAAAAACTAGCTAAATCATATATTCCTGCAATTACTAAAAAAAGAAAATACATTTTAATTACTTTCTTTTATCATTAATAATAGATATTATTAATCTTATCATTTAAATAAGAACTTAGTACTAGTATGCTTGAAGATATTTAAAGTATTCAAAAATGATAGAATTAACATGATATATGTATATAATAAAGTCTTTTACAAAAAAATAAATATAAAAAAATACTTAAAAACTCAAAAAAACGAATATCATTAAAATAATCAAGTTAAATTCTTAAGATATAATTCTTATGTTATGTTTATTGTCTCAAAAAAATAATGATAAAGAGATGAAACTTGATTTTTTACAATAAAGTATTTATTTATGAATAATTGTTAACTTATTAAATAAATAAATTGAATAGTAATGTATAATGCTATGAATCGAGCAAGATCGCCATAATATAATGGATTACCAAATCAGATGAATCCATAATATGGTGGTAATAGTAATCCATTTACAGGATAATAATCCCCTGTTAATCAACCTATGGTACATATAATAAAATACAAATCATTAAGACATAGAGATCATATCCTTATCAGTAATTTCCTCCAAGCACTCCTCCTTAAGGTTATCCAATGTAGTAGTCATAAAGAAGTATTCCTCCTTTTGCATAAGCACCTTCATATCCACAAAGCCAGCCATCAGCTTAGTCTATGCAAGTACAAATAAAATACAAATTCATAGCCACTTCCAAAATCATAGTCCCCTTAATAGTTGTCTATGCAAAATTTTTCATAAATTCCATAAAGATAATAAAAACAATAGCCATAACAATAATTGGAGTAATAAAAATTGCCAACAGTTTAAACAACTGTTTAGCCATAAGGATAAACATATTTGCCATCTTAAAGTTCTGGTTTAGGATTATCAGATTTAAGATAAACATATGGATCTCCTACATATTTACCATATCAACCAGTTATGACTGTAAAAATAATAAATAAATTAGACTGTAATCTAAAGACCAATTGAATTTGTAGATTTAGAAAAATTTGAAGAACTTTGGGATAAGAGAATGAAAGAATTGGAAGATAAAATTCGTTAGTCTTAATAATAACCAGAACCTGAAGTTGTTGAATTGAGGGCTTCGAATAATGATGATAAGGATGCTTTAATAAAACAGTTAGAGGATGAACTTTTTAAAGTTAAATGTGATAATGAAGAAAAAGATAATAAAATTTAAGATTTGAAAATAGAGTTATAAACAAACATAGAACTTGTAGAATACCTAAAATGTATTATTTTAGATATTATCATAGTATAATAAGCAAGTAATAATAATAATGAGGAATTAACACGATTAAGAAAGTAAATTTAAACTTTGGATGCCCAAGTAAAGCAACTTAATCATGATAATGATGATTTAAAATAGGAATTAGAAGCATTAAGATAATAAAAATAGTTTTTTAAAGCTTAATGTGATGATAAAGATGAACATATTTAAAATTTAGAAAAAGAAATGGAAGAACTACGTTAACATATAGAAACTTTGACTGAAGAAGTAACTACTAGTCAATCTGTTAAAACATATGAAGAAGAAGCTAAGATTTGGAGAAGCAAATTTAAGGAATTAAATGATACATACCATGCTTGTTAAGAGAAATTGATATTAACTGAAGCAGAATTAGATCTAATGAAAAGACCTTAAAGTTAATAAAAAATTGTGACTACTTCTACTACAGTAGTAAAAAATAATGTTTAAACTAGTGGAACAAAATCAGTAATATATGATATTAATTTATTTAGGACTCTGATTATCTTTCAAGTAGCCTCACCTAATTTGATGTTGAAAGAATTCAAAAATTATCAAAGAATATTCCATAGATGTGATAATTTACAAACAATTTATTATATATATGCACATAATATCTAACATCTTATCTAAGCATTATTGTGTTATTTTATTTTATTTATAAAATGATATCTCCTGTCTCTATACCTAATCCTTTACATGTTTACTCAAATCAAAAACCCTTTAGCCCATCTTAAATTAATTAATAGTCTAATTTATTATTAAGAAAATTACAACCTCAATAATCAGATATAATCACATCTATTCAACCTAAAAGTGCTCATTCTAATAATAATTTTCAATAAGGATTATCTAAACTACTTAAAACAAGCCCATATGGCTAATTAACTAAACAAAAATCTATGATTTAAATATTTAACTCAGATAGCTTCTCTTAAAACTATTTAAGTGGTTGTACTCCTCCCTTATAGGCTTCTCATCATTTTTTTTAAGCAGAAATAAAGCCATCAATTTCATAAACATAGAGCAGTATTTCAAGAAGAATTGCATCTAATTATAAAGTCACTCTCCATAAAAAATCATTTGATAACTCTTCATAATTAATATCCTGTAGAGTCAAAGATAAATAAACTATAACAGCTCTTCAGATTTTATTAAAAAGAACTACTCACTTATTATAAAATTATAAGGATCAGATTGCCAAATATGAAGTTGAAAATGCATAGCTCAAACAAAAAATTGCTGTTCTAAAAAATTCATGATTTTACAAAATTTATTTACTTTTTATTTTTATCAACTAATAATTTTTATTGATTTTAATAATTCATGACGACTGAATATCAATAAGATGCAAATGTGGGAAGTAGCATTTATCCTAATATTTACTAGAGAACTAATTTCATGAAGAAAATATTCACTAAACCAATGTAGAATAATAAATGCTTGAATCATCTAAAATTGAAGAAACAACATCTTAGCTTTTACAATTTTATTAATTTAACAGAAATACAGATACATAAAGAGGTATCATTTTATTGAGTCTTATAGTATCTTAAATTACGAATTCTAATAGCAGTAATATAAATTTAAACAATATACACTAAGCATCTTTACTAAACAGTGAAATATTGAATTATAGCTTATCAACTAATGAATATTAAATTGAACTAAAATCCTAGATTAATTAAGTAAATATTATAAATGAAGAGGAATAAAATATTTCCTCTAGTTCTGAATAAGATGTATAATTATTTTCTATTGAAGCTTTTGGTAATGCCTGATCTTCATTCTTTAAGAAAGCCATTTACTTATGATGAATTGAATAGAAAATGTCAAAATCTTGAGGATGAAGGAAAATTAATTAAATAAAATTGTTAGAAAATAGCATGTATTATTATTATTCTAATATTTAGAGTAAAATCTTAGTTTTTAAAATAAAATTTAAGTTCTTGAATAATAAGAAAAGAATTTAAATGAGGCTTTATAATAAAAAATTTTCTAAGTTTAAGATTTAGAGGATAAATATTAGAATTCGTAGCTTGAAATTAAACAATTAATTTAAAAAAATTCTGATTTGGAACTGAATATTTCAAAATAACTTGAAAGAATTAATTAGATTTCAATTTTATTAAACCATTATAATTAACAAAATGAATCATTGAAATTGCAACTACAAGAAAAAGAAACCTTTTATCAAAAGAGCATTAAATTAACTAGAGATTAATATGAAAGGAGTTTATGTAATAATCATCAATTATTATTTAGAAAAAAAAATTAAATAAATGGATGAATAAAATGATTTAAAATTAAATGAAAAATTAAGTATATATTCTATTCCAATATTTTAGAAATAAAAGAATAAATAATAAGTTATCTAGAAGATGAATTAGCTGATGTTAAAATATCTAATTCTAGACCAAAGCAAGAATTAAAATTGAATTTAAACAAGAACGAGTAAAAGATTCCAAATAATAATATGAATAATGACATTTACCAAAGTTAAACAATAAATTAAAATCAAAATAAATTGTTGATTAAACCCTAAGGAAACAATTAATCAAATAACAATCTTAATTATTCAATCACAGAAAGCTTAAATCAGAATTTTCCAACAAACAGTCATCGAAATTTACCAATGGATTGATTATAAATTATAATAAATTTCAATTTTCTGATGCGTAAATAACTTAAACATCATCATCAAACTCATCCTATAATGGCTTCAACATTTTATCAATATCAGCACAAAGTTTATCACAATTCTCCTTTAATTTTTTTTTTAGTTATCTTAATTAATCTTTTATAGAATTGATTTTATTTAAATCTTTTGGAGATTATAATCTTTCATGAGATAATTAATCTGATAATAAATCATATTATCTCTCTAAATTTTCTTGCTTGGTGTAAATAATTAATTTTTGCTTTAAATAATTTGTTTTTTCTAGTAAGTCTGTCAAAAGCTTTTCAATTTACTTACTTTCATAATAAGAAATGTTTATATCAATACTATTTAACTAGCCAGTGTCTTCCATTGTTTTAGATAAATAAGTTTCATCAGTTGCTTGATTCTATTCTTTTTAAGAATCTTTTTAATATTTTTCTTACAAATTTTTTCTTGCTCCTTATAACTGCTAAGTTAGTAAATCAAACTCATTTTTTAACTTTTCTTCATCTTAATATTTAAAAGTATTTTCAATATTTTCAAAATTTGTCCGATCATTATCATTATGATTTTGAGTTTGCATTTCTATAATAATATTTAATTTATGTTTTTTATTTTTTATTTCAATAGCTTTGAACTCAATATAAAATTTAAAAATAAGAAAAGAAAGATATTATAAGACTTGATTTATTGAAAGCTACTCAAAATTGAAAATACTTAATTAAGATGCAAAATTTTGAGTTATTTAAATATTATTAAGTAATATTTTTATGGGTGTTGGTTGTTCTTGTTAAAGAGAAATAACCGAAAGATCTGAAACATTAAGGTAATCTTCGATAACTTTAACAAAATTAATAGAATAAGAAAAACAAATTACCCTTATTCCTGCAAGTTAATTAACTTAAATAGAAATCCCAAATGCACTACTTCCTTCTCCTTCAAGATAAAGTATTACTTTTGAAGCTGTAATGATCTCAAAAGTTAGAGTACCATCTGAAGAGAGTTAGTTTCAAAATCAATTTACTTCAATTAAGGAAATTAAATTGATGAAAAAGAGGAACAATTAACTTTCTAGACCTTAAATCTAAGTACCTAAAAAGGAAAATAAAAAAAGAGAAGCATATGATGTATCACCTAAATATCACTCTTCAAGTCCGAAAAAAAGAAAAAACTAGGAATAAATATCACAATTAGAATAATAATATTATGATAATAAGAAAACAAATAAAAGCATTAGAAAAGTTTCATCCTCAAGTTAGCAGAAATTAAATTAATTTAATGAAATTGAAATTATTTCGAGAAGAAAATATTCTGATCTTCCATCAAGAACTGAAAAAACTTAAGTGAAAAGAAAGATTAGTAATTCAATTGATGATCATAATTTTATAATTGGTACAGATTGTATTTCAAGAGTGAAATCTTTTACTCCAAGTCCAATATTAAAAAGGAAAGACTCTGATTGTGATACTAATTCTTTTTAGAAAAAAATGGTTCGATTCAAAGACATAAACTATAGAAGACCTGGATTTGTTAATTGATCTTATGACTTAAAAAAAATGAACATTTTTGATGAAAATAAACAGTTAATAATATTTGATAAAGAAACAATCATTAGATATTTCAAAGTAATTGTTCCAATTATCCATAATTCATTTGTCCTGGTTTTCTTTCTATAAGTAATTCAGGGGAGGATGCTTTTTAGAATTGTTTATAGTCTGACCAATTTTCCATAGTTTTGGAAATCAATTATTAATACCCATGGAGACCAAAAAGAATGAAGGACGGCATTTAAAGCTAAAATATAATTATAAGGTTTACTTCTTCAGGAATTAATTAATCTTTTTGACCAGAGATTGATTTAAAATTTGATTTAATTTCAGTAATGCTTTGTTTTAAGTATTGTAATGCAATTTTATAGAAAGTTTCATTTTCTGTAATGTCATTATTGCAAAGACAACCAATTAACTAATCTTTTTAGAATTCTTTAATATGAATTATAAATGATACCATTCTTAGATGCAAGTTTCAAAATCTTCTCGAAATGTCTCATATATTTATCATTATATTCCGAGATAGCTTAACTAAATTTGCTATGAGATTCACTCTTTTTATATCCTTCATAATCGTCTAATTAAAATATATTAACTTATTTATTTTCCTTATCTAAAATAGTTGCCAATTTATTTATTTTTATGGCAATATTTTTACCCATTAAAAAAAGTAATTTATCTCTGATTTCAGTTTAAAATATTTTGCAAGTAGCAAGATTTTATGAAAATTTGTATAAGAATCTACAAAAATTAATTTAACTAAAAAGGACTTCATTATTGGATTTGAATTCAATGCTAATTGATTTTTATTTTTAAACTTAAGGTTATTCTTCAAAAGCACTAGTTTTAGTAATTTTTTAAGGTTGAAGAGCTTGCTATTAACTAGATGATCTTTAAATTTGTTCTTATAATTTTTTTTATTTAGCTTCATGTTATTTTCTTTTTTCTTCAATTTATTAAGTTTTATATTCTTTAATAGGAACTTCTTTAACACCTTGACTTTAAGATCGTTTAAACTTCTAGATTTAAGATGGTTCAGTAGGGATATTTAAATTAGAAATTTCTTCAAAAGGTTTTCTCGGAGGAGCCCTTTCAACAGGAGTTAAGGCTCTTTATTCAATAATTTCATGATGAACCATATCTTTGACTCTTAATCTTTTATTTTCATCAACAGATAAACATTTTCTAATAAAATCTTTGGCCTTATCTGAAATAGGAGGAGAAGATGGAATTACCAATTATTGATGCATAATATTAGATATAAGAGCAGCTTCAGAAGAGGCATTGTATGGTGTTCTGCCTAGGAATTAAATTTAGTTATTTACCATACAACATTTCAAAGAACACAACACCAATAGCCCAAACATCTCCTTTTTCAGTGTGTCCTTGTTATCTCAAAGCTTAAGGAGACATATAAAGTGGAGTTCCTACATTGAAATTCTTCCCTTACAATCTAGCCTCATAAGCTGGTACAGCAAATCCAAAATCAGCTAATTTTGGTAGATTCTTATCAATAAGAATATTTGCTGGCTTTATGTCTCTATGAATGTATCCCTTCTAATTCATTTCATTGACAGCACTCACTACTGATTGTAATATTCGAATTGCTTCACTTTCATCTATTCTTCCCTTCTTCTTTATGTAATTATTCAGATCTCCCTGAAGCACATATTATATTTAGTTTTACCGAATCACAAAACTCTGTTATGATATAAGTGTTATTCTATGTTTAAAACACATCAAACAGCTTCATTATATTTTTACTATTAAATGCCTTTAAAGCATTTATTTCATTTTTTAGTAGCTATGCATGAATTGATTATTTAACCATCTTCATGTCAATAACCTTTACATTTCTATATTTCTTACTTTAACTGCTACTGGTTCAAGTGTGTTTTCATCTCTTCCTTTATAAACCCGGCTACTAAAGCCTCTTCCTATTTCATCATTTATTGCATAACTATAATGATCTATTGCTTTTCTAGTTTCACTCCCTCCTTTATTATGAGCTTCAATAAATAATATTCAATACCACGATTTTAAGGATAAGTAGGTAAATTAGGACGAGTGTGGAACATTTTTGTATTTTGAAATAATAAAATTAACGATTAATTAATGACTGGTGATCGCAATATTAATCGAAAACATGTCAATTACAGAAAGGCTGGAAAAATCAAAAAGAAACTCCACAAATAATAGATCAAAAAGGCTGCTCTATCAAACAAGACCACTTAACCAAAAAGCATAGAAGACATGACTAAAAAAGATCGTAGAGAACTTGTAAAAAAACAAAAAAAAATTCAAAAGAAAGAGAAAAAACGTGAATTAAAAGAAGCTGCAGCGAAAGAAATTGAAGAAGAGTTATGATAACATAAATTTATCATTTAAGTATAAACTTAATTATTTATTACATATTTAAGTCTTATTTATTCATGCTTATCCAATTTTCTTAAAGAGCAATTATTGTTCCTATCTAATATTAGATATCAATTAAATTACAAAGTGATGGTGTTATTAAAAAATTAAAAATAAAGACAATTCATTATATTATTATAGTATTTTGATTAATAATTATAATATTTCAAGAAAACTAAATCCTTTTATTAATATTTTCCTTTTCCAAACTTTCTTGTTATGATTTTTTAATGGTTAATTAAACTGACCATTTCTTTTACCCAGAGGATTGACTTGATTCTAATACTTAAGAATTTTTTTCTTTTAAATCTAAAAGATATGAGCCCTATGAATACTTTTTAATGTTAATTATGTTCTAATTCTATTTAACTATAAGAGTAAGTATTTTTTTATAGGTACCCCTTATTACTAAGCTGCATACTACAATTTGAATTTGAGAAATTGCAAAGCTGAAAACTCTATTTATGGTAAATCTCTTGATTTGAGAATCCAATTACAAAGTGTTATAAATGAGTTTAATTTTCTAAATGATAGAAAAACAACAGAAAGCTATTTCTTTTTATGAATAATTGTCAACAAGTATTCAGGGTAAAGATCATATTTTTTGAGTGCTTTCATAATTTTATCATCAAATTATTGGTATTGAAATGTAATTTCATTGAGTGGGACTAAAAAATTTCAATTGAGATACTTTTTTTAAAATTTTTTGTTAATGGAGCATCAGAATATCTGATTTCCGAATAATTATCATTGATCCAAAGATATCTTGTAACTAATTTTTTATCTGTTTAATTAATTTTTAGTATCTCTTGCCTATTACAAACAAATTGTTAAATTGATTATTGTAATTTAATTTCATAATTTTTTATTGCATAATCTAATCTATTGATGAATAATTTATTAAAATTGTTTAACACAATTTTATCATTAATCACTAACTTTTCTTATTTATATTAAACTTTAGTGTGGTTATCTATTTAAGTTCTAGAAATGACAAGATTTCTCTATTACTTAATGAAGATAAAGATACTTTATTTAATTCAACCAAATCTCCTTTCATTGTAATGAACATCGTTAACTGATAAATTTTTATCTATTTATATAATAATTAAATTAAACGATATGATATCAAAATTATTGTGAATATTAATGATGAAAGTATAATAGTGTTTAAGAATTATTTTATAGGAGAATAAATGAAAGAAGTTTATGTGAAATTTAGAAAGAAAAGGAGAATGATTAATAAAATAATCAACAATTATTATAGGAAGATTTTTTATAAGCTAGCTTTGCTTAATCTTTTACAAAACGTATTGAAGTCAAAAGTTTGGACTCTAAACAAAATATAGGATAAAAGTGATTTATTTTTGGAACTTTTTTCAATTATGTATTTTGTTTGAGTTTTCGAGTTCAATAATATATATCGAAAGTAGTTAGGGAATAGAAGACATGGAATTATTTAGTTATAAAAGGTGTGTGAACAATTTGTTTCGCTCTCCACTCTTTCCATAATTGCATACATTTTTGTAAAGTGATTGATCTATGATTCAATTTTTCATATGTTATCAATGCGCCAAAATTACTTGTTTTCTTCTCGGCACATTATCAGGTACAGAACCAGGTTTTTGATTTGATGCGGTATGTTAAGCCAACTCAGGTGGAACATTTTATCCACTTTTAATCAAATATTCTTTTAGATCATAAAATAGATCTTAATCTGAATTTGTAAGAAATGTCACAGCTAAACCTCTTTTTCCTGCTCTACCAGTTCTTCCTGTCCTATGAATAAAATCCTAATAAAAAAATATTTAAAAAATAATATTACTTAAATATTTTTTGGAGCATCAAAATTGATAACCATTTAAACTCCTTCAACATGCAATCCTCTAGAAGCCAAATCTGTTGCTATAAGAATATCAATTTTTTTTGACTTAAATCCTTCAACTGCAGCTTCTCTTTATTATTAGGTCTTGCTTCCATGATATACTACTGAATTATACTTAAAAATATTTAAGATATATTATTACTCCATATTTCTCAAGTGTCTTACTTAATAATTCAACACTCTTCTTTTAATTTGCAAATATTATTATTGGTGGTTTATTGGCTGCTAACATTTATAACAATCGATTTCTAAAATTAATAATATTAATTACTTTTTAGCTGCTTCATTAATCATTTCTATTTTTTATTCAATATCCTTTTTACCTCCTCCTGGTTCTCCAATACTAATAAAACAAAATGCTCTAAGATATCTTTTAGCTAACTTTTCAACTTAAGGAGGCATAGTAGCAGAAAATAAATGTGTAACTCTATATTACTTTTCTCCAGCCTAAGCTAATTTTTCTTCTAATTCAGCTGCAATTTCATCTTCAGATTTCATTTAAGTAGTAATTGAATCTAAAATATAATTAACATCTTATTCGAATCCTAAATCAATCATTTTATCTGCTTCATCTAAAACAATCCATGAACATTATTCTAAAACTAAATATTTTTTCATTAAAAGATCTTTAATTCTACCTGGTGTTCCAATCAAAATTTCAATTCCTTTTTTTAAATGAAATTCCTACTCTTCTTCTTTTCTTCCTCCTACTATTACAAATGATCTCAAATTATATCCTTAGGATAACTTTTAGAATTCAGCTTCAATTTAAATAGCCAATTCTCTTGCTGGAGCCATTATTAATGCATAAGGTCCATCCTTACATATTTTATCATCTTATTTTGGTAATGTTGAGAGGTATGTTATTAATGGAATTAAAAATGCAGCTGATTTACCACTACCTGTAGGTGCAATACCAATCATATCTTTCCTTTCTAAACCTATTGGTATTGTCTACATCTAAATTGGTGTTGGTTTTGCATAATTTAAATTTCGAATAGAATTCATTAGATTTTTTGGTAATTAAACTTCATTCCATTCTCTAATTGGATTTGGAACACGACCTCCTTTTATTATAATATCCATGTCTTCTCTAAATATTCTCCAATCTCTTGGTTGCATCTAACATAAAGATTTCTTGCTCCAATGATCAGAGGATAACAATTAATCAGGATCTTTATCTTCTTATACTTTTGAATGTAATCCACTTGCATTTATTCTATTCATATATAATGGATTAAAATCAATTGAAGTATCTTCTGTTGCATCCCATTCAAAATTAAATATATTTTTAAATTTTTCAGATGGCTTTAAGATTTTTTTCTTCTCTTTATTTAATCCTAAATATTGCATTTTAATATGCATTAATTCCTAATTTTCTCCATCCATCTTTACTGGAACTGTTGCTCTTGTATTTGATGTTATGTAACGATTGTTTTTCTCTTTACTTCTAGATCTGCTTCTACTTTTTGATCTTTTTCTTTCCAATATTTATCTTAATTTTTAATCATCACCTAATATATTAAATTCATATATTACTTCTAAAATGAACATATTCTTTTCGAATTTACGCTATTTATTATTATTTTTCTTATTATTACTTTTATTATTGTTCTTCCTATTTTTATTTTAATTCTTCTCTTTATTACTTAGAGAGAAACTAAGGTTTGAATGTTGATTTTCCATTTTAAATCAATTAATTATTATGCTCCTATTATTCCTCAGCAAGTTCTTCAGCAGCAATCATAATTTTTAAAATAAATTTATATTATATTTTGATGGAATAGTATTTTTATATATTCTGGACTTGAATCATTCCAAATATAAATATTTTAAATATAAAATTAAAGCTTATATAATCTAAAAAGGCTCTAAAAATATAAATTAAAGCTCATAGTATTGATTAAGGTAGTAAAAATATAAAAATTAAGATGATAAATTCAAATAAATAAATTAATTAATATTCTAAATGAGGTACATTATAAAAGGTAGAAGTTTCTTTTGATTAAAATATAGGTGGTGTTTGGAAGAATAGTGAGGATGAGATTCTTAAAGCAGCAGTCATGAAATATGGTTTGAATCAATGGTCTCGTATATCATCGCTACTTGTTAGAAAATCAGCAAAGTAATGTAAGTAGCGTTGGTACGAATGGCTTGATCCTTCAATAAAGAAAACAGAATGGACAAGAGAGGAATAAGAGAAAGTACTTCATCTTGCAAAGATATTTCCAAGTTAATGGAGAACAATAGCTCCAATAGTTGATCGCACTCCAATGCAATGTGTTGAATAATATGAGAAACTATTAGATTTAGTATAAATATCATATAAATATCACTTTAGGCATAAGGTAAAGATCTAAATGATCCAAATGATCCAAGAAGATTGAGACCAGGAGAAATTGATCCAAATCCTGAAACAAAAGCAGCAAGACCTGATCCTATAGATATGGACGAAGATGAAAAAGAAATGTTAGCAGAAGCAAGAGTTAGATTAGCAAATACAAAAGGTAAGAAAGCCAAAAGAAAGGCAAGAGGAAAATTAATTGAAGAAGCAAGAAGATTAGCTTTATTGTAAAAGAAAAGAGAATTAAAAGCTGCAGGGATTTAATATATTAATCATAGAATCGAGAAGCATCATATCAAATTATAGGATCGAAAATACAAAGGAATTAATTATAATAGAGAATTGGCATTCGAAAGAATGGTTCCTGATTTTGTACATGAAACTACAGGAGAAGAACCAGAACCTGATAAGAAAATATCAAATGTTAGTCTTTAAGCATTAGAAGGATAGAGAAGAGATGAAGAAGAAGAAATAAGAAGAAAAATAGATTAAAGAAGAATTAAGAAATTAAAAGAAAGAGAGTTAGATTAAGCTGTTTCTTTCTAAAATAAATATTAAGTTAAATTCACACCTTAAACTAAATTATAATTACCTTAACCATAATTAAAAGATTAAGATTTAGAATTATTAGGTAAAATTAATGCAGTTAATGAAATTTCTGAACATACTACTTCTGCTACTAGAGCTCTAGTTGGAAATTATTCTACAAGAGATTAGAGTTAATCTAATATGAGAACTCCAAGAGCACCTAATACAGTATTGAGAGAAGCTTAAAATATTATTGCATTATAACATACAGAAACACCATTAGTTGGTGGAATGAATAATCCTATTGATATTAGTAAAAATATTGGCAATTAAACTCCTAATTAATTAGCTAATTTTTTAAAGGAAACTCCAAGGAGGTAAGTTGATACATCAAATGATGCATTTGGAATTAATATTGAAGAATATGAAAAAGCATGGGAAGAACCAAGTTAAAGTGTTGCTTATATTAATGCTGAATAAGAAAGATAATAATAATTGAAGAATGAATAAAAATTAAAAGAACTTATTAAGTAGAAATTAAAATCTCTACCAAAACCAAAAAATGAATTCACTATTGAAATTCCTAAAATGGATAATGAAGAATAAAAGGAAATGGAATTGTAATATATTTATATTTATTTTATTTTAGAGAAATGGATGCTGAGGATAAACTCAAAATTATTAAACAAAAAAAATTAGTAGAATAATAAAAGAAATTTAGATAAAAAACATTAGCTCATTAAAAGAATTTACCTCCTCCAAAAGAATTACCTTAGGGTTCAATTTATGAATCAACTTAAGATCAGTTTAGAAATGAAATAGAAGATATTTTAAATTACACATTAATTCAATTAATTAAAGAAGATATTTATGATAATTCTAATGGTTTAGGGGATCTTACTGTAGCTAAGGAATTATTGTAAGAAGAAAGATAAATATTATTGGGAGATTAAAATTTGAATGATCTTGATACTATTTGGAATAAAGTTAGATAACAATTGTATTTTGATTATGAAGAATCTAAATTTGTAAATATTGAAAAAATAGATGAAGAAGTTAGAATGGCTATATTTATTGAATATTTTAGAAGAACAAGACTTTAATATGAAAAATTGAATAAAAAATAATAATTCTTTGCAAATAGAATCACTAAATTAATGAAAGGATATGAGTTGAGAAATGTACAACTAGAATAAGAAATCTCATAATTGAATGATAAGATAGCTGAAATTGAAATGAATAAAGAAGTATATTCATAAGCATTACATCATGAAAGACATATCTACCGAGATAGAGTACAAGAATTAGTTAAATATCATGATATGTTATAAGTAAAGAGTAATGAATTGTAGGATAAATATTCATATTTGACTCAATAACTTTAGGAATTAGAATAAGAATCAGAAATTTTAGCATGAAATTTATTATTAATATTATGTTATTATTTTTAATTTAAGTAGCATAAGCCATAACATTTTCTAAAGATGTTGCATCATAAATTTTTGAGTAAGGGAAACCTGCATTAATTTTGTTTTATGAAAATTCTCAATAGGATTAATTGAATGAATTTAAGAAAGTTAGGAATGAAAATTTATTATTGGTTGAAGCAAACAATTAAGATAAATCTGTAAATAGATTAATTTAATTACTTTAAATTGATAAATTACCAGCTATAAAAATATTGAAATGTGAGGGTAAAAGATGGTAAGATGTTTAAAGCATAAATTATGACGATTAAATAGATTATGAAAAATTGAATAAATTTATATTAAGATATAAAGAAGGCTAATTATTTTATGATATTTAAAGTGAAGATGTAACAGGGAAATAAATGGAAGAAGGTATAGAGATTGTAGTCGGACATAATTTTGATGAGTATGTTGAGGATACAAATAGAAATTATTTAATTTATTTTTATTCATAAGATTGTGACTTATGTGCTTCTATGTTATAGAATTTAGTTAGATTGAATAATTAGATTAGAAGTGGAAAGACTTCAATTAAACCAAATAAAGTAAGAATTGGTAAAATAAATGGAGAATTAAATAAAATTCATAGACATAAAATAGAAAAATATCCTACTTTATTTATGTATTAAATGAATGATAAGAATCCGATTGAATATAAGGGAGATAGAACAACTGAGGGAATGTTAATGTGGATAGAGAGTATGAATATATGATATATATATTAATCAATTAAAATGTCAAGCAAATCTCAACCTCCAATTTAAGAGAAGACTTTTCATGAATGGTCAAAAAATAACTTTTATAGGACAAGCTATATCAATCATTATACACAAGTAAATTGATAATTTTAAGTACTTTAGTTACCTTAGGAACCTAAGAATTCAGCTGTGCCTGGATATGCAGGATATGTACCATATGTATAATCAGAAAATCTTTATGGAGAAAGATTCTCTGAAGTGGCTAGAAAGTCATTTGCAGATTCTAAATTGGGCAAGTTTAATAGATTGTCTTCCACAGGATTTAATTTTGATGCAAAAGAATTGATCGATCCACATAAGGAAGCTTATTCACATAAATATGGATGTCAAACTATCTTAAAACATCATCCTTGTACTCATATAGATAAAATGATCACATCTTATCAAGACGGTTTCAAGAAACCTTAAAATCTTGTTGCTCCAACGTAAGAAAACTTAATAAAATAATATAGATTTCGAAAGACAGAAAGATATTTAGAAACATCATAAGCTTAAACTAAAACTTCAGGTTTTTAAAAGAATCATATGTAATTTGATGGATCTGGTTGGATTCCTCATGAAAATATGAATGGTTATCTATTTGTTTTTATTATTAGGTGATTAAGTAAGAACAGAATATCGTATACAATACAATTAAGATAAACCTTTTCATAGAAATCCTATCCAATTTAAATTGAGAAAGATGAAATAAACAGAAATGAATTATAAGCATACCTGATTTAATAACATATATTTGATCTAAGATTAAATACATTTAACAAAATATTATATCTGAAGAATTATAAATGAAAGAACTATCTTATGCAATACAATATTTAGATTTAAATTCATTTAAATCTTACTTTGGATAAAAGATAATCACACAAAGTAATAGGTGAATCTTTTTTTAGATCTTCAAATTTAACCCATTTAGTATAATCATCAGTAACCAATAAGAAAATATCTGCGTTGTCTTTCCTAATACTTTTTATAACACATTCTTTGTTGGGTCTTGGTTGATGAGGTTATTTAATAAAGGTCTTTTTCAAATATTATTTGGTTATTGATGATTAATTTTATGGTATAAATTCTTGAGGTGAAATAATGTTAGATTAAAAAGTATTACTTTCTTAAGATGATTTGATAGGAGCCTTATGTGTAATAAACTTAGGTTCTTCTTATTCTTTGAATAAAAATGTTTAATTAATATCTTATTAAGATTTGGATTAATTTTATAATTAAGTAGGAAGTTCTGTATAATTAAGTTTAACCTTCTTATTAATTTGATAGTGGTGTTATTACAATTCATATTTATGTACAAGTTCTAACATTTAAGGAGTTAATTAACTCATTGGTTCAATCGATATTGTTCCATTACTCCATTTGAATTTATAAGCAATAGTATTTTGATTGACCTTCTTTTTAATTAATTCTATGGGGAATTTTGTGTTGTACATAAAAAAATGAAAATTATTAGAAAAGAATATCAAGTTTAGAAAATGCAGATTGGGATGAATTTTGGCATCCTTTTTTTATGAGTAGTAATGGAAATTGAATTATGGTATAGGTTAATCAATTATTGTTAATGAAATAATTAAATGTTATAATAATCAGATAAGGACTTCACTCTTGAATAAGTAGTAGGTACAGGAACCTTTGGAATGGTGTATTTGGTAGACATGATAAAAGATTAATTAGGCAACTGATAATAAGACTAAAGAGAAGGTGGCAATAAAGAAGGTGTACTAAGATCGGAGATATAAAAATAGAGAGCACCTTATCATTTAAGAATTGAATCATCCATGTGTAGTCATGTTAAAACACACATTCTTTACACCAGGGGAGAATGTATTTTAACTACATTGATACTTTAGCCATAAGATGTGTATCTCAATCTAGTTATGGAATATGTACCCGAGACTCTATCGAAAATGATTAGACAAATGCGTAAATAGAAACAAAGTATCCCTGCTCCATTGATAAAACTATACAGTTATTAAATGATTAGAGCATTACTGTATTTATAGGGTATTAGAGATATAATCACTCTAGCGATTGGCATTTGTCATAGAGATATTAAGCCTTAGAATATATTGGTTAATTTAGAGAACAATGTATTAAAAATATGCGATTTTGGATCAGCTAAAAGACTTGTAGTTGGAGAACCTAATATTGCATACATCTGTTCACGTTACTATAGAGCTCCAGAATTAATATTTGGTGCTACAGATTATAATACTTAAATTGATATGTGGTCTATTGGTTGTGTAATTGCTGAGATGGTGATTCTTGAGCCTTTATTTCCTGGAGAAAGTGCTTAAGATTAATTACTTTAAATTATTAAGATACTTGGTACTCCTACTCCTGAAGATATTAATCATATGAATCCTGCTAAGGCTGAAGTCAGATTACCTATGATCAGAGGCAATCCTTGGACTAGAGTTTTTGCTAAATAAAAACCAGAACCACTCTTTTTAGATCTTATTACATAAATGCTTACGTATTTTACATCAGATTCATTATAGTTATTCACCTAAAACAAGAATATAACCTATCGATGCACTTCTCCATCCATATTTTGATGATCTCAGAAAAGAGGGATTCTCTAATCAAAATTTTAAGACTCCTATTCTTTTTGACTTCAATAAATAAGAATTAAGCATTAAACCAGAACTCTATTCAAAATTAGTACCATTATGGTGTTAAAAGCTAAATAAATGATGAAGATTCTTCAACAAAAATATTATATATGTTATTTTATCTTCTGTTAAATATACTTCCATTTTTATATGTATTAACTAAACTCAATTAAAATTTATTATTATTATTTTTAATAATGTTAGACCCATTTAGAATGGCAACTGTTCGTAGATAATCAGAATTAATTAAATCTAATAATCTACTCATAGATTAACCATCAAGAGGTAGACAATTATCTACTTAATCTAATCAAAATTTAACTGAAATTGTAAATCAATGCATTCAACGTTCATAACATTCTATTGATGCACTTCAATAAATTAGAGCCAGATCTAAAGATAGAAGAAGTTCATATAAAAAAACAACTAGATAATCAACTATTTGCAGCTATAAAAGATAAACATCTCCTAGTTTTAAATAAGAAAATCAATCTCTCACATCATCAATCTAAGAATCATTATCCACTTAATAACCTGTTAGATTATTTAGTTTTATTGAAAATGAACCTAGTTTTAGAGCTAAAGATATGCCATTATAAATTAATAAATCAAACTTAGAAGCCAAAAAAAAACCTATCATCCAACTCAAGGAAAATTAAAGAAGATTAACTAATATTGATCAATTATTTTAAGAAGCCTTACTTAAAAGTTAATAAATCACAGAAAAGTTTTATAACTGAATACTTATAACTATATATTTATCTAATAATTATTACTTCAAGCTTAATTACTAATTGTTTAAATATTCCTATTTTTTTATTATTTCTCTGTTTATCTCTGATTCACAATAATTAATTTTTAATCTAAAATCGAAATTAGATTTCTCAAATTTATCTTCTACTCTAACAAAATCATTTTATTATTACTCATTAATTATTAATTTGAATATAAGTAGATTTTATCATTAATGATTTACTTTAATTATTATAACTTGTTTTTGTTCTTTATGTGCTTATTATTTAACTAAACATTTCACTTGACTTGTAATGAAGATTCTAATAAGTATTATCAATCCATATCAATTCATATCTAAACCATTTATAATTTTAATATGTTGTTGATCATTTATAACCACCATCCCACTTAAAGAATAAAATTAAATTTAATAAAATTCAATCTAAACCTAGAATTATTATTTAGATTTTGATAATCATCCATTATTTTAAATTAAATATAGATAGCAACAGCTTTTCAAATCTAAAGTAAATTAAATTAACTAATTTTATTGTTGTTATTTATTCATTTAAAATATTAAATTTATTAAGAGTCCAAAAAAAATAGTTTAAAATAATGTTGTTGAAGCAATAGTAAATAAATTTTTTAAATCTAAGAGTTTTAGATTAAACCCTTATAAAAAATTCTATAAATCTATTTAAAGGCTAAGATTATTTTTTAGTTTATCTTAACCCTTTATTATCGTTAATAAAAATTTATCTAGCTTGTATAATGTAAATGCTCTAAAAATTTAGTTTAAAAATTTGGATTTCTTATTTAAAATGTCTAATATCAATACTAAAATTATTAATAATTTCAATTCTTTCATCATTAAAAATAAAATATCATTCCAAACTCATTTTTTACTTTGACTCATTAAATTTAAAGTTATTGAGATTAATATTCATGTTAAATTAATTTGAAATTATTTATACTTTGAATTCTGTTTCAGGTTAATCTTGATCATAATATTTTGAATGTCTTAGTAAATTAAGATGGTATAAGTTTATGAATATCTATTAAAAACTTGGAAATTATTCAAATCAATTGTTACTGTCTCATGTTTCATGAATACAAGAGTAGATTTGATACTTATATATAAAATGCATAATTTCTTTATTTAATTAATTTTATCGTTTATGAAATGATTAATGATATAAAAAGATTTTTTTAAATTAATAATAATGAATAGACTGTTTAAACAGACAATTTGGTTATATCTTTGAGAATTGAATACTTTTAATTCAAACTAATAATATTTTTATTATTAACTTTATATAATATATTAGATCATAAGAATATTTTCTTAATAATTGAATATTATTAAATAATTTTATGTATTTTTATTTAATTTATTATTTATTAAATAATAGAATTCATAAAAAATATAAAAAAATATCATTTATTAGATAATTTATGTGAATTTTACTTACGTTAATTAATATGATTCTATGATGATTGCGCTTTATCAATATAATCTAACTTAGCTTAATTTAAATTATGATTATATGTTATCATGTATTTATTTGACGGTTATGAATCCCAGTCCAAAGCTTCTTTTCTAACAGATGATTAAATGGTAAAGATCTATTTTATTTCTTAATCTGCTATAAAATCATCAGGATCATAAGGTATAATATCCTTATTAATATAAGGTTAGGACATCGATGAATAACTCTTATAATTATTTTACTAGAGACTTGAACTCCTTAAATTATTATGATTATATTTAGGTTATTATAGATTAATTTAAGAATTCATTTCAACTAATTTAGGTAATTACATATTAGAATTATGTTTTATTTATCTATTAGATTCTACATTTTATTTTGACCAATATGATTTATCAAGTACTTTTTGTTATTATTATTATTTTCCATCAAATATATCTTTTGGCTAGTAATTGCATATTGGATTATTGCCTTATAATTTTTTTTCAGCTGAAATCAGCCAAAAATTACTATTGAGATATAATTCAGGATTTTATCTATATCCTTATAACTCATTTTACTAAAGATCATTTGATTTGATTTTTTTTGGATCATTTTATTTATTTGTAATTACTGATAAATCCTGTAGATTTAAGGTATTATTACCATTTTTGAACTATTCAATATCATGATCTTTTTCTTTGATTATTTTTTCTAAATCTGTAACTCTTTAAAACATTTATTAAAGTTTGATTTCATAGTTCCTTGAAAGTTCATTCATTTATTGATCTTTATCAATTTACTGTTTTTTTAATTATTTAACTTCTTCTTATAAGTTTAGTATCAATTAATCCTTAGCAATTAATGAGGCTTATAATAAACTAATTTTCATAGATGTCTACGTTTTTGATGATTTAGAAGAATTATATGACATTTATGTTTATTTCTTGAAATCGAGATCATTTATTGGAGCATCTTAATTTTTGGATTCTAATTTAAACAATTTATGATTACATAATTGATTAACTTATTAAATTGATTTTCTCTCAATAGTTTTATTAGTTGATGTCTAAAAATTAGATTCAGTTCGAGATGGTGTAGGAATATTATTTAATAGTAGTCTGTTTTGAAGAGACTCTGATTCTTCTTCTTATTCTCCATCATCATTGTTTTCAGACTGTTACTCATTTTATATATCTAAATTATTCATCATTTATAATAATTTTTTATTGTCTTCAAACTTAGACAATTTGATATTTCATTAATTATAGGGTGAAGAATCCTTTAATCAAATTAATAAATGTATATAAGAGAGATCTTAAAATTTAAGTAAATCAAATAATAAATCAAAAGAGAGTTTGAATTCAAGAATTTCAAGCCTTAAGTTTTCTAAAACTACTATATATAGCTTTTTATTTTTTATCGAAGGTAACTTTTTTTATTGATCTTTGAGATCCAATAGATTCATTATCTTTTTACACATTCTTTGGACTTGAAGAATTAGATCCAATCATTACTTTATTTTTTAGAATAGATTTGTGTTTTACTATATTATTGATAATTAGTAATTACCTTCTTATAATCCACTATTAGAATCTTCTCTTGAATTATTTTATAGTTCTATTTGATCATTTTAGGCATTTATTAGATTAATATCTAAAGGATCACAATTATTATTATTTTATTCCTATTTAGTAAGAGTATTATCTAAAGAATTTTATTTTGGTAACGAATTCATTCGTTCTTTCTCAATTATAGTGTTTTCTTCAGGGAACAGTAAAATTACTATTGGCTATGGTTTTTATATTTATGGAGGTTTATGGATATTTATTTTGACTTTCTTTTCTTGAGTAATTTAATCTTCAAATGAAGGCTATACGTTCTAACAGATATGAGAACCCATAAGGATTTATATTTAGAATAATTAAGAAGATGATAATAAATTATTTTAGTTGAAAAATTAGAAATTAAGTACAACAAATAACATTTAGCAAAAACTATTATTATTTTCATCAAAGAATTAAATACTTATATATATTATGAAACAAGCATTCACATTTGGCTTTATTTTAAATTTCCTACTTATAAATTGTTGGAACAAAATTATAATAAAAACGATTTAATTATCAAACAACTATCTAAAATTTTTAAACTTTAGAAATATGAATTTTATGACGTAGATTAAATAATGATTTTGCTTTATCACACCATAAAGTAGATGGAATAATACCTTTGTTTATTACTCTCTTTTTTTAAAGTTGCTCTTTTGTAGTTTTTCCATTGTAAGCCAAACAAATGTGAAAACAAACAAAAACTAAAATACATAAAGTCAGTAAGATTGTTGGAATTCCTAATGCAAATAACACTATAACTAAAATAGTCTAATTCTAAATCACTTTCATTATATATTTAAAATAATTACATATTCCATCTTTTCCTGATATTCCTTCTCCAAAGTTTCCTATAAATAAAATTAAGAATCCCCCTAATTCTCCAATTGCTAAAAGCAGTAAAGAAACTAAAAAAGCAATAAAAAATCTATAATTTCTTTATCCTATACAATTATTTACAAATGGACAATGATGATCAAAAACTTAAACACAATTTCCACAATCCTTACAATGAGAACATCTTAAAGGTTTCACAATTTAACAAGTAGAACAAATTCTTTATTCTTAATTTTAATATTTCTTTTTTCTTTTATCTGGACAACCACCAGTTCCTTCAATTTTAGCTTCTTCTTTATTAATAAAATGAGTATTTTGATCAGTTAATTCTAAAATAACTTTTCTTGGTATAATTCCTGGATCAGAAAACTAATTAAAACTATAAATAATAAAATTACCTAAGTTAACACTAAAAATAGTATTGTACTTATAAATAAATAAATTACAATTAAAACATAAAGCCAATGCAATTTTTACCAAACATAAGGAGCAACAATAACAAAAAAACAAGTGCTTATACCAATAATCATAAACCAAGTAAATATATTATGATATCTATCACCTTTAGGACCTGTCATAAATCTGCCTGAACAAAAAATCTAATTAAAGGATGGCCAAAATTCGTACAAGAAATGAAAACTTAGAAATGATATAAATTATCATACTTGTTTTTTTCTGATTTTGGTTCGAATGGAGATAATTCTAAATCTGCAGGTTAAAATCCTTTCAAATCAACCTTATTACCAAATGGTGGCGTAACATCATTAATATGTTCTGAAATACCATTTAATGAGGAGGCTACCGAATTACTCTTATTTTTTGAGAACTCAAGGTTTCCATTAAAATCCGCACTTTATTTTGATTAATTATATAATCCATCAGATGGAAGGTCTTCTTTCAATTTACACCCTGAGTTTTGATATTTACTATTCATATATTTAAAATATAAGTATTTATTATTTAACATTCTACTCATTAATCGTTTTTAAACTTTGAAAATAATTTATAAACAATAAATAATTTAAATATATTTATTCAACTATTTAATTATATAATTAAAAAACAAAATATACATCTTAACTCATTCTTTGGAAATAAAATATTCTAACTATATTTCTAATAAACTTTTTTATATCATTTTTAATCAGATAAAATTAAACTAATCCTTATGATTAATCTTTTTCGAATCATCTATTTTAAAATAAATGCTTTCTAAATAAAATATTTTTTTAATAATATTTCTTTTTGAATATAAAATTTTTTTATTCTCTTTTGGTTTTAATAATAAAAAAATATAAAATTTTTATCTTATGAATTAAAAATAGATAGGAATAAGAATTTAAAAAATAAAGAGGAATTAAGAGTCGAAGAGAAGTTTAACTAAATTAAATATTTGAATTAATTAGTCTTAAATTACCTCTAATTTTAAGTTTCATAATAGAATTCTGAGATTTTAGAAATAATAATATCCCATAAAATTTATAAAAATTTCAAATAAGAAACTATATAAATTTATATCATGATAGATCAGCTGTTATAATGTGATATAAATAATTTGCAATTTTATTTGTTAAAATAATTATATTAGTTTATTAAAATTAATATGTATAAAAAATATTTATTCATCAGCTTTTTGTTAACAGTAGTTATTTGTACAGGAGGATATTAGAATATCGAAATAAAAGAGTTTATGAGTTAGAATAATGAAATATATACATATATCAATCAAATTTTAGATGATAAAGCTGGACCAGACTATTTCCTTTGGAAAATTGAGAGCATTTAATAATAAATAGTTTCAGGCATCAATTATAAGATGATTGTTGACTATTAAAAAAAGGATGATCCAAATTAATATACTTAATTTGAGATTATTGTTTATGATTAGTACTATCATATGATATTAATTTTTAAGACCTTGGACTAATACAAGAAAGGTTACTGCTTTGGAATAATAAAATCTTAGAGTTGATAATAGAAAAATAAACAATTTAAAGTATCATGGTTGGGTTGATCTAGATGCGAAGTAATTTAGTGAAAAGTTCTCTTAAATTTAAAAATTATTACTTTCAAAGCTAATACCTAAATTTGAATTAGAAGAAGATACTTCAATAATTGAAATTTAATCAGTGAAAGAATAATTTATAGCTGGTAAAACTTATTTAATTTTTGTTTAATTATCAGATGGTAAAATATATAAAGGAACATTGTATGAAAAGTAAGATTTTTAAATATTAATAAAGTCCATGGTCTAAGAAAATGGAAGTGGTAACAGTTGAATTAGAAGAAAATTGATAATTATATTTATTAATAATAAATGTTATGTAAAGAATTGAGAATTCATATGATCAAAAAAACTGTTTGAAAATATCGAGTTTTCCTTTTTATCTCGAAACTTATTTATCATAGTTAAGTAATATAATTTCTTAAGAACAATTAGTTTGATTAGTTCAAAATAATTCCTTATAAATTGAGTTTTTTTTCTTATTAGCAAATTATCCTTTGATTTTCTGATCATCCAGTATTTTTTAGACACTATTAGTTTCTTTAATTAATTTATTTTTTCCCTATATTTTAAAATAAATATGTAAGATACCTAAAATTGTCTAATTATGACTCAATTCTTATAACTTCATCTACCTTATCCTGTCTATCTTCTAATCGCTTAGCTATACATTTAGGTCGTTATAAATAGAATTGTAATTAAGATTCTTTAATTTTTTTTGTTATTCAACAACTTCTGAAGTAGACCTAAGTTATCTTTCTTAAAATAAATATAAAAATATACCTATAATTTATTGGCATACCTTTCTGCATCAGTTTTAATTGTAAATAGATTAAGAAATTTATCTATTACATTATTAAGCTGAAATGATTTTCCTTCTTTGCCAATTTTATTATTGAATTTCAAATAGCTTGATGATTCTATGCCTTAGTTAATTTTTTGAGATGTAAATATTCTTCTTAAGTTTTTTTATTTAGAATTTATTAGATTTTAGTTTCAACTTAACTTGGTTCCAAATCAATTTAGATAAATTCAGCTTCTTGTTATAAACTTATTATTAGGATTATTTATTTTTAAGTTCTTGATAATTTTTTGGTTTAATTCTACGATTATAAGGGTTAAATAATTTCCTCAACTGGTTATGATTTGTTTTATTTCTCATCTATAATATCTGGTTTTCGAACAACATTATATGGTACAATATTGCCATCCTTATTTAATTCTGATTCATCAATATCATGTTGAGTCATAAAAATGTTAGGATGTTAAATAAGAGTGATTTGTTTTCTCAATAAATAAAGTTAAACCAAAGACATTAATTTATATTATAATTTAATAAAAATGAACATTTTTATGTTGTCAATAATATGTGTAGTTTGTGCATTTGATTTACCAGGAATTAAATAAAAGATGTATGTTGAAGGAGAATAGATTTCTGTTTTAATCAATGAAATGACTTCAGAATCTACACAGCTTCCATATGATTATTATGATCTTGATATCTGCAAACCTGAATCCACTGAAAATCAAAACTAAAATATTGGATCCATGATTTTAGGCACTTTGATTCAATAGTCTTCTTATAAAGTAATATAATAATTATAATCATAGATCTTTTTGAATTATGAAATAAATGATGAATTAGTTTGTATTAAAAATTTTACTTAAACAGAATAAAACAATCTTAAATGGTTTATTGATCATGATTATAGAGTCAACATGCTAATTGATGATTTACCTATTTTATCTAGAGATTATTTAAATAATACGAAAATTGGAGTTCCTTTAGGGATACGAAATATTAATTAGTATTAATTTTACAATCATTATAATTTTAAAGTGGAGATTTACAATACTTCTAAATCACAAATAAACTAGACTTTTAGTATTAATTCAATAAGAGTTGAATTTGAATCAAAATGTTAGGATAGTCCCTCCATAAAATCAGGAATAGATTGTCCAATCAATTAATAGATGAATATTACATATTCTGTAGAATTTTCAATGACTAATTCATCGAACAGATGGTCAGCCTATTTTAATATAGTGAATGATTCTGATCAATAATGGGTATCAATAAGCATAACTTTTACTATATCTCTTCTTTTAACTGTTATAATTGCTTGGTTTATTAGATTTACAATAAAAAGAGATGTTTTGAAATTTGAAGCTTTGCCATAAGATGAGAATGATATTTTAATTGATTAAATGGGTTGGAAATAAATTAGTAGAGATGTCTTTAGACCTCCATCTGGCATATTATTTTTAAGTGTTTTAATTGGAACTGGAATATAATTTACTATGATGACAATATCCATTTTCTTTTTTTCATCAATAGGTTTCCTATATTCAGCACACACAGGAAATTTAGCTACTGTTGTTATTGTTGTTTATGTATTTACAGGTAGTTTAAATGGATATTATTCATCTAAATTTTATAAGTATTTCAAAGGTGAATATTGGTTATTATGTACTTTAGGAAGCAATTTAGCATTTCCTATTATGGCCTTATTTATTTTTGGAATTGAAAATATTGCTCTAATGTTTGAAGAGTCTTCTAATGGATTAGATTTTAAATCAGGAGTCACATTCATTGCCTTATAACTTGGTATTCAAACTCCACTTAACTTAATTGGATCTTTTATTGGATTTAAATTTGAATCTCCTAAGAATCCATGTAAATATGGATAAATTCCTTAAGAAATTCCATCCTAACCTTTTTATTTGGATTATTTTTATAGTTGTTTAATTGGAGGACTTATTTGCTTTATGTAAATTATTTATCTTTTAATTTAGATCTGTTGGTCTTGAGATTAGTTAGATTATGTAATTAATTTGGTAAAATTCCTATTATGAATTCTTTGTCTCTTTATTCTTTACTGCTATCTTATTGATTATCATTAGTGCAGAGGTGTCCATTTTAACAGTTTATTTATTAATTTAAAATTAAAATCATAGATGGTGGTGGAAAGCCTTTTTTGTACCATTTACTTCAGGTGTATATTTATTTATATATTCAATCTAATATTATTTAGATTAATTGCTATTTACCAGGTATTTTTATTTATTACTTAGATTCTCAACAATTCTATATTATTTTGGTACTATGTATATGGCATCTTTATGTTTAGGATTAGTTTGTGGAACAGTGGGATTCATAGCAAGTCACATTTTTGTTAAAAAAATCTATTCAATGATCAAATTAGATTGAATGTGTAGATATTAGTTTTATTTTATAATAAATAAATAAATAATTAATTTTAATATTAATGTTGACAAAACTTAATTCAAATATAGTTATCATAAATAAAACTATTTTTTTAAATCGAATATCAGATTTAATCTTAATACAATACTATTTAAATAATTATATCAAAAAATAAATATATTTTGATTGGAAGCATTTGATAACCAAGTGAATGAAGTTCCACTTGTATAACTAATTCAATTATCTAATTTTAAAGGTTAATTAGGATCAGGATATCGATTAGAATTGAAACGAAAATTTTTACAAATCTAATTGTGTTTTTATTTTTTAAAAGTTATTAACTAAGTATCTAATTAAAAAATAATTATAAATTAATATAAAATTTCAAACTATCAATTATCAATCATATTTTTTAAATTTCCACTAAATTTATTTGTCTTATATTTTATTTAAAAATAATGAAAAGGATTTCTTAATTTAGATTATAAAAATTCTTCCTTCAAAAATACAATTTTCGTGTAACCTGTCAAAAAAATTGATTTCATATTTTAATACTATTTGTATGTAATATGATGATCAAATTCAAAATTGTTAGTTTTTTAATTAAAAACATAAATAAATAAGAACTTTCCAAAGATTATAAGAAGAATCAAATTAATGCAATCTAATAACATTATGATTTCAAAACTTAAGATTTGATCAATATTTTTAAGACCATATTTTTTAATCAAACTTCTATTTTTGGTAATTCTTTTCCTTATTGAACACTTCATATATCAATTGATTGAAGGATCTTTATTTATAACTTATCAATCAACTTTATTCTATATCTCCTATTTTTTATAATTAAATTGATCTATCTTCATATAATGAAACTGAAAGATATTATTTTTTTACAGTATAATATATATCATAATCAATTGCAAATTTTCTCGTTAATTGAATTGATGTTTTCTGAAATTTAACTAATAATAATTTTAATACACCTTTTTTCCAAATTCATTATCTACAATTGAAATAATTAAAATATTAAATTTTTTCTTATGTTATGCATCTGGCATTTTTTCAAAAAGTTTTATAAAAAACTTAATTTTGAGATTTTGTGAATAATTAACTCAACTTTAGATGTAATTAATTTTAGACTTTAAGAAATAGGAATTTAAAGATATGTATTAAAATTACGAAAATTTATATTAAATTGAATTTTCTAAAATTATTCTTTTCATAATTTACAAATGATTATTATCATCCAATAAAATCCAAAATTCGATTTTATTTCAAATTAAATGGTATCTTTAAGATGATAAGAATATTGGTGTTATACTAATAAAACTAATTTTTAGTAACAAACAAAGCATCTTTAATGGAGAAAAATCAATAATTTTAATAGTGTCTAATAATAAATGTAAATCATATAGATAAGAAAAATCAATATCAAAATACTTTTATTGATTTGTATAATTAATTTCCATAAGTTAATTATTATTAATATAGATACAATAATCTATTAATTAATGAATAAATTAAATATATAGATGGGATCAAAGAATTCAACTTTATGGAATAATCACAGTAGGGACCTATCGAAATACTTATTTTAATTTCTTCTTTTCTTTTTTTAAAGGATTAAATTTTTAATGATGAGATCTACATTATGTAGCTGTTCTAGTTGGTATGAATGAACTCATGAGTTTGAAAATTTTTTTAGATTTTTTGTCATATTTAGATTTTAATATAGATTAGTGACTCTAGACAAATTCCATATATTATTATTACTCTAATTTGGTCCAATGGCCTTGTAATTAAGAAAATTTATACCATTTGCTCTAGTTATAGAGTCTTCTTCACTTAATGAGCATTTTTCTTAAATTCCTAACTTTTCTTCGATTAAATGATTATTTTAATTTGTATTATTTATTTAAGGTGCTTCTTGTTGATAATTAATGAAGAAGTTGAGTGGCTATATTCTCGAATCATATTTAAATTATGGAGATTGCACCAGAACATTCTATTATTAAAAAATCACTTTATGCTAATTTAAACTATTAGTTACTATATTGAACAAGTTGCTATTAGTAGTTAAGAAATTATGGGAAATAATATGCAGTAGAGCAATATGGATTATATAATATATCTGAAATCATCTAAAACTATGATTTGAGTAATTTAAAAAAATAATTTATAAAAAAATATTTGAATTATTAATTAAGAGGCTATTAAAATAATTATATATAATGAAGGCTTATAATCTCAGTAAGTTAATAGTTGAGTCTGAAACATAGAAAAACATAGGATGTGAATATAATTTATTAAATTTATCTTTATTTGGAAGATAAAAATGCTTAGCATCTTTTCAACAATAATTAAGAATAAAAAAAATATTATGCTAACCCTTATTTAATATATTTAAGATTTAAATGTTGATTAATTATGTAAAATTTATGAATTATGAAATNTATCTTTAAGATGATAAGAATATTGGTGTTATACTAATAAAACTAATTTTTAGTAACAAACAAAGCATCTTTAATGGAGAAAAATCAATAATTTTAATAGTGTCTAATAATAAATGTAAATCATATAGATAAGAAAAATCAATATCAAAATACTTTTATTGATTTGTATAATTAATTTCCATAAGTTAATTATTATTAATATAGATACAATAATCTATTAATTAATGAATAAATTAAATATATAGATGGGATCAAAGAATTCAACTTTATGGAATAATCACAGTAGGGACCTATCGAAATACTTATTTTAATTTCTTCTTTTCTTTTTTTAAAGGATTAAATTTTTAATGATGAGATCTACATTATGTAGCTGTTCTAGTTGGTATGAATGAACTCATGAGTTTGAAAATTTTTTTAGATTTTTTGTCATATTTAGATTTTAATATAGATTAGTGACTCTAGACAAATTCCATATATTATTATTACTCTAATTTGGTCCAATGGCCTTGTAATTAAGAAAATTTATACCATTTGCTCTAGTTATAGAGTCTTCTTCACTTAATGAGCATTTTTCTTAAATTCCTAACTTTTCTTCGATTAAATGATTATTTTAATTTGTATTATTTATTTAAGGTGCTTCTTGTTGATAATTAATGAAGAAGTTGAGTGGCTATATTCTCGAATCATATTTAAATTATGGAGATTGCACCAGAACATTCTATTATTAAAAAATCACTTTATGCTAATTTAAACTATTAGTTACTATATTGAACAAGTTGCTATTAGTAGTTAAGAAATTATGGGAAATAATATGCAGTAGAGCAATATGGATTATATAATATATCTGAAATCATCTAAAACTATGATTTGAGTAATTTAAAAAAATAATTTATAAAAAAATATTTGAATTATTAATTAAGAGGCTATTAAAATAATTATATATAATGAAGGCTTATAATCTCAGTAAGTTAATAGTTGAGTCTGAAACATAGAAAAACATAGGATGTGAATATAATTTATTAAATTTATCTTTATTTGGAAGATAAAAATGCTTAGCATCTTTTCAACAATAATTAAGAATAAAAAAAATATTATGCTAACCCTTATTTAATATATTTAAGATTTAAATGTTGATTAATTATGTAAAATTTATGAATTATGAAATTGAAATTTTGATATGTATATTAATTTTTATAGATAAAATAAAAAAACAATAGTGGTATTATTTTGTTATTAATGAGAAATACGAAATATGATAAATTCTAATTTTTGAATATTTAATTTAAAGAAAAACAAATTACGAGATGATAAAAGAATATGATTATCTGTTCAAATTAGTTATTATTGGTAATTCTGGAGTAGGAAAGAGTTCATTATTATTGAGATTTGCAGATGACTAATTTAGTGAATCATACCTTACAACTATAGGTGTTGATTTTCGATTCAGAACATTACCAATTGATGGAAAAAATGTAAAATTATAGATTTGGGATACTGCTGGTTAAGAAAGATTCAGAACAATAACAAGTGCATATTACAAGGTAATTAATAATCATTATTTTATTAAAGGGTGCTGATGGTATTGTTATGGTATATGATGTCACTCAAGGACAATCTTTTGATGATATTGATAAATTTTGGTTGCATGAAGTCGAGAGTTATGGGGAAAAAAATGTTTAATTATTAGTCATTGGAAACAAAAATGATTTAGATGAATAGAAAGCGTAAGAAATTTATTTATTTAAACAAGAATTGAAACATCAAAGGCAGAAGAGTATTGTAAATCTCATAATATGCTTTTTATGGAATGTAGTGCTAAGACTGCTGATCATGTAAATAATGCCTTTCTAGAACTCTCAAGAAAGCTAATGGCTAAGAAAGATGCCTCTTAACCACCAAAAACCAATAATATGACTTAAGTAGCATCATAATAATCATAGGCTAAAGGGTATTTCTATGCTTTATATTTTTATAGATAAAGTAGTACTAACACTACATAATCAAATAAACTTAGTGCTAACACTTCAAATTAAAAAAAATAGAAAGATGGAGGATGCTGTTGATTATTTATTAAGAATAAAATATTTTTAATTTTTGTATTTTCTATTATATTCTGATTCTAATTATTTAAATTCAAAATCAATCAATATAAACTTAAATGCGTAATATCTTTCAAAATCATAAACAATAATATTAAATAATAACTTTTAATTTTTTTATCTATATTATAATTATTACAAAATGAAACAAAATTTCATTATTTAAAAAAAAAAACTTTCCTTATCATTTTTTCTTGAGATTATAACTGTAAATGATATTTAATTGAGTGTTTCTTTTATTATATAAATTAATTATAGGGAGAAAATACTTTTACATTTTCTTTTTTAATATTTAGAGATGAATGGAATAATCAAAATCAATTGATAATAAATTAACTTATTTTTTGTAAATGATTTAAATGGTTTTATATTATATGAATCAATTTGATAAATTATTAGCAATCTTAACAAAAAATAGAAATTTATAAATAAAATCTAAAATATACCTTAATCTTAACAAAACACACAAGAGAGATATTTTATAAATCTTTAAGATAATTAATATAAAGAGTTGATGTCTATAAAAATGAGGAATACAATTTTTAAAATTGAATACAAAAAAAAATAACTTCAATTTATAGTAAATACAAAAAAAAGATTAAATATCCCTTTATAGAAATACAGATTTTAAAAGCTAAAAAAGATCATGATGAAAATAAAGGTGATGAATAATATTAAATTGGAACCAAAATTATGTTTTTTTAGTTTATCTAAAACTATACTATAAGAAATAAAAAACATATATTTTAATCGTGATAATTAAATATATTACAAACTTATTCTTACCCATATATATATTAATATGATTAATGATAAAGTTACTCATAAATTTAATCTAAATTAGTTTCATACATATTGTTGTTAAAATTACTTTTTAAAATCTTTCCATGATTAATTACTCTAATAATATATAAATATTTTACTATTCCTCTTTTTAATGTACCTTCAACAAAACTTTAATAAATTTCTGGTAGGCGATCTTAAAAGTTAAAAGATTGGCATTTTAAGAAGAACATGTCCAAACTACAAAAAGAGTTTGTTAATATGTTAATTACCATTTAAAATGGGCTGTTTCCAATTAAATTCATTTTATCTTCATGCTGTAAACATAAAATGCCTTAAGGATTTGAATTGCAATAATGGGAGCGTTGAAGAGGCATCTAACTAAAAGTGCAGATATTATAAATTTCATTAATGATTGCTTTGTCAATTTTCAATAAAGAATATCCATTTGTTATTCCTCCTTCCCAAAATAGTATTAAAGGTCCAGTTCTAGTTTTTCTAATTTAAATCATTAAATCCTTAATGCTTTCTCCATCCGTAAAATTTTAAAAGCTACATTTACTTATTTAAAATGACTCTAATATAGCTTTTCCATAGCTAATTATTTTGCATTTCACTTTATCTTTTTAAATTGAAATATGTGTAAATGATGGAGAAAAACTAAGTTATAAAATTTTTAATTACTATGTTATAAAAACAAGAACATCAATAGGAGAGGTTCTTGTACAATAAAAGCAATAAGATTGTAAATTTACATGTTTGAAATTTGGTGCTGAACTATGAAAGAGAGATTTATATTTAAAATATCCCAAAACTAACAATAGTAATCTTCCACTTATGTAATTGTGTAATAAGATTATTATTCTTATAAATTTATGAATTACAATGTGAAATTCAAGCCTTTGTATTTAACGAAATATCAAATCATTTATGATAATTATTTCTACAATGAGGAATGCAAATAAAGGTAATTTAATGAAAAGCATTAAACCATCCAGAGCCATCCTTATGATTGATTTTTGAGTTGTTTAGATTGGTATGAAAGGATCCATAATACTTTTGTTAAATATAATAAATATATTTATATTGCAGTTTAGAATTTTTATTTGTCAGTATTTGATGGAATTAATAAAATTAAATAAATTTATCGAAAAAAAAATAGAATTTCTCAAAGCATATCTATTCTTATTTCTGGAGAATTATTATAGATATTTTTGATAAATTTATTTCCAAATTAATTAAGTAGTCATTAACTAAAAAAATAAATTTTTTTCTCATTTAAAAGAAAAAAAATTATCTTTTTGCTTTGGAGTTATTTTGTATATTTCATAGATTTAAATATTTTTTTATGTTAATTGTTAAAATAAAATATGAATCATGAATGATTTTTTTACAACAGAAATTAAGAGGTTATATAATTAAGATATTTGTTTCTAGATCAATTGTTGATCTAATTCTTATAATATTTTAAGAATCCATCTAGAAGGTTAAAAGTAACTCTTATTTAACTTGTTAATATTTTTGTAAAAAAATTTATTTAATAATTGCTTTAGTTTTCAACTTAAGTTTATCTGCAAACTATTCTATTCTTAATTTACTAATAATTTTAAACATTTAACTGTTTAGATGAATCTCTTTCTATTTAGAATGTCCTCTATAAAATAGGTATCAGAGATTAAAGGATCTTTTTTATAGATAAAATGAAAAAAATAATAACCTTTTTGATTAAAACACTCATTTATTTTTCTATAAATTATTAATTTGAGTATAACTATCTTTTCGATTAATTGAAATCTTTATCGAAACTCTTTCTAAGTATTTTCAAAAATTTTCCTTCAAAATTTTTTTGACATAAACATTTATGATGGCAAAAATTAAATTAAAAAAATTATTATATCAAAAAAATTTGAAATAAAAATAAATAAATATAAAAGGATTTGAATGTAAAAATACAAAAAAATGAACTACAATCACAATTCTCCGAATTTATCTAATTAAATTCTTGGACTGAGTGCCATGAGATCCAAATATGCTGCATGTTTACCATAAATTGAAGGTTTTGCATTCATTATCAAATAATTAATAGGATGTTATGATTAGAGAGGTATTAAATGAAAATCTTCATATAATTCTCTAAAAATTAAAAATTCTAAATAACTGTTTCCATTTTTATTTTATTTAATATAAATTTTATTAGTAGGTCCAAGTTTTCTAACTATTACAACAGCCATAGGTAAATTTAATTAATACGTTTTTTCTGTATTATGTCTGAGTTCAGATATAGTTACTGGATTTATAAATGGTAATCCATTCATAGAATCTTTACAAAATTGTAAACCTTGATATTCTAATTTAATTCGAATAAATGATAATTTCGATTATGGCCCATCACTTTCTTCTAAATAAAAAGTTATGTCCTAGCTACGTTCTGTTATAAAATATAATATATTTAAAATTAATTGTTTAAGTTATTTTTGATCTTAACTTACTGTTTATATTCTAAGCTTGCTTTTAATTTAGAAAGTGAATTTTTTACTCTAATAAAAATAATATTAAATTTCAGTTAATATATCATCTAAAAATGTAATCAAATTGAAATTTTGAATCACAGTTCTTTAGAAAGAAGAATTTAAGTTAAAAAAATCTTTGATATTTTAAAAATCATTATAAGCTCTAGCAATTTTACTTTGGACTTTTTTATAAAATGATATATCTTTATTCTGGGGTTTAATTTTTTGATATTTATGTAACGCTACTAAATACACAAGACTCATTTTGATTTAATTTGAAAAAATTTAATCAATAGTTTCTAATGCTTACTAGAACAATTTATATCTCAATTTAAGTTCTTCTATAAAAATATCTTTTTTATTTTGAGATATCAAGATAATTGCACTTGGCAATTCATCAAAATACTTAAGTATTTGTATATTATAATTTTCTTAATTAAGAACTCCTTATAATTTAATTACAGTATCACAAAAAGAAGGCTATTTCTTGTATTCTTTTAATTTCTCTGGACAGGTCATATAATAATATAACAATTTTTCAAGTGTCATTTTTGCATCTTAATTAATTCCCTCTTAAGATAAATAATTTGTCTATGCATCTTAATCTCTAATTAAAACTTTCATGTTTCTAATTTTAGTGATAAATTGTTATTGATCTTCAAATTTTACAATTTCCATTTCATTATTTGGTATCAATAGTATTTAGTTAGAATCTCTTTAGTATGAAATCTTATAAGATGTTATACCACAAAAGCTGATCATTTACTCTTCAAATTTTTGATTCTTTTATTAAGTCAGATAATCTTATCTTTATAACTTTTCTACTTTATAAAGCTAAAACAAACAAAGAGAAAGAAAAAAAATATATTAAGTAATTTATCTCCACATTTCTTCGGAATTAGATTTAAACACTTGTAACATAATGTAGGTTGAACAAAGAATAAAGGATTTTTATAGAAAACTTCCTTAATATATTACTAATCATAGATTAAGAGATTTATACATGATATTGTTATGAGTGCTAACATATAACCTTCTAAATAATTAGGTTTAAAAGCATTTTCAAAATAAACACTTTACAAGGCTTTAAAATAATTGAATAATGTCACACTTACTAATACTGTATTTAGAAAGTAAGACTTTTGTTTTCTATTCAAATCCATTTTTATTGATATCAATAATATGATTATAATAAAGCAACCAACAGTTAATGCAATCCATGAATGTCTTAAAGCACTTATAATTAAAAAAAGAATAAGTAACATCATAATTATAATCTATTGTACTTTTTTTAATTGTTGAAGTTTAAGTTTTTTTGTCTTCTAATACTTAGATTCCATCTATTTATCTTTGAACTCTAAGGAAAACCTATTCATGAATTTTAATTGTATATGTATAAAATGCTATATAAATATAATTTAAACTAAAAATATCAATGATTGATGAACATAATAATTATATTCATTAATTTTTTTTGTTTCAGCGTTTATGAGTTAAAATCAATAATACTATAATAAAAAATGTTATTTCTAATAATCCCTTTTTGACAGGGAATGAAATGATCATAATTATGACCTAAAATTAAGTAATTTTTGAAAAATGAAAAGATTAAATTTTCTAGAATATGTAAATGAATGCTTTTAAAAAAAAGAAGAAATTAATAAATTTATTAATATTATTAACAAAAGAATATATAAAAATTATTATTTTTAATTTTTTGAAATGAGGTAAATTTGAAAAAGGGGAAAGATTTTTATCACTATAGTAGTATTTCGAATAAAAAATATGAAATATTAATAATTATATTTTATAATGCATAGATTTACTTTAACCTTCTTGAACAAAGATGTAGAGCATTAATACTAATCTATGAATAAAAAGGAATCTATAGAATTTCAATAGTAGTAAAAATGGATATTACTAGTAATGGGACTCTATTTTACTATCATAAAAATAATTGAATAAGAGTGGGTAAGTTTAGGATTCATTATATTTAACTGGTTAGTAGTCATCTTTAGTTATAAATTTATAGCCCAACGTCATAAATTATACAATTTTTTTCTGACATATGTAGTTATTAGTTATAACTTATATTTTCCTATAACAAAATATTTTTCAATGACTACAGGCGAAAGATTCTATGTTGATGGCTACTTTATATCTGTAGGAACATTTGGGTAATTCCAAATTTAAATATTTTAGTGTGATCAATATATTTAGTTTTCGATATAAAACTATCATTATTGCCTTAATATTTACATCATTAGTTTGTTTGAGTTTGATTTCTGATGTCGATTTTTGGAATTAACTAATAAAATCAACTATATTTACATCCCTTTATATATAACATTTGTATTGTTCAGAAAAGCAAAAAAAGTGTAATTTTTTAAATCACTTAAAAAGAAAAACAACCTTGAAAGGTATTTATGATTTAACGAATATTTAAACCTTTATTGTTCATTATAAAGTAGAAACTAAGAAAATTGAATTAGTGCAGAAAGATGATTTGTAAGAGATTTAAAAGTAAATGTTAGATGATTTTGATGATTATTTAAATAATATGAAAATACAATAATCTAGAAGTTCAGGAAAGTTCACTTCTATTTTATGTTAAGAACTTATAAATTAATAAGAAAAAAAGTAAGAATTGAAGTCGTTTTTGTTTGAATTATTTCTAAGAGATCAGAAAACTCTTAATTAGGATGAATTTGAAAGTGATTAAATTTTAGGAGATGCTATTTTTGAATAAGATTATTATTAAGTTTAAATTATTAAAGTTTTTGATATCCATCCTTGTTTTATACTCATATTATAAGAAAAGAAAAAAGAAGTTCAATTAGAAGAACTTTCTTTAAAAAATAAAATTTTAAAAAAATCACTTGATTAGACATCATAGATATTCAAGCATCAAATTCGTATCTCATTAGTTTATTTTTAATGGATTTATAAATATGCTAATAAAAAATAAGAAATATTGTTAATTAATAGATGTTTATAATCAATTTATGGGTAAATTACAAAAGCAAATAATGAATTTTAAAATATAATTGATTTTAACACAATTAATTCAGACTTTTAAGAATCAATTATTAAAAAGTTTAATATTATTGATTGTCTTAATGAAATAACTAAAATAGTCAGTTATCTAGACATAAATAAAGATATCAAATTTAATATTATTAATGAATTAAGTTTGGAACAATAAAATATATAATAAGATGAGAAATAACTTAAATAATTATTTTACAATTTATTATTCTTTGTTTAAAATTCTTCTCAAACTATAACAATTACTTTAGAACATGATATTCATGGGCAACCAAGTAAATCAGTAATTAAAATTAAAATCAATTATTAAGGCCCTAATCTTAGTAATTAATAATTATCAGGTTTACAGATAATTAATCCATAAAATCTTGGAGAATTACTTCGTAATACATAAAGACCATTAGATTTAGAAATACCATTATCATTAATGATTATTCGTAAGATCGGACCTTATGATAAGATGCGTCTAGAATAAGATAAAAGAACTTAGAATTACATAGAGTTTTATATATTTTAAGTTTTAGAGGAATAATATCATTTAATTCCTATTTACTCTTTAAATCCTCTTAATTGTTTATTACTAAGAGAAAAAAATGCAAAGTTTAATAAAAAATTCAATTCGTTAAATGTGAAGATGTAAACAAGTCCTCGCAAACAAGTCTAAAATTATAATGATTTTTGACACACTTAAGTATTCAATAAGGTTTGAATCACTGATTTATTCAATTAATGTTTTCACATTAATTAATAATTATAGTATTACATAAATTTAATTTATTATGAATTCTTTAACTTTAAGGTTTAATGATTCAGAATTTGAAAGACATTACAAAGTATCTCGATAAATCTTGCTGCATTAATCCTTAATTTAATAAAAGATACTCCTAATGTTATTACTGATTTTGTAGATTGCAGATAATGCTTTAAGTGAGTCATGGGTTGAATTAATTTATAATACTATTGGGTTAATAATCATTTTGCTAAGTCATTGTTTTAGATTCTATTTAAGAGAATTCCAAGAACTATGCATTTTGATAACCATTTTAATCTATAATATTCAATAACCCATTGATTTACTCTTAAGGGGAAGATTAAAAAACAATTATTTTTCAAATGGCTATTTTATTTCTTTAGCTACTCTTGGGTAAAAATAAATTATAATAAAGAGTAATTTAACCTATGGATTTTCTAAAAAAGTTAACTATTGCAATTATAATCTTGATTGTTCATTTAATCTCCACTATTTAAACCGATTTATCATGGAGATAAATAATTATTTACATCATTTCAGATATAATCATAATGTACTATTTTTATATTTCTGAAAGAGAGTAACGAATTACTTATCTAGGAATCAAAAATAAGAATATTATTGAAGAACATTTTTATAAAGAAATGGATTTACAGTCATTTATAGTTCATTATAATAAGTAATCAAATTCATTTAATCTAATTGAGTAAAATTAAAATAAAGAAATTAATGATGAAACACAATTTAATTTTATATAATTAATACGAAAAATTAGAGTAATGGTAGGTTATTAAGGTTCTAAACTTTCAGAATTTTATTCATAAGAATAACTTAATATATGTAGAAAATTAAATCTAGAGTAATTCCTGTTTTATTTGTTTACCAATGAAGAGAAATTATAATATCTAATTTATAATAAATCTAAAACTTAATCTTATTAATTGATTGGATTAATAGATTCAGATGTTAATCATATTAAATTAATTAAAACTTTTGATCCTGAACCCTGTGTTATTATTCTAATCAAATAAAATAAAAAAGAAGCTCAAAAACAATAGATTAAACTTAAACTTAAAATAGCAAACAAGCTTATTGATTAAGCATTTCAAACAGTTCAATAATAATTGAGATTATCACTTATTTATTTAAAATAAATATTATACAATCGAATCAATCAAAGGATAAAATAGCAAAACTTAGATTTAAATTTAATGATAAAACTTATAAACAGTAAAGGCATAAAAGTATATAATGATTTAAACAATATTTCTGATTTTCATGATATAAATGGTAAATTCAATAGAATAGAGTAAACATAATTCAATATCGAAAAAACAATTCAAGAATGTATGATGGTAATCAAGTATTATAATAATAAACAAATGATTACTTTAAATTTCTTTTCTAAAATCAAAAAAAAATGGATTTATTCTGATTAAAAAAAGATTAAATAATTAATTTTAAATATACTCTTTTTTCTATGCAAAACTTGTTCAAACATTTAAATAAATTTGATTGAAGATAATAATGAAGAAAATAATATTCATGAAACAATCTTATTACTTGATATTTAATTTGAAGGTCTTGCTCTTACTAAAGAAAAGCTTGATAGTTTACCTATTATTAATCCATAAAATATAGAAGAGTTAAAACTTAACAATAATAAATAATTAGAACTCGAAATGCCTATTGCCCTAATGATTGTTCGATAACTTGGGCCATTTAATTAGATTAAATATAGATAAGGATTAAAAGATCAAATAAGTTTTATTTAGTTTTACATTTTTTAAGAACTCTAGGAGTTTAATTTGGTACCAATCATCTCATTTCATCCAAAATAATATTTAATAACTAATAAAAAATTTGTTAAAAAATAATCCTAGACTTATAAAATTTTAGATTTACCTAATAAGACTGTAGAAATCTAAATGAACACTTTTAGAAACTTAAATGATAAAATGATTACTAGATTCTGATATATTTTTATATAATAAATTAATATTAAAATAATGTTTTTGATTTTATCATAAGAAGATCACCCTCTCTATGAAAGAAGGTTTCCATTAAAAAAAACAACATTAGGTAGTTAGTAACTTCTAAATGCTTAATTCATATTGCATGCATCTTTAGATGTGTTTGAGGAAAAATATAAATCATCTAAAGAATTGTATTAAATATTAGTAATATGCATAGATTTCTGAAGGAAATAGAATAAAAGTAAGATTATAGAATTTTTGGTTATGTGACACCTTCCAATATTAGATTTTTGATTTTGACAGATTAAGAAGAAGAAAAAGTTAAAGGTTTTTGTTAATTGGCTCATGAGTAATTAATTAAAGTATTGATGAATCCGCTTTATTAATTAGGATCATCAATTTCTTCTTCAAATTTTGATCATGTAATTTAATAATTGCTTTAAACAAGATTAAATTAATGAATTTCATAATTTTTGTTTAATCTATCCAAATAATAAATTGTATTTATTAAATATTTATATAAACTAATGTTTTAAATTCTAAACATCTAAAAATTGTTGTTATATTTATATATATTATAAATATTAGATAGAATCATTTATTTTTCTCAAATAAGATGCAATAATTCTTCTAAAGATGCATTTTCTGTTTCTTCATAAAATGCATTGAAATCAAAGTCGACTTATTTGAAAAAATCATATGGATTCAAACAAATTTTCAAGTAATATATACCAGAATAAACATCCTTACCAAAAGAAGAAGAAGATGCCATTTTAAGAGTCTCAATAACTTTAGATATAATTTATTTGTATTGTCCTAGAAAATCTTTAACATTTTCTATTTTGTCAAAAAATTGTTAAAATTATGGGCATTTTTCTCTGACTTAGATAAATACATCTTTAATTATAAGAATATCATTTTTAATAGTTGTAAGTAATCTTGAGCAATCCTAAAAAATTTTAAATAATGGTACTTTGCTAACAATAAATCTTCCCCATAATTCTTAATCAAATTAATCATGCTTATTTGAATTTAAAGCCGAATTGATTTTATCTAAATGTAATAATTAGTTTCTTGCTAACATAAAAATTAATTATAAAAATTGTTCTTTGATTAGAGTAATATCACCAAATGTTTAAAGTTTAATAATTCTTAACTAAGTATAATTAATAAAAAAAGCAACATTTCTTTCAAAAAGATAATAAGTGTAAAATTTCTAAAAAGATTCCCTTCTTTTCATTTCTTTTTAATACTAAGATAGAATTAAATCTGGCTAATGTATTAAAAAAAAGTTAATTACATTTTCTTCATCAAACATTTATTTAAGTCCTTCTAAATCATTTTTGCTATCCTCTCTATAATCTTCAATTTTAGTATGTAAATATCCTACAACTTTATATTGATCTAAATATATTTTATTTAGACTCATAGATTTAGTCATTGGATCTTCTTTCATGATATCATTCATATTTTATCTAACCATATCTTCATTCATTTTAATAACTTAATTTTCAAAAATTTATTACCAGCTTAATCTATCCTAATGTTAATTAGAAATATAATACTTTTTCATCAATTTGAAGCATCATAGCAACTAATTCTTTAACTTTTTAGCTTCTAACAGGTTTTGTTGGAAATTTGAGTGGTTTATTTAAAATCAATTATTCTAATTAAATCTAACTTTCTGCTTGCCAAGGTGTTTTTCCATACAGCATTTCAAAGAAGACAATTCCTAAAGACCAAACATCACATTTTGCTGAGAATGGTTATCCTCTTAATATTTAAGGTGACATATAGATTGGAGTACCATTTCTAGAAAACTTTCCAGGTTCTTCAAAAGAAATAAAAAATGCAGAATACCATCCATTTCAACTTCCATAACTCTAGCAAATCCAAAATCAGCAATTTTAGCAATTCCATTAGAGAGAAGAATATTTTCAGGTTTGATATCTCTATGAATGATTTTCTTTTAAAATAATTCTTTGAATCCTTCAACAATATGCTTTAAGAATATAATGGCTTCTAACTAAAATGAATTATAATAATATAAACTTCAGATAAATGCTTTTCCTTCTTGCTCTACATAAACCTTCTCAAATCTCCATCTGGACAGAATTCCAAAAAGATATATATATAATTTAATGTTCGATTTGCATTATAGAGTCGAACGATATTAGGATGTTCGACAGCTTTCAAAATGGTTGATTCTCTTTTGATTAAGTTTAGTATTTAAGGAGATTGCTTAACAGACTAACCATTATTAATTCATTTACATCCATTGGTACTGTTTTTACAGCTATTCTAACTTAATTCTATCCAGTGTCCATATACCCTAAATAGACTGTTCCATATGTTCCTTTGCCTAAGATTTTATTTAATATGACAAAATTATCTATTTTTTTTTTCTTCCACTCCTCACTCATTAATGAATTATTTTAGAACTCAATAAATAAATTATACAATTCATTTTTCAAATGTACATTTATATAAAATTTGCAAAATTATTATTGAATGTTATGATACCTGAATGGATTATATTATTTATATACTATCATCTATTAAAAACATAATTGTCTAGCTTAGTTTATATTAATAAAAAATTTTAATTGTTCAAAACTCAATACAAAAACAAAAATATAAATAAGAGAAGCAGATATAATTAGAAAATATCTTAGTTTTTGATAAAATTAAGTCTCATCTTGAAGGCTTTTGTATCATCATCAAAGAAGATTTGATTAAGATTTAATCTTTCATTATTTAGATACATTAGGATATTCAAAAGAAGAAGATTGATATATAGATCCAAATAATAATTTAAATTAGCATAGCATATTAAAGATGGTTATTTTTCATATGATATTTAGAATTACAAAAAATCAAAAATAATATAGTAGTAAATAGAATTAATAATACATTTGATCTATGGGGTTGGACTCATTTTAAAATAAATTATAAAATATATTTAAGTTACAATCACCTTTTTCAAATTGTAGTAGAATTAATGAAAAGGTAAGTTATTTTTCTTGATTTTTATTGAACTTTGCTCAATATTTTTTATAAGCTCAAAATACAGATCTTTTAAATATTAGGAATCGTATACTAAAATATTCCATTAGTTTTGTTGTGTATATTCAGAATTATTTGGATTCCTTATGCTACACTATGTTCTTTAATTTAATTGTGGTTAGATCTTAAAAAGATTTTATATTTTGCGAGAAGGAACATTAAACTTTACAGCATTTTTCAGGTTATAAATTTTTGGTTTATTCACTCCTGTAGTTATTTTTAAATTATTATATATTGTTTTATTTGAATTTCTATCCCATTATGCATTTATATCTTAATATTTTCAATAAAGAAGTCTTTATTTGATTATTGGATTCTTCGAAATGAAATGAAGTAATACACTTTTAATAACTAATAATTTTATTAAAATTAAAAAAGAATATGTCATAAATTTTAGATCTTTTCAATTTATCAGAGAATTAATTTATCCATTTTAAAATAAGGATAAAAGGAATTTTTAAATGTATAATTTTAGATCATGATTTTTTAAGTGTTTCTGAAAGATTAACTTAATCAGTTTTAAATTTAAATGAATAAGTTAAATAAGATGATGAATTAATAGAATTGTTGAGAGCAACCGTAAATTTATTTGAAAAAACGATCTTACAAAAAGTGATCATATATTTTTAAGAATTTCAAGCTAATATCGAAATATTAGAAAAAACTTAAAATAATGGAAATTTTAAGAATCGTAAATTAAGAAAAATAAAAATTTTAAAGGTTAAATAGAATGAAATGATATGTTTTAGAATGCTTTTCAAAATTTTATTTAATAAAATAGTTAACTAATTATCATAAAAATTAAATGCTATTTTTAGCCGAATCTAAACGCAATTCTGTTGAAAAAGAGTTCATTAGTAGAGAATCCTGTTATGTAATAATCTTATCAACAGGTTTTAGTGATACGATAGGCATCAAGAGAAAATCTTCTGTAAGTTATTTAAATAAGAAAAATTCAAGATAATTTGATCTTTTCTTTGAATGTATAATTTTTATTTTATCGAATGGACCTAACCTTCTTACTAACATTAATGAAACTGCTAATTCTAATTCCAACGGTACTTAACTGTTATGTTTCAAGTCTGTTAATGATTATGGATTCAGTATTGGTAGATTTTAAAATTATTATTTTGCTTTATTTGAATTTTGATATAATATTCTTATTTTTATTATTGGTTACTAAAGTATATTAGATTCAATTTCATCTAATTCAATAAGTACTGTTTAGGAAAACTAAGATATATAAAATAGTAAATTTAAAAATAACAATTTGACATATTTTAAATCTGATACAATATAATTGCTATTTAAATGGTTTTTTATTTCACATTAGAATAAATTAGCTAAAGTGTCTCGTTATGAACTATAAAATCCATTACATATAGTAATAACTTCCTTTAATAGAATATTAATGTTGAATTACTTGAGATTTGGTTCAATAGTGTAAATTTAGTTGAAATTTTCTAAATTTAGAAAATCAGTGTAACCTTTAATCAAACAATTTTTTATCATTCTTAAAACAGAGTTTATAATTTTAATATCAGCTTATTTGTCTGCATAATTTTTTATCCATTTGAAATAGATTATAGATTTCTTAATTTATTATTCAAATATATTTGATAAATAATTAAATTATTTCTGGTTATTTCTCATTCTAAACTTAAGTTCTTACTCTTAAGTTTCTGATTTACTTTCTTTCATTAAAAGTACCATTAAAGGTTAAACATCAAAACATAAGTAAACACAAAGAGTAAAAACTTATTTTTTGTAGAATCCATATAAAATATATTCATTTTTAATTCTTAATAGAGTATCATAATTATTATTCTATTGTTCAGTAGTTAAATTTAATAGAAATTACTTTAGAGTTTAACGATTAGGAGAGGATGAATTATCCATATTTATAATCTCGGCATTTCGATTCTTTTAATTTTTCATTGGTAAATGCATTGAAGATACTAATTTATTAAATTCATCTTAATCTTCTTTTTATATATTTGTTTTATTATTCTTTTAAATTAAAATTAAAGATTTCCTTTCATCATACATTATTGAATAGCTTTAAATATTATTAAATTTTATAATCTTATTTAGTTGTTGTTATAATTTATTATACTCTATGAATTGAATTCTTATTAATTTCTCAAAATGATAGGTAAATTATAGGAAAAATATGACATACATTATATATGTAAGATAAGTGTCAAAAAACTGTATATGATGGTCAATACCAAATATTAAATGCAAAGCTATAATTATAATTACCAAAACCGTTCTCTATAAAAAATTTAACATAGCTAATGAACTAATAATTTATTATAGATTATGTAATACCACATGCATGATAAAGAAACAAAGAAGCCTTTAGCATAATGTGCATCTATTTAATGTAAGTATTTTTCCATCGCAAGGTATGCATTATAAATGAGCAAAAATAATATAATCACAACCTCATAAATGAAGGGATATTTTTGCTTAAATTTAATTGACATCATTATAATAATTAATGTGCATATGTTAAGAGATGCATAAACCCAATTTTATGAGACTAGATGGCTTATTATTGATATGATATTAATCAATCCAAAAATCCATCTTTAATGTTGTAGAATCGCTCTGAAAAAGCACTGTTTTGAATCTCTAAAATCTTATTCGATATTTGATATTTTGAAATTAAGAGTAAAAGCATTCATATTCTTAATTATTTTACAAAAAAATTATAAATAGTTATACTAATTTAAAGCTAATATTTAAAATATCAATAATAATCTATTTTATTTTGTACAATGTTAAATTTGCACTGTAAATACTAATAAATAAAAATAAATAATGAAGATTAACGAATTTTGTTATAATATCTTTTTAACTTGCTTTTTAATTAATTTGTTAATTATATTTATAAGAATACTAAAGGGGCAATCATTTTTACCTGTTCGATTAATAATATTTTAATTATTCTCTTTTCCTATAAATTACTTTAAATAGAGTCTAAGATAAGTTGGATAAAGAGATATGAATATCGAAATAAATTAGTCTTGACAATCAACAAAATAAGATTTTAATGTATTTCTAAGTGTTATAGATTACTAAAATGTTGAGAGAATAGTAGATTGGTGGGGGAGTTGAAAAATAATTAATTGGAAGCTAAATGGGTATATAATATAATGTTAGCCTCAATTTTATTAAATATAAATATTTGGGATTGTTTTAATTTGTTACTTATAGATTCATTTTGAAATACAAAATAATAATAAATGGAATAATTTTAATTAGCATCAGCAATATTTCTGAAAGAATTTTTGAGGGTAGTTGATTTTTAGAATTTAAATACTGAAAGTATAGATGATCATATAGAATAATTAAAAACTCAAATATTATAAAATCAATAATAAAATGGACATTTAAAAGAAGAGTCAAATTATAATGGGTAACTTGAATTTCCAGAATTAGAATAGCCTATAAAATAAAAAATTAAAAAAAAGTAAGCAAATAAAGAGAAAAGTAATGGTTAAAAGTATTTCTATTGTTCAAAATGTAGCAAGAAATTTAATCATCCTTCAAGTTTATCAAGACATAAGAAAAATTAGCATAAAAATATAAAATAAGATATGATTGAAGTTAAGCAACTTTAAAACCAATAACAAGAAGTTACAATTAATTTGACGGATCTCGAAATTTGAATTTGATTATTAATTGTAAAATATACATTAAATGTTTGCTAAATTTAAATTTATACTTATTTTATACATCACTTAATGATAATATCGGATTGTTTATATATCTAAACTTACTAAATATTAAGAATGGTATGAATTAATATAAGAATTTCATCATAAAAATTATAAATATAAAAGAACCAAAGTATCCCTTTTGTGTATAATAGATTGAAAAAAACATTAATATATATAAAAGTAAGTTATTATTGTTTTTCTATTTTATAACAATAATGCTTAAGAATTTAGTGTTTTGTAAATTAGAAGATTAGAACTAAATTAATGGTTAACGAATTTCTTAGAATTTTGAGTATAACCTTTGGAAAGTAACTATATATCAATATAATAAATAAGTTCTTGGGGGAAAATGTATGTATGAAAATTTAATATGTAATAAATAAATGTTTCTTATAATCCTAAAGTATTAAAATATTTGGAGTAGATGATGAAGGGAAAGATACATTACATATTCACTTCTAATATTATCATATCTAATATCGTTTTCTGTTCTTGATTCTATTTATTGATGATTCAACTCTCTATTTTTTACTCTATCACATTCTTACTACTTTTTTTGAAAATCACTCTATGATTATAATGCTACTATTATATAATTATAAACAAATTAATAAATTAATCATTATTTATTTGTTTACTAAAATGATAGAAGTTCCAGAATTGAGTAAGAATTTGATCGTAAGTTTCATCGTTTGCTATAATTAAAGTTCTTGTTGAAATTGTTAATCTAGTCTTACTTATTATAAATTCTGTATTATCAAAGATTATTAGTAGACCATATGATAACTTTACAGTAATTATAATGGGAATGAGGAACAGCTCTGCAACTTAAGATCAGGATAAGTTACAATACATTTACACTTTAATAAATTACATTATGGAAAACACAATATACAATTATAAGAATTAAATCATTAACTATAAAATTATATTTGAATATGTTGAGATTAAAAAAGGGATTAAATGATAAAAAATGATTAACCAATAATAAATTCTAAAAATCTTCATTTTTATGAATTAGAATTAAATCAATTAGATAAAGTATTGTCATTTTTACCCTATTCTTTTTTAAATGTGAAATCTCCATCTAATTTGATTTAAGTTAAGGATTTGATACAATTAGTTATTAGTGTAATTTCTAAATATTCAATATCAATATATCATATAAATTATTAAGCATTATGAATAGAAGGTATATTTATAATAATAATAGAGCATGAATCTTGAAATTATTAGATATATATAAATAAGAATTAGAAAATGATATTTAAATCAATGGAAATATATATAAATTTATGTTTGTATTTAGATTGATTAATTATTTTATGATTTTGCTATTTACCTTATTTAATTGTTTTTTAACAGGAGAAGTAATCAATCTCAAAACAACAAACTTTACAATATAAGATTCTTATGGAGGAATCATAGAGATGTAATAGGGATCAGAATATAGACTTAAAAACTTTGAGAATGCTGAATATGCAATTAATATAGAATTGAAAAAAAATAGTTTGAATAAAAATGACATTTGTTTTTCAAAATAAAGTACAATATAATTTGGAGACTATGAGAGTCATCATAAAGTTATTTATAATTCTACTATTAATCTTGACCAAGAACATGCAAATGATCCATCCTATTATTTAAGTACTCCAATAATGATTAATATGGTTCATATCAAATAAGGTTTAGCGATTGTAACTAGTGATCATACTTTACTTATTTATAAAGTCAATCAAAATTTCAGTAGTAAAACAGGTTTTTCTACATAATTACTATCCAATATTGATTATAAATATTTAAGAAATAATACTACTGAATTAGAAGTAACTTAAATTATTTATGCTCCTTATAATGAATATATTTATATCATTTACTCAGACTAAATTTTAGGGGGTAAAGTTGATTAGGATATTTAAATAAAACAAATCTAATTTTAAGGATTTAAAAATACAAATAACTAGATTAATTAAATGAAAGTATATCAAAACTTCTTAATTGTACCTTCAGGCTATGATGGATTAAATATTTACAAACTTCATGAATCAGGAAATATCTATTATTATAATACTCTCTCTTCATTAAATCTATTTAACAATTAGATTCCTTCTATTCTTATAGATATTGCATTTTCTATAACAAATTAAACTTATGCATATATTTTAGATTAAATTAATGGAGTTTCAAGGTTTATTGTTAATTCTGATTTTATTAATATAGAATTCATCAGAGATGATTTATTTGGATTGATTCCAATGAAAAATTCAATCACTTTGGCAGTTTCCTAAGATGAATTTCTCTTAGTCCTTTAATAAGGGTAATTATTAATATTTAGTTATTTAGAGGAGTTTTTTAATAAATGATTGAAATTGGCTTTATTAATTCTGATTGGTTTATAGTCAAAACACATCTTCTTACAGGTTAATATTTTGAAATTGATATTGCTCCAACTTTTGTTCTTTTAAGAGGAAAGGATGAACATAGAATTCTCAGATTAGGAATTTATGAGGAACTTGAAACTAATTATGTTTTTTATACTAATGATGACTAATATACTGAAAATGCTAACTCTTTTTATGAATAATATGTTTTCATTCCTAAATTATAAGCTGTTGAATTTTACAATGATAATTTTGCAATTGGAAATGATCCATCAAAATGGTCATTCAATCGATCATACCCTTTTATTTTAGGATTAACTTAACATACTATTGTAGAACTTCCATATGTTAATTATCCTCCTTATGTTTATTGTTCAACTGACTCTAATCAAGATACTGAATTTATCTATTAATATGATATCAATTTATACTCTACTAATTGTTCTGAAAAGGAAAAATATTTGGAATAAAATCCAACTGTTCCTTTTCAAACAATTCAATGTATTTATTAAGAATCTTTTAAGATTAAGGTAGTATAAAGTGAAGGATATTTAAAAAATATATAGGAAAAATTTGCGATTATAATTTTTTAAATTTTATGTATAAGTATCTTAATTATATTATCAATTTGTTTGTATAGAAAATTTAAAAAGAAAGAAGAAAGCTTAACTAGCAATATTCAAGGATTTGAAATCAATACTGGCTATGATTTTGAACCAAATGAATAACTATGATTTATATATGTATTTATCAAATATAAGTGTAAATTGTAATTAGGAAAATTGCTAATAATCAGTATATTCATTCAAGTTTTAATCCATTTTTATAATTTAAAATAATTGATTCTCCAGTTGACTTAGTAATTGTTGCTTAACCATTCAACTATCCATTTACCCAGATTCCTTTAAGGATTGTTCCATTATTCCATTTAAACATTCCTATTCCATTCTTTTTATCATGAGCAAAAGATCCTAAAATTAGAAAAATATTATACCTTTATAAACATCATTAGATTTATTGGTAAACACTCCAATTCCATGCATTTTATTGCATTTCCATTCACCAATATAATGACTTCCATCATTCCAATAATATTCACCTTATCCTTCATATTGGCCATCTATAAATTCCCCTTTATACCATTAATTATCAATATATTTAATTATTCCGAACCCATTTTTCTTTCCTTTTTTAAACATTCCTTCATATTTAGATTTATTATGTCTTATTTCTAATCCTTAACCATTCTAAATTATATTTTTAAAATACTTTTTCTCCATCTTCCCAATTTCCTTCATAAAATATTTCAGAACTAATAAAAGTTCCAAATCCATGATACTATCCTTATTTCCAATATCCAGTATAATTGTCATTACTTTCGAAAATCATTCTTCCATGACCATCTTTTTAATCATTAATCCAATTGCCTACATATATTGAACCATTTTAATAAAAACATAATCCAAAACCATCTCTTTATTATCTCAACCATTGGCCTTGATAAATAAGTCTTTCATTACACTTAAGATATTGAACAATCGGTTAACTGTTCAATGCTTAAGCTTTATGGCCAGACGGAGATTCATAAGAACTTAATAACTATCTTGTTGTTTCTACTTTTATTAAAGGAATTTAATTCAAGAGTTCAAATGTTTAAGGCAATTCGTTTTCATATAAGATTACATTCTTTCCTTTAATTTATTAGTTTTAATTATCTTACTTCTTGTTTTTCCTTAATCTATTTCTGACATATCAGAAACCTTTCTAATTTCTCCTCTTGCAGTAGATTTAAGTTCTTCTGAAGATGGAGACTTTAAATCCTAACTATTAAAAATAGTGCTTTCTTCAAGGGTATCCTCAATTAGTTATTTTTGTGGCAAGATATCTAAGTATAATTTATAAATAGATACTGATTAGATGTTCATTTTTATTTCTGTATTTAGGTGATTATTATGAGTTACCCATCAATCTAATTCAACAAATTATATTTTAATTATCTATGATCATCTTTTACTGTGTTATGTTTTTAAATAATTTTTATTGGATCATATTTTTACTTAAAATCTATTTTATTAAGAATTATTGACATTTTATATAATATCAACCAAATCAATTCACTGATTAACATAATAAATATTATAAAATTATCAACTTTTTAAAATAAAATAAAATAGCTTCTATATTTTCATTTAAATAACATTAAATTTTAAAATCATAGACTAATCAAATCAAGAGCCATTTCTTTTTTTTTATTCAAACAAAAACCAATAAAATTATCAATATTTAAGGGGAAATTTAAAACTTTTTAAAGGAATTTGTATTTATTTAAAAAAAATCATTTTATAGTAAAAATCTTTCTTTCTCTAAATTCTTTAATCTTCAAATTTATAATAAATAGTATTGGTCAAAATTTAAGAAAGCAATAAATTTTTTTTAAATAAATATTTATATATTATTCACATCATTAATTTTTTGTTGTTGTCACTGTATTGATTAAGATTTATTTAGCTTTCTACTTAAAATTGGATAAATCAAAGTAATTTATTCTCTTTTAGATTGACATTAACTTGTTATATGTCAATTATTCATAATCCCTATAAAAAATATATCCATAAAGTATTAACAACAATTAATTCACTACTAAAAAACACTTAATATAGTTTGAACTTTCAAAATAGTTTTCTAAAACAAAACAAATTATTATTAACAAAAAATTGTTAAATCTTTAATCAATAAGTTATTTATTCGAAGTAAACAACCACATTAAAAGTAAATCTCCAATATAAAAAAAGATTTGATCTTAATTTATAAATATATATATTACTAATCTTAACTCCTTGAACGTAAATTAAATCGATATAATATTTTGCTATCTAATAAATTGAACTTAATTCTTAAAAGGAATTTTCTATTTCATTATGATATTTATGAACTTATTAGTTAATTTCATTGATATAGTCTATCATAACCTTTTGATTTTATTGCTCATTTTCTCTTTAATGATTAAAATTCAAATATTGTAGGGAAACATATTGTAAAAATACCTAAGTTTAATTTTAAATATCATTTTATTAAGCTAAAATCTCAGAAAATATTTCTGATTGTTATTATCTAAATATTTGTATAGTCCTTACAAATTTGCATTTAGAAACTATTATTCTATTGAAATTAAGGATAATTTAGACTCAACATTAGTTTACAAGTACTGCAATATTTATATTTAACAGAAATGTTAAATGAGAATATAAAATTAAGTAAAAATATTCCTTCAAATTTAAATTAATATGAAAAAAATTACCAATAATTTGGATCCAATTATCTTGTGCAATACTACAAATCATGCAATTCATAATTGCAATCAATTGTCTTTCTTCCAGATCTTTGATAATGACAATTCATCATCATAAAAGATAAGGTTCCTTTTTCTAATTCAGTCAAATTCTAGCAACTTTGTTTCTTTTGTAAAAATTGATCTTATAAACACGTATTTTTTTCATTAACTACATTAATTAAATTGTACTAGCTTATTGACATTAAGTTATGATTATTGTGCAGCTTATCAATATAAAGATTTTAAAACACATAATTAAGAATGAAAATTTTTTGGTTTTTTTTAAATTATATAAATTAAAAAATGATAAAAAAATATTAAAATTACTAAATAAAACCTAAAAGGAACTTTTCATTAAAAGTTCAATAAACTCTTAAAAATGATGCTTCTAATTAAAAAAACTCTAGTTTGTGGGGATTCTGATACTCGTTTAGGTTTTATTTCAATTATAATTCTTAGATAATTTTAGTTAATTTATTTTATTTGTTATGGATCAAAATAATTTATCTTCTAATTAAGTATATTTTTGAGTTCATAGTCTTTATAATTTTAAAAGTCAAAAATTAATTTGAAACTAATAGCAATATAATTAAATTCACTTAAGTATTTATTGCTGATTTTGAATAATTGATTTAAGTAAATTCTATTTAAAATTAAACTATAAAAATATTCTTAGTTTGATTAAATATGAAAAATTAAAATAATATCTATAATTAAATAGAATGGTATTTTTTATATTGTTTTAATTATAGTCTTCTCTTTAATTGATTTTTGATATAATTTAATTTAGCAAGTAGGTTTCAAAAGCCTATTATTTTTATTTATCCTTATGATATGGTTAATATATTTTTTGAATTTAATAAATTCCTATTCAACTTTTAATGATTCATAGTTTTTTCTGAATAATGGTCATTGTAGAGAAAATACAGAAAAAATCTTTTTAGAAAGTATTTCTCGAAAAGAATATTTTGAAAAACACTATTTTATATAATCAAAACTTTTAACTTTTTGTCAACTAGAATATATATAATAAAATATGCTTGATCCTTAATATATCTCCATAATTATAAATACTAAAATACCAGACACCTTTATCAATAAAGATTGAAAGTGTTCTATCTCCAGCATTATCATTATAAGCTTAATATCAGGAGTATTTTATGTAACTCGAACAAGAGAAGTCAAATTAGTAACATTCTTTAATTTATTTCCTTTAGCAAATCCATTAACAACCATATTCAAATACTCCACTATATTTTCTGTTCATATGATTTAAATACTCTTTGTGTCATCTTCGTTTTTCTACTTAAACAGATTCATTATCTTATTTAATTTTATATGGTAGATAAGATCTTAATTTAGGAGTAACAACATTCAATAAATCTTCACTTGAATCATATCTTTATAATTCTTTATCAAATTTAGTTCCTGTTGTTATTTCATTCTTATCAAGTACCATGGTGATGTTTCTTAAGTAACGACACTATCTATTTTTTCATCTGAAGTTATAAACAATTTATTCTACTATCTCTTCATAAATAGTTTCTATTTCTCATCAATCATCAGGTGTTGGTTCAATATCCATTTCTTCCTCTGATTTTTTTTCTGGTTCTTCCACAACAACATCATCTGGTAGGATTCTTAAATGCTTTTAATCCTTTATATTCTAAGGATCCAGCTGCAATTCATACTCTAAATATATAATAAATTTAAAGATAAATTCAGCTAATTTTGTATTTTTTAAATAAATATTTAATATGATATAATTAAATTGTTTTTCATTTACTTATTATGATTATCATATAATAAAAATTATATGTCAAAGTTACATTGAATCAAAATAATAAAGTTTAATATAAAATCATTATTCTGATATTTTTTACAGTATTTGAATTTATCCATTAGAACCAGGCACAGATTCTGAAGAAAACAGAGTCACACATTATGAAAAGGTTATTTATTAATGACTATATGGATCTATGATATTCAAATATTTTTAGATATCTAGATCTCCAGCTTCAAAATTAAGAATATCTATTAAATTTCGAAATTCATTCTAATAAAAATTAATAATAAATTTACTTCATCAATAATTCCATTAGCATCTGTGTCCATTTATTTAAAAGTTGCAATAAATTTCTTTAAATATTTCTCATGAGATTTTAATTAAAAGTCTAATATTATCTTTTGAAAAACTGAATATTCTAATTTATATTTATCTTTTTCTTAAAGCAAGGACAATTATTCTTCCCTAGTTAATCTTCTATCTGGATTTTTATGTGGTACTATATAGAACTATTTTAATTTATTAAGAAGTAATTCAGAATCTTCTTAATTGTACATATATTTGATAATATCTACAGCTTCTTCTTCATAAAGTTATCCATTTACTCTTTAGTTGAGCATTTCCTTTATTTCAGCTTGATGTTTCAAAGGAAACTTTCCTCTAAGATACATCTTTAATATGATAATAAAATACTTTTAATAATTCTTACATAGTATTTTTGACTTAAGTCTAAACAAAGCGAAATTCTTCATCACATTCATTTCTAAGGATTTTTCCAAAAACAGCCACATCATTATCTTCTGCAGAATATTTTTTAAGTGCATTTACTATAGATGTAGCCCATTCTATAATAAGACTTTTAAGTCCATATTTTTGATTTAAAAATGTATACATATGTTATTCCATTGTTTCTCTCGGTAATTTTGATTCTGCACACTTCTAATCAAATTTTTGTTTACTCTCATAAATTTCATTAATAACATCCTTAAGTTGTTTTAATGTTAAGTTTCTAACATTTATTTATTGAGGAACTGAGGTTACATTTTATGATTATTTTGATTAGAAAACACCATTATTTTATTAAATAGTTGATGATTAATAGTTTTTTGAATAATTTTAAGATTGATAGGAATCATTTTATTATTTTATTATATGTTCTGAATTAGGCATTGAAGGTCTATCACCTTTTGAATGTTTAATTAATAAATCCAAATATCTTTTATTTTCTTTTTCTAATTCTGCATTCTATTATTAAAGTTCAGATAATTCTTGTCTTAACCTATTTTCAACTGATTTATCTCCTTATTGAGTTTGATTTACTTACTTTTTATTGTCTATAATTTATGATGTATTTTTAGACGGCGCTTTAAGATTTTAAATCACATTTGACATATCATTAAAAATTTACAAATGCATATCATGAATTTTGGTTATTATTACATCTAATTTTTTATCATTAACTTTAAAATGCTTCATAATTGATTTAAAACAGATTTCATATAAATTGAATTTAGCCTTAAATATAAAGAAAAATTACTGTTAAAATAAAAAGATTAGTAAGATGATCAGGATTATTTTATTTAAGCTTTGATTATAAATCAAGCATAATTGTTCTAATTTATTGATCAAATTATTTATCTTCTTGCTCTTCCTATTTGTATTCTCTTATGCTATCATATAATATCTATTAATTTTCAACATAAATACAGCCATTTATTCTAGATCATATTGTTAAAGTGTAATATCTTAAACAGCACTAATAGACCTTTCAGATTATTGCTCACTATGCTATTCTAAGGTTTCATCAGGTTCTTCTTAATCACCATTCACTTTTTGAGAATTCAAAATTTAAAGATTAGAAAGACATTCTAAAATGTATTGCTCTTCTTCTTTTGATTATAAGGTAATTTCAAGGTGAATCAAATTAGGCATTGTTGATAAGGCATCCACAACTTGACTTAACTAAAATATAAGCATATTTGTAGAATTTACATCAGAGAAAATATTATTAGAGATATCAAGTATTTCTACTGTGTCTAATAAACTTAAATCATCAGGTAAGTAAGCTAAACGATTTCCATGTAAATTAAGCTAGCTAATTCATTAACATTTTACTTCTTTTAAATTGCTAAAGTTAGCTAATTATGGTAATAATTCTTCTAAATTTTCAATTGATCTATTTTGATATTTTTAAATTTTACTTAAATTCTAGATCTATTATTGTAACACTAGTTCCTTATGTTTTTAGAATATGTTATAAAACTTCCATTTTATAAATTGAATTTTTTTGAATTAAATAATTTATTTTCTCATCGTTTAATATAATAGGAAAAAACTTAAAATCTGTATAGAAGTCATAAGAATAAAATCTAAATTCACATTTCAAAAAAAATAATATACCAGAATCCAATTCTAGATATTCAATTATAGAATTTAAAGCAAATGAATTTCATCTCAAAAAAATACACATTTAATTTGATCAATTTGATTAATATTGAATACATTTTCCTATTTACTTAACCAATTTAAAAATGAAATAAAATTTATAACCAGAAACATTGATTTTTACACATTTTTTCATTTTCACACAATAATATTTTATAAATATAAATACGAAAATTATTTAAAATTATTACGGAAGCTTTTAAGAAACTAGAAAAGTCTCAACAATCAATCTTCTATGGATATAATACATGATTTGCATTGATTAAATTATATTTATAAATAGAAGACAACAATTTAAAAAAATTGGCAAATTTTAATTAATTATATATATATAAATATTTTACTAATCTAAGAATGAATTTTTTTCGAATTTCTACGATTAATCCTATGTTGAAAGTAGAAAAGAAATTGTAATAATAGATTAGCAAATTTAATCTTTTCTTTATTTTATAATAATTAATTCCAACATTGAAAATATTTTAATCAAAAATAATTTATGATTAATATTTAAATCCCAAAAATTTTGAATTGATTATCCTATACCAAAAATATCTTCTCCTTATTTTGTAGAATACTTATTAGGAATTAATTGCAATATATATTTATATTAAGAATGCAACTGACAAATGGAAAATTGCTCGATTTTTCTTAAAATTTATAGTCAATATTTAAACATTTTATTTGATTTTAATAGTAATTTTCTTAAATTTGATTATTAATATTTAGATATTTAATTTGATAAAATATGTAGAATATGGAATTCTATCAAATTTCTTTTATAATAATTTAATGCTTATCTGACTAACAAACCTTTTATTTTTTATTAATAAAATTATAATTTAGAATGACTATTAATTATACTCAAATATTTATTTTTCGAAATTACATAAATATTAAGCAAATAATAAATTATTTATCAATAATTAATTTTTAGAAATATGATGTAGATCATTAAAAACTTTAAAAAATTTGATATTTTTGGTAAATAAATTAAATTAAAAGCCTCAGGCTCATCTATTTTTAAATTCAGATTTGTGCATTTTTGACTTTATTATTATTTAGCATTCTTATTTTCAGGTACTTTATTTAAATCATTGTATGAACCAGAATGCATTATCATACCAAGTTAAATTTGTGGTTAAACAATTAGAGCAAATTCAAAAGTATTAAAAAATAATTTTAACTTAGAAATTAAACATACAGGAGGCATATGAAAATGTAGGAGCGATGACGATGAGTTCATCAAAGAGAATCCTTAAATAAGAATTTAGGGATCAAATCGTTATGATAATTTGACTTTATTGGGAGAATTAATAGGGAGAGGTTCAAATAGCACAGAAATGCCTAGTATAACTTGTTAATAATTTAGATTGTGCATCAAATGAAGAAATTGATAAATATACAGCAAATTCAAACCTTTATTACTCATATTCATTCCATCAACTTAATAAGGAATTATATGCTTCACTATATTAGAAAACTGAAAATATACATCTAACCTCCCTTTATTACAAAGCTGGCAAATACATTAAATTTTATTATCAATACTCTTAAAGTTTTCTTGAATACAATCCCTTTTATTTTTCCCCTCGGTATTCTATTAATTAAATTGATTTGTTAAGTTTCAGATAAATTAAATTCATAAGTAAACAGGAAGTTGATGAAGTAGTGTAAAGAAATAATGATGAATATTTAAATAGTAAATCTTTAAGCTTTGGGATTGTAAATTCAAAAAACAAGATTCCCTAAATGATCTCTAAGAAAATCTAAAAAATTTTAAATATCAAGTATTTCATTATAATTATCATATTACCTAATCTGTCTATTTTTATGAGCATTACAAGATTTACAAGATTTTTTTTTGAAATTAATCTTAATTATAATCTTGTATTCTGCTCAATAATTTGATTATGAATCCTCTATGTATTATTTAAATATATCCTTTGATTAATCTGTATTATATTAATTATGATATTTATTGTTTAAATATAAATAAATTATATTAATTAGAATGAAAATTGATTAAATATATATATTTATATTATTTAAATATATCTTTATTTTATAAATCATAATTATCATAATAATCATAAAATTAATATTTCTATATAATCATGGAAATAGCTTTTTTGATGCATTAATTAGGCTTTGAATTAGCATCAGAATCAAAATTAAACTATTTGTTACCTCAAGTTAATTGCTTGGGTCCGACAGCATTTAGAGATGCTGTATTAAAAGGAAATTAATTAATGTTAGATCTTTATGTTCTATGTTCTAAATTTGAAGTTCAAGATCAATATAAGTTTGTACATGTAATCCTTACCGATGGAGAAGACAATAGTTCTAAAATAAGCTCAGAATAATTTCTTATATATTAATTAGTGTTATAAGACTAGCTCCCAAAAAATATTCTATAAACTTTCTACATAGGTGTTAATGTGGAAAATAATTAAGCTGTTTAATAAGAGATGAAAGCTATATTATAATGTAGTGGAGATTCTTCTTAATATTATTCAATTAGTAGTAATGGAATTAATGATATATTTTAGAAAATATAAATGTAAATTGGAATTAGAGTTTAAGAAAAAAATTTGATTATAGGAAATCAATAAGCCACTATCACTCTTAAATAATAATAAGTTTCCCCAATTTTATAATTCTAAATTAACAATTATATTGTACTATTCACACTTGATATATCATCATCAATGTAGCCTCATTGGGATAAAGTTTGTTAGGCTGTGAAAGGTTTTTTAGGTAATCTAGGATCAAATGATCTTGTGTTAGGAATTATCTTTAATGATTAAGTTTAAGTTTTATCTGGAATTTAATTTGAGAACTCTATTCAAAATGAAAATGTAGATACACCAGTTCCTTAAAGTTAAGTAGAGTAAATTTAAGATCAATTTGAAGATTAAGATTAATATGAAGATTAGAATTAAGATTAATAGGATAATTAAGATTAATAGGATAATTAAGATTAATAGGATAATTAAGATTAATAGGATAATTAAGATTAATAGGATAATTAAGATTAATAGGATAATTAAGATTAATATGAGAATTAAGATTAATATGAATATCTTGATCAAGATTAAGATCAATTTGAAAATCAAGATTAATTTGAAAATTACGATCAAGATCAAGATCAAGTTCAATTTCATCAAGAATAATCTTCTGAAAATATTCATGATCAATTTATAGATATACAACCTACTCCTAAATAAGGATAAACATAGGAAGTAGTTTAAACTTCTTAAAGTCCATAATCTAATCAAAAACTTATATCAGAAGCACAACTTTATACATAGCAGGAAATATTTCAATAGTAAAAATAATAATAATTAATTTCTATTGATAAACCATAAAATTTTAGTTGCAGTTGTTAAATTAATTGTTAGATTTTTTGAATAACATATTTTTAAGTTTATTCTATAATTATAAATTTGTTACTAAACTCTCTATGTGATAAAATCAAATAAAATTTTATTTATTCTATTAATTTATATTAAGACCTTAGAATACAAGATTACTTTAATTTATGGAGTTTTTCTCCAACTTATGATTTTTAATTTATTTTTAAGACAGATTGTTATTTACTTATTACTTATTAAAGCAATCCTTTTAATTCAATATAATACTAAACTTAAATTAAATATTAGGAATCTATTTTATTTTTATTTATATTAAGAGGCAAATTTTGTGAAATTACTTTATAATCTAATTTAAATTATAAAATTTTCAAAGTTGTTCAATTTATAATTGTTCCTCCCTTAACTTAAGTAAATTAATAATATATAATTATAAATTTAGTCAAAAATATTTAGTTATTAATTATGATTGATTATTAAAATATGATGTGAAATTAGAAATCTAAGGTTAATAGAGTAATTATTTTTGATTCCAAGTGATTGATTGAAGTAGATGATATTTATTTGTTTTTAAAATATATATACTAATTATTTTGATAAACTTAAGGAATGCTATTTTATTAATTATACAAATTATAATAAAATTGTATATTAATATTTTTAATGATTTTCTTGTTATTGAATATTTTACTTAATCAATTAATTTGTATGAATATCTATAAATTATTATATTTTTTTATTTTTAAATATATCTATTAAAAACTAAATAAATTTAGAAATTTAAATTATCTAATATTTTAAGTATGATTAATCTTGTTATAACATGTTTAAATATATATGTTCTCATAAAACTATCAATTGTCAAAACACATTAAAAGTAATTATTTATAAGTATTAATTCAATTACAAATTAAATAATCTTAAAAATATTTCATCATTCATAATATGCTAATTTTTAATAATAATCCTAATCTTTTTTTGCTGGATGACAGCAGAGACAAAAAATAAATATAACCATTAATCCCATTATTCCAGCTGAAATATCCCCTATCATTGAGCATATATCATTTTATTAATATTAAGCTCAGATAAAGCATTAATTATTCTGATATTGTAAAATATTTATAATTTATTAGGTACAATCTTAAACTTTAATTGCCTATATATATAACAATGATATTAAAATGAACATATCAGATCTTATCCTAAATCACAAGTTTATTGTAAATAGTATGTGCTAGAACAATTGAGATCTTGATTGTTCAGCTTATGTGCAAGTACATATCCAAAAATCAATAAATCCAAATGATAATCCAATATTAACCAAATTGAATAATAATAATAAACAAGCATTTCCTCCGAATATACCAATAATTCAATTAATATTCTTTCATTAACTCAGAGTAAAAATATATATATCTTATAATTTAGATATGATTAGTTTTTTAATAACTTAAATTTAAAACTTATTTATTGAGAAGCTGATAGTAATTAGTACAATTTATTAATCAAATTAAAAGAATATATATATAAAATTTTATTAATAATTTTATGATAAATTTGAGAACCTTAATAAAGGATTAAGGCTATGAGAAAATGGTTATGATTAAATATTTTCATGAATTAGATGAGATTAATTTTATAAAGTTTAGATGAAAAGCAAAAAATAAACATATTTTTTTGTCAAAAAATTAGATACTTTTGAAAACAAATATGAGTCCGTCATATATTATTACTAAATTTAGAATATAGAGAATAATGAAAGGTTATTTTTTATTTCTAGATTCTAAAAAATATCATATTATAGATTATTATTTGATTTCTGAAGGAGTAATTAGTGATTTTTGTTTATATTTGTTAGACAAGCCTATTAGGAAAGCAAAATAATTATAAAATGATTTTGGTTAAAATCATCTGAATAATATCAGATAATATCGTCGTGATAATTTCTATATCTTGTTAGACGAACAGAATTTTTAGCATAAGCAAATTGGTGAGTGTTGTAAGTGGCTATATTAGATAATGACAATTATACATAAAAATGGAATTAGACTTGAAGCTGCAAATATTGTTCTGGCAGTAAAATTATAAATATGCTGAACAGTTTGGAAACTCTGTAAACCAAACACAAAATTCCATGGTTAAGTTACAAGTTTTCTGACTTAATTTCTTTAATCAATAAAATCTAGAATTCTTTCAGACATTTATTCTTGATATTTATTTTATTAATTGATTGGATTTAATTTTTTTAATTATAAATATAATTATTAAATATGGGTATCTGCACATCCGAACCTTTACCTGGAGGAATTGAATAAAATGAAACAAAGCCTGAATAAATTAAATCAGATGTGGATGAAGGCAAAAATGAGTAAAATGAAGCAGCTCTTAAAATCTAAAGTAGTATAAGAGGAAAGAAAGCCAAATAAGAGCTATAAAAAAAAAAAGAAGAACTGGAATAAGATAAACCAAAAGATTGGATAGAACAAAAAGAAAGTTTCTAAGAGCCACAATTACCAACAAATTTTAAAGATAGAGTTAACTAAAAACCAACAAATGAAGATCGATTATTACCTCCTTATCAAGGACCAGATGGAGCTATTTATTATGGATAATGGAATAAAGGAGAAGTAAATGGATTTGGATAAATGTTAAAGCAAGATGGATTATATCTTAAAGGTTTATGGAAATCAAATATTTTTTAAGAAGGAGGAATTCTTTATCCAAATGGAGATTATTATGTAAGTTTCATTAATAATTTCATTTATAGATTGGAACAGCAACCTTTGGCTAACGATTCTATGCCAATGGAGTAATTTATAAAGGAGAAACTGATTTTGGTACTCCATAAGGTTAAGGTGAGGAAACACATCCTGATGGAACAATATCTAAAGCTTTCTATAAGAATGGATAAAAGGTATAATAAGATAATAGCCATTAAAATCATTGATTTCGGCTAATTTGAATAATACAAAAAACATTGTATATTGATTTATTTTAGAAATCTTCTATTTTTTTCTTAAGTCTATTTCTTAAATTTATTCATTGAATATATTAATTGAAATGAATGGATATATTTGTTTATCATTTAATGAATCAAATTAATTTACAATAAAATTTTTAATTTCTAAGTGAATAATTTGTATATATCAAAAAGCATTTTAAATTTATTTGCTCTGATATCCTAGTTGTTTCAAATGGTTTTTCTTTTTTGAGAAACTCAAGATAAATTGTAATTTAAAATAAAATTATTTGAAAATGTATTTAAGTGATTTTTTTTATAAATAATGAAGAAAAATGATCTTAAGATTTATTGAATAAACAAGGTACGTTAAGTAATATAAATGGAAGAATAAAAAAAAAAGGTAAATAATGAATAAAATAAAGCTAGTATAATATCATTGCCAAAAAACATATTGTCTATTTTTTCCTACTTTATATTAGATATTCCAAATTTAAAAAATGTAAGATTTGACTGGATCAAGTGATTCTTTGTAAAATTAATATAAGTAATAAAACACAAGAAACTATGATAATTTTAATAATTACTTTATAAAAGAATTAGATATATGTGAGAACTAATACAATTTTTAAGAATAATGCAGCTTTTTGTCCCCATTCAGGATTATTGTAATCAGTGCTATCCCACCATAAATGATATTATGATAACCAAAGAATATCATAAATAATTGAAGCAATTAATCCTAAGCCTACTAGTTTTACATGTTCAGGTTCAAATCTATCCAGAAAAACAGTGAACATTAATCCATGACAAACCAAAACATCTAAAAAAGATGGTTTAGCTGAACATACAAACAAAGTTATTAAACCATAAAATGAAAAGATTGTCATTCCTAAATCTAAATCATAGGGTGCTTATGGATATTCTTCTTCTGGTTAAGAGTTAGGATCTGTTTAATTTATATCTATTTTTGATGTTTAGAGAGGATCTGCAGCAACTTCTTATGGTTTATTTTCTTAAATCAAACTAGTTTCTTATTATAAAGGTGGTGTTTAACCATTCTAATTTTTTACATTATTTTCCTCTTCTCTACTACGAAAAGGCCTTGTTAATAAGTCATATTAATAAGTAACTTATTTATTTAATTCAGTAAGTTAATCAATTCGATCCCCTGTTTATCCAACTTAGCTTTAAAGATATTCATACTAATCTTAGAATATATATATAGTACTCTATTAAAAATAAGTTGAACTTGCATATCTATGAAACATCCTACTTCTTTTCCTAATGGATCTTTTAATTACAACTTTAAGGATTTCAGCTATTCTTCTAATGAACTTATTGATATTTATGCTTATCCTAATAAAGTAGGTAATGGAGAATCATTCTATTTTGTATATAACTATATTGTTAAAATGTAGATATTATTTGGAATAGAACTAATTTAATAATCTAAATAAGATATTACAATTCAATTTCTCTATTAAAATCAGGATTTGTCTTATCAAAATGTTCAATAGGTTTCAATCTTTATGATTAAGAACCTAATGACACTTAGAGATGACAATCAGAATACTAAATCTTTTTTGATATATTTTTTGCACTATGAATCATAATATAAATATGTTTAAATTCACTACTGTTTGCTTTTTTATTAAGAAATATTCTTACAAGCTGATGACATTTATGATTAATGTTTTTTCTATTTTTCTCGAAATTAGTTTATTTCTAACTTTATTTTTTCTAATTTGCTATTCAATATTATTATTGCACTATGAATAGTTTATGCTAAATCTTGCATTCGATAAATTGGATCATAATTTTAATTCATTGTTTTATGACATTATGCTAAAATCTCATTAAGAACATCTCTATCCATATCTTTAGTTCCAATCATTAAATCCATCTTTTGTTGGATCTCATTTCCTGTTAAACCTTAATTTTTTAAATAACCAAATCTCTCAAATGTATTCTCAATACGTTTAAGCGTTATCATCTCAAATTTTATATTATTTATTTATTATTATCAATTGTAATTTATATCAATTTTACAAATAATTATTTATTTATCAATTTATTCAATATTAGATTTAGTCAATTTTCTTAGATTTTAATCCATCTCATTTTAAATGAAATATTTTTTACTTATTTATTTTCAAAAATTAAATAAAAATTAGAGAGTATTTTATTAAGAAAAATTATTAAATAAAAAGAAATAAAGTTAAAATTCATATTAGTGCATATCTTATAATGAAGATAAAAAACAAAAATAAAAGTGAATTAACTTTAATCTCAATTTTCTTATTTAAATACCAACAAAGATTAAAAATTGATGATATTTTATACTATAGAAATCTTTTTTAATAAATTATCTTTAGCTCGAATCATTTCTGGTATTTGCGCTATTATTATAATTTTATCAATATTCTAATAATTAAAATGATGATTACTTTTACAATGCCTTCAATTCTAGAACCAATTTATTCCTTAAAAGCTTTTTCTCTCTTCAAAATGTTTTTAAACTATTTGCAAAATAATTCATTATTCTCTATTAAAAGAGGAGCTAACATCAAAATATGTAAAACTCTTTTTATATTGTTATTTAAATTAATTTCTATTTTTAAATGAAATTAACTTTTTTTGAATATCTCTTTACTTCTTAAACAATCCAACATCATTTCTATATTTTATGCATTACATTCTAAAATATCTTCACTAAATTAATCCTTTATCTAAAACTTAGTAAGAGTTAATATCAAACTATTCACTTCAATCAATTAATTATTAAAATGAGAAAGAATCTTCACAATATCACTAACTAAATTTACTACTAATCCTCTATTTTTGTCAGATAACAATACAATCAATTTCTTAAATATATTAAGTTATTTACATTGCATACATCTGTCTTTTCTTTATCACATAGTCTTCGAAGTTTTTCAACATTTTCATTTAAATCTTAATTATAAATTAAATGATATTCTTAACTATTAAATGCATAACTCTTCAAAATTAAATCTATTTATTTATAAAGCGTTCCTTTAATAAATAATTCTAATTAATTAAATAACTATTCATATTAATTAGTTCTTGAATTTTCTTTTCTTTAAAAAATTTAATCAAATTTATAGAATTGACAACGATATGGATTAATCTTCTTAACCTTTTACTTAGAACTTGACCATAAATTGATTGAAGTGTTTTCATTATTTAATTATTCATTACTTTCAAAAGACAATTATTTTTAATTCTTAATTTTAAAATATGGTTAATAAGTTTAATCATATTCATTTAATTTATTGTAAAATATGCAGAAAGCTCTAATTTTTTTTTTTTGGCAATAATATTATTCTTGAATCAATTGCAGACTAAATTATTTATTTTTAGCTTGACCTTAAAGCACATAATTTTACAAATTGTTTGTTTAATTTAGCTTTTAATACTTTTCAAGTTCTCCACTTACTATTTTCAACTCTTCTTGCATTTAATATTATATTTTATATATGTCTGCATATTCTTATGATTGTTATTGAAAAATTTATTGATCCATCTAATTTATTTTTTTGAATTCTGCAATTAAATATTCTCCCTCCAATATTTACATACTTAAGTGATTTGCATTAAAATCACTCTATAATCGATTTAATATTTAATTTCGATCTGCTTATTGACTAATAAATTGATCAAATTGATTATTCAAAATTGAATTCATATCCTCCATTATTTTTTATTGTTACAACAAATCATTTTTTTGTATTTGCTCATCAAGTTATTTATTTAGATTTACTAATTAATTCACTCTTTTCTAAGCTATACTCAATTCATCTTACTCTTAAATAATCTCTATCTGGATTCCTTTTTATTCTTTTTCAGTGCTTTTTTTTAAAAATGTCTTCTAAAGTTCTTGATGATAACAATTATGGAGAATTGATTTATCAAGCATATCTAATTGTTAGATTAAAGCAGCTCTTTTTGATGGGTTTTTTCGAGCACTATCCATTTCAAAATTAAATTTGAATTAGAATATATTAATCTTTATTAAATTTAGAATTAATAAAATTAAACAATGTTGATCATAGGATTATTTATTGAAAGACTTTAAAATATTAGAAATCTAAATTTAAAATTGTTCATTTGCTGATGAAAATAAATAAGATAAAAATATTATAAATTAATTTTAACGACTAGTCATAATATTATTAATTAAATTATATGAACTAAGAGGTACTTCCTTTAAATAGTTACTATCGATAAAATTAAAATACCTTATAAAGCAGAAGAGAGACATCCTCTAAAATATCTTAAAATATGTCTCCTATTATGCCTATTTGTCTAAAACAGAGCACTAATATTGAAAATGAAATTCCAAAAGAATTTGATGGAGAAAAAAGCATATATAAAAGTTTCATAGATGATTATTACAGTGTAAGATCTAATTTTCCAAATTCTCCTTCAGTAAAATTTCAAAAGAAAAAAATATTTAACGATGTTTAAATTACTTCTGAAAAGACAAGTTAAATTAAGGCAAGATAAATCTTAGATGAAAAACCTTAAACTAATAATTAAGAAATTTATAACACTTATTAATAGATATCAGAAAGAGAAGCCATTTTGATTTAGTAGCATCCTTATTTTGAAAATCAAATTAAATTACTAGAAATTGATTAATAGTAATAATTTAAATTAGAATGTCTTAAAGATTCAAATAAAGAGAGTTAGGTTGTTTTTAAAAATCAATAAATTCTAATAACACTTAAAAGATAGAATTTAAATAAGAATATTTTATTTTGCTAATTAACCTTTTAAAATATTAGTACAACTTCAATTCCCATTTTAGATGTACTCTACTCAAATGATTAAAGTAATTTATTTCTTTTATTGATTTTAGCATTAAGATTATCAAAAGAAAGTGATTGTATTAAATCATTGACTCCAGGTTATGGTTAAATCAGTACTTTTTCTGTTGAAATTGTGAATGTTCCATTTACAACAGTCAATGTTTCAATAGAATACAACAATTAGTTTTTTAAAACTTGCTTACCAATTACAATCTTGAATTTCATTTAAGATTATAAAACAACGCCAAATCGTTGTATAAAAAATCATAAATGTTATAATAAAATAATCTTAAATAAAAAAGGTTGGAATATTGAGAATCGAACAATAATTGGAAACATAGTAAATTCAGAAGTTGAAATAAGAGTTGAAAATGATAACAACTAGCTTGTGTTATTTAGTCAAAGCGATATTGAACAATTAAATTGGTAGATTTTAAATACACTTTATGTATTATTTGATTTATGAATATTATTATCAATAATATATGATTTATAAATAAATAAAACTAAATAAAGTTAGTGAATATTTAAGAATTTTAAGTGAGCTAAAATGCTGAATAACTTTTTTATTTATAAATTAAACAGAACTAATGTTTCTTTTGATGTTTTATTTTATTATTTTCACATTATTAATTAACACCTTAGCTATAATTACTTTGACATTAGATCAGCAATATTAAGAGAGTAATGCATTTTTTAAATTGACACAATCTCAATATTAAGTAATTTAGAGTATTCGAAATGCAACTTTCTTTTTCTAGCCAACCTAAATAGATTAAGATAAATATATTTCAGTTGAGTAAGAAGTCTTGTTTTTATAAATAGATTAATCTTTGGGTATCCTTAAGATGGAAATGTCAATGTGGAGTTTTCAATTACAAAAAACAAGGATGATAATACTAGTTCTCTAAATAATGTATTTTATGATATGAATGGAAAATACTTGTAAAAGGCATATTAAATGATTTTAATAAATCCATATACTTTTAGTAAAAATGATCAATTCTATATTGATGTCAATATAAGAGATACTAACTTTACAGATTATTAATATTTAATAAAAATAACTAGAACTTAGAATAAGATATGCCCAAATTTTTGTGGAAATTAATAATCAGGATCATGTAATACAAAGATTGGAATTTGTGCTTGCTCTTCTGAATTTGCAGATTTAGATTGTTCTAAATAAGCAAAAAGTTTATTATTGTAACAGCCCCTTAAGAACTTAACTATACATAAGCAAGAATATTTCTATTTTGAAAGAGATTAATCAATTTCTAATATAACTTTAAGTTTGGATTTAATGAATCCTTTATAAAAAAATTCTGATACACAAGTGTTTATAATGTATGAAAACTTTGAAATAGGGTTACCAAATGAAAATTTTTTTGATTATTCCATTTCTTTGTTCAATTCAACTTCCCAATCTTAAGAAATAGATTTGAACACTTTAATTTATGACTTAAATATTGAAAGATTTTAAAGGTTATTGATTACTGTTAAAACAAAATCATCAGACCTCATATAACTTTCAATAAACATTTCTAACGTAGATGATAATTTTTCAATTGATTCAAGTTTATTAATTGTATATGTTCTGGTTTCAATAGCAATTATATTGATATTGGCTTGGATTATAATTATAATAATAAGATATAAAAGAAGTTCAAGAATTCATTAAATATCAAATTCTATCTTAAATCCTCAAAATGATAATAACAGAAGTAATTATTTTACTAAAAATAAGAAACTTTTTGATGAATATATGCCAAAATTGTTATATTTATAAATATTAGAAATCCCTTAATTTTTAGAATCAGAAGTTTAAGAGACTTGTTCTGTTTGCTTACTTGAATATTAGAAGGATGCTATTTGTAGATTTACTCCATGCAATCATATTTTTCATTCTGATTGCCTAGAATAATGGATAATGAAAAATGAGAACTGTCCTTTATGTAGATGTGCTTTAGATTTAAAGACATTACTTGAATTAAAGAGTTAGAATGCTAATATTGATAATAATTCATAATAATAGAAGAAAAAATAAAAAAAATATGTTGTAATTCAAAGTCAATTATTCTCGAATGCTCAAACTGAATTGAGAATGATTGCTCCTAATTCTATGGTTAATCAATGATAAATATATTATTTATTCTTGAATTAATTAATTTATCAAAAATAAATATTTTATAATTGATGGGTGATTTACTAAATTGGGAAATCAATGATCATAACGAAATTTATATTATCAAAACAGAATCTATGAAGAAATCCTATGAAGGGATAGTAAAAAAGCTATAAAAGGAAAGAGTTAAATATGTCAAATAATAAACATCTAATGAAGAACATTAGCAGGATAGACCAATTTCAGATCTCATTTAATAGTTTTCCTAACTTAAATAGGAATTTATGATGAAATATCAAACCAAAGCCTCTATGCAAAGAAGTTAATTGAAGCTTAAGAAAAGAATAGAATTAGTCTAAGAGTAGTTAAAAGAATAAAGTAAAATACAACAATAGTAATAATAATAATAATAGTAATAAAATTAATTAAAAAAAATGACTTGAATTTACATTTATTGAATGATTTTTAAGTAATCAATTCAATCAGTTTATATATTTCATATGTATGTGAGTTTATGATCTTTGTCTCGAAGGTAAAGGTTAATTTAATTTTCTAACAGACGAATAATTCTACTAATTATTTTATTGTTTTTATTAACTTGTAGTTCTTTAATTATTTATTACTCCTTAGTTATTTTCCTTATTATTGTTATAATGAATAGAATTTTCTCTATGACCAAACAAAGCTCTTACGCTAATAACATCTTTATGAGGCATGCCTTCATTCATTATTTAACTTTATTATAAATTTCGCGCCTTTTAATCTGACTCTTATAAAGTTGTTCCAGACCTTTGTAAAGTATTTTAGGAAGGTTATTAAGATTATTTCTAAGGATGTTTTTATATCAATTATATTTATTAATTGAGAGAGTCATAATTTTATTTAATTTTTTACAAGCTATCTAATTATTTAAGTATTTTGACTAATTCAGTTTTTGATATTAAATAAAAATCAAATTGATCCGAACTATTTATTTATCCTTAAAATTAACCAATTTTTTAATCGAAAATATTAGTGTGATCGGTAAAAAATGATTGTATATTTGGGATTGACATTTCTTCTGTTTTTAGATTAAGTGTATTTTATTCTTCCTGATTTGGACTAAAAGATAGGTAGATGTGATCAATTGGGTCCATTTAATATTTTCTGAAATCTATCTATTTTTCGTTATTATTCAGTTAAAACATTATTAATATTTAATTAACAAAATGAAAATAATAGTTGATTTTGGTGGTGGATTAGACGTTTGTTTCGAAAATAAAAAGGAGCTTACTTTGGAATTTGAAGAATAATAAATTAAAATGACTGATGTAATAATTAGACTTAAAACACTTTGCAATCCTAAGAAATTAGATTTTTTTTACACTCAATAGCTTCGACCAGGTATACTTGTCTTAATTAATGATGCTGATTGGGAATTAGAAGATAAGGAAGAAGCACAATTATAACATAATGATAGAGTTAGCTTTATTTCTACATTACATGGTGGATGATTTACAAATGTTTTATTTAAATTATATATGTAAATTATTACATTATTAAAATAAAGATTAATTCAAATTTTGATTTTGGTTTGCGATTTTTTGGATCCATATATGAATCGATCCATTTTTCCATTTTTTTCCATTTATTGATTTAATTATTTAGTTAATGATAGTTTTTCTTTCTGAAACAATTCATTTTCTTTTAAATATATATTTATCTCTGATTATAGATTTTTTATTTCTTTCTTGAAAGCTTCACAATCATCTTTACTCTATATATATTTTATTCTAAAATTAAATATAGTTGTTACTTTAATTCATCATATTATAGTTATTCATATTAAAGTTTCTTTTACCATACAATTTCAATATCTTTAAGTGTGTTTTATAATTGTTAGATTTATTATTGAAGAGATTAAATTTATTCAGCTTTTCCTTATAACTTTTACTTAAATTCTTCAATCTGTAAAGCACAATCATTTTTCATAATTGTTATATTTTTTTCTAATTCTTACTAAAGATCTTTTTTCAATTTAATCTACTGATTTTCAGAATCTAATAATATTTATTCTTCAGTGAACTTTCTTCTTTCAATTTCAGCTCTTAATTAAGAAATTGTTTGTTGCGATTCTTACTATTTTATTTAATGAACATTTCTTAAAAATAAATAATAAAAATACCTTAATTCATCTAATTTAGATTGAAGTGAATTATTAAATTATGTCTCACTATCAATTTAAGAGACATATTGAGATATTTTGTCATCATAGGACTTTTTTAATTTATTTATTTCATGAATTTATTCTTCTTGTTTTTTGAATATTTCATCTTATGCTTTAATTAATTAATCTCTCATCTTTGATAAATTTTCTTAATGTTTATTTTCTATATTTTCAATATGTTGTTTCAATAAATTAATTGTATTTTCTTACTCTTGCAATTTAATTTTGTATTTAAGTTCTATAGACTTAATTTAATTATTATTGAATTATTCATCATTATTTAAATAATAAGTATTTTCTTCATTTTTTTTAATTCTGGATCTTAATATAGAACTTAAATGAGGAGTATTATCATGTTATTTTTCAGGCGTAACTGATTTCGTTCTTTCTTCGTTTATAACCATTTGATCATAGGGTATAATTTATTTTTAATGATCTTATTCAACATGTAAAGCAGAATCACAATGATAACATAATTTAGTTGGTTCATTTTCATTACAATTAAAACATTTTATGGTTGCAGGTTTGATATTACAATTGAAACATCTAACGAATTTCCTTTAATTTTAATTCATATTTATTATAATATAATAAAAGAAAAATTCAAAACATTGAACATTCAATTCCATTCTGATTTTGCTCATCATCATCATTTTCTTCTAATTTTGCTTGATGTTTTTCAAAATCCTCAAATTAAAATTCACTTAATTGAATACTATTAGATTTAGGTGTAAAAGAAGGTCCTGGTAATATCTCTTATTAATATCATTAAATTTACCTCAGCTAATTTTTAAGTAACATTCTTATCAAGTTCTTTAGGGAAATCAATATAAAATTAGATATGCAAATCTCCAAAATGAAGTTCATCTTTAAATGTTGGTAATCCTTTATCTTTTATGGTTAATATTTAATTAGGCTTTATTATTTTATCAGTAGTAATGTTAATTATCTTTTCATCCAAAGTTTCTAATTCAAAATTCAAACCAACTAAAGCTTCCTTCAGAGATAGAGTATGTTAATAAAATAAATCAATTCCTTTTCTAATAAATTTAGGATCTTATTCAATTTCAAGATAAACATGAATATCTCCTGTTTCAGATCCAACCTAATTTAATCATAAAATAGAATACTTTAGAATTTCCTTTGCCATATAACTTTACACAATATTAATCAGGAACTCCTTTTTCAATAGGTATTTCAATTTCAACAACTCCTTCAACATTACCTAATCCATTGCATATCTTGCATTCATCATCTTTTGTAATAGCTTTTCCTTTTCTAATAGGAAACCTAATTATATTTTTACCCTCTACAATCAGGACAGGGTGCTTGTTGTAACATATTTATACCAGGTTAAACTTCTACTGCCATCTATACTATTTTTTAACCTTTACATGAAAGACAAGTTACTAATTACTTTCCCCCTTATCCTTAACATTCTTCACAGGATCTTTTAATATTATTTATGGTTTTTTTATGATATGCTCCTAAGGCTACATCTTTTAATGCTATTTTATGATTTAATTTATATGGTTCACATTTTTTGAATTTATTACTTTTTACATTTAACTATTTAAGCAATCCTTATTTTCCATATTTATCATAAACTTTCTTTTTTTCTGCATCTGATAATACTTCATTTGCCTTTTAAATCAATTAGAATTTTTATGCATCACCTCCTATTTTATCTGGATGATACTTCTTGGCTAAATTTTTATAAGCTTATTTAACAGCACTAATTTCTGATTAATGAGGAATTTCTAATATTTCATATAGTTCTTTATTATCTACATCTTCAGATGCAAATTAATCTTCAAATTCATCTTCAAAATCTGCATCTTGAAAAGCAAAATGACCAAATGCTCCAGGAAAAGGAATTCCAAACATTAATTTCAAAATAAAATTTTTATAAATAGTTAGTATAATTGATCTATTCAAAATTTATTATTGGTTGCCATATAATTTCTTTGTTTTTTTAAAGGAGTACTAGGCTTGCAAGGTGATCTTTCATTTGCAACAGCAGATCTGAATGATAACTCATTATATTAACGAATTATTGTGTTAAACTAATTTCCTCTTATTTAAGAATCGTTCACAAAGTTCATCAATNTTATCTTTTCATCCAAAGTTTCTAATTCAAAATTCAAACCAACTAAAGCTTCCTTCAGAGATAGAGTATGTTAATAAAATAAATCAATTCCTTTTCTAATAAATTTAGGATCTTATTCAATTTCAAGATAAACATGAATATCTCCTGTTTCAGATCCAACCTAATTTAATCATAAAATAGAATACTTTAGAATTTCCTTTGCCATATAACTTTACACAATATTAATCAGGAACTCCTTTTTCAATAGGTATTTCAATTTCAACAACTCCTTCAACATTACCTAATCCATTGCATATCTTGCATTCATCATCTTTTGTAATAGCTTTTCCTTTTCTAATAGGAAACCTAATTATATTTTTACCCTCTACAATCAGGACAGGGTGCTTGTTGTAACATATTTATACCAGGTTAAACTTCTACTGCCATCTATACTATTTTTTAACCTTTACATGAAAGACAAGTTACTAATTACTTTCCCCCTTATCCTTAACATTCTTCACAGGATCTTTTAATATTATTTATGGTTTTTTTATGATATGCTCCTAAGGCTACATCTTTTAATGCTATTTTATGATTTAATTTATATGGTTCACATTTTTTGAATTTATTACTTTTTACATTTAACTATTTAAGCAATCCTTATTTTCCATATTTATCATAAACTTTCTTTTTTTCTGCATCTGATAATACTTCATTTGCCTTTTAAATCAATTAGAATTTTTATGCATCACCTCCTATTTTATCTGGATGATACTTCTTGGCTAAATTTTTATAAGCTTATTTAACAGCACTAATTTCTGATTAATGAGGAATTTCTAATATTTCATATAGTTCTTTATTATCTACATCTTCAGATGCAAATTAATCTTCAAATTCATCTTCAAAATCTGCATCTTGAAAAGCAAAATGACCAAATGCTCCAGGAAAAGGAATTCCAAACATTAATTTCAAAATAAAATTTTTATAAATAGTTAGTATAATTGATCTATTCAAAATTTATTATTGGTTGCCATATAATTTCTTTGTTTTTTTAAAGGAGTACTAGGCTTGCAAGGTGATCTTTCATTTGCAACAGCAGATCTGAATGATAACTCATTATATTAACGAATTATTGTGTTAAACTAATTTCCTCTTATTTAAGAATCGTTCACAAAGTTCATCAATTCTATAAAGAGTTATTGCAATTTGGCAGATTAGTTCACTAATTAATCATACCTTGCTTATCTTTTGATATCAATTTATTATAAATAATTTAGTTGTTCTCTCATCTATGCTAATTAATTATCAATTGATTGTGGCTGACTCTCCTTCTAAATCTTATTTAACAATTCATTGTTCTCTTTTATTAGATCTTCAATATTCATTTGTTTCGTTATATTAATTATTATTATAATTTAGTTGTAATTTAAAAACTAAAATCAGTAGTATTGAGGAACTCTTTCTTTGAAACCCAATTATGATTTTGTAACTTCTCTTATTTGATTTTACTAATCTGATAGTTTAGATCTTAGAAATTCATTATCAGATTTATGATTCTTATGATCTTCCAATTCATGTCTCATATCTGTCAACTATAATTTAGATCAAATATATACTTATTTATTTAAACGCCTAATTTCACTTTCATATATTTGAATCTTATCCTTATAATCCTCAATCTCCTCTAAATTATTAATCTAACCACTACTCATCATTTACTACTTATAATACATAATTTCTTCTTTCGCTTATTCTAATTCTTAGTATAATTATTGATTGTTATTATTTTATTAACCATATTGTAGCTAATTAAATTAAAATTAAATACTTTCAATCTTAATGTATTAACTTCCGATTCCTTCTCTTATAATTAAGCTCTCAACATTTAATTTTCATTTACTATTTGAGAATCTTGCTATGAATATCTAAGTCTATCCATCAATTATTCTTTCTCTTATTACAATAAATAAATTTTCTATTTCAATTAGTTTATCTCTTGAGAATATACATCTCCATTATTTTTTCTACTTCTCCATTCTTATACTTCTTATTCTCTAAGAACTAACAGACTTTTTGTTTAATCTAATTCTATCATTTTTTCTTTTGCAAATTAATTCATCTAATCCAATTTGTCAGTTAAAACTAATGCTATCTGTTCATTATCTGTTTTCAATTCCTATAATTCTCCAAAATGCTATTCTTTTAATTTATCAATTTATGAATTCAAAAAATCAATTTCCTAATTCTTGTGATTAATTGTTTACTAAAACGCTTCTCTTTCTTACTAAAACTATAGCAATTTGTTATTCAATTCTGTTTAAGCAATTATTTGTTGATTTTATAATTAAATTTCTTTCTATGATGCTTTTTGTAATTCCATTGCTAATCTATCATAACGTTTCATTAAATCTTCCAAGAAAGCTTTCAATTCAGGTAATGATAATCCATTAAATTAATTTTGATCTTATTAGATTACTTGTTATTGTTCATTAGGAATAATACGAATTATTTCCGTAGTTGGTACTATCTATTTTGGTTAAACATATTAATTAGGAATTATTGCTTATGAATGCAATTATGGAGAAGGCTTATAATACTTAATATGACTTACAACTGTTAAATAAGATGGTTTTGGTGTTACAGATCTTGGTGGAACGTTAGAATAAGTTATCATGATTATCGAACTTTCTATTAAAAATAAATATCAATTATTTCCATAATTATTTTATAAATTTACATTATATATAAGATATTCTAAATATAATCTGGGATAACATATAGATCCATTCTAAGGAAAGGTTTACTCTAGAAAAGCCTTTTAGATTTTGTCAATCAGAAGTTAAGGAGAGTTAATATTGGTTAATTGAATTCTGTTAGATTTTTTACTAACAGCTATTAAAATTTAACAGATTAATAAAAGAATTCAAATAAAATTGAATGGAAGACAGAGTTTTAAGAACTAATTAAATAATTAATAGAAAGCAAGATTACCAGTCTTCAAAATTAGGATCTCCGAAAGACAATTATATTTTAAGAAAGGAAAATTGGAATTAAGTAGATGAGAAAAATAAAAACTAATTCAAAAATTATGAATTGTAAGCATAAAATGTTGATCAAAAAAATCATTATCAATCATATAAATTTATTGGAAATCGTTAATAGGATAAAGAATAAAATTATAATACAAATCAAAAATAATCATATTATTATGAGTAATCCAAACCTTACACACCAAGTTATTATTAGAGAGAATATAAATATGATTAATAATCACATATGAAAACTTAAGACAAACAAAATTTTTAAGAAAGGATAATACACTCATCTGATAAATATTTATAAAAACAAAATGGATTACCTTTTGGTAATAGAACACCAATGGATTCAAGATCAAATATTATTGCAAAAACACCATTAGTTAAAGAAAATCAAAATAAATTCAATAGAGAATATTAGTAATCAGATGTAAAGAATGATTTTAAATGGCCAGAACAATAAAGAATTTCTCCTGAATTTTATAGTAATAAAATTAATTAGAATGAAAAAACTAATCTAAATGATATAGGATAGACATTAGAATAAAAAAGCTTTTTAGATATTGAGAAAAGATTATAATAAAGGAGAGAGTAAACTGAAAAAATATCAGGAAAATATGATGGAAAATTGAACTATCATTCAAAATCATAAGAATATTCGTAAAGAAAATAAAAGATAGAATTAGATAGTAGTTTAGAAAGAATGAAATAGTTTTAATAAGATCTTAGAAGTGAAATACAAGATAAAATAAGAGAACAGACTAATAAATGTAAATTAGATTCTGGAACACTTGAATAGAATTTTAACAAAAAACAATTAATTAGAGATGCTGAAAATAAATAACATAAAAACGAAATACTTGAATTAGATTAATTCAAATATACTTAGTTAGATGGAAAATTTAATGTAAATTAGATAGAAAATAAAGATAATAATTATTTTAGATAACATATTGAAGTATTAAGAAAATCTAAATTTGAAGAGAAATGTCCTTACTAAAGAAGAATTAATATTGATTCTAAATAAGAACAAAAAGACTTAGCAAAATATCATTTTAATAAAAAATAAGATTTTTATTTAAATTAAAGATTAGATGAAAAAAAAAAATATATTGATACATCACTTTAGCAAAACAAATCTTAAAATGAAGGTAATATTAGAGTTGATTTCAAATCTGAAGGAAGCTTACTTAAAGATTCAAAAGACAGATTATAATTTAAAGATAAACTAATATATGAAATAAAATAACCTTATATGGTAAAGAGAGATAATGATTAATCTCAAGAGATTTAAAGAAGGTAGAAGTTATCTGATAAATTATTGTAATTTGATTAATGGAATAAAAAATACTATTAAGATAGTTAAAATGATTAAACAAACCAATCATACAATACTAATTTAAAATAAGAAAAAAATAATTAAGATTTAAATTCTATAGGATATAATTTTGATACATTTGAAATAAAAAGACAAGATTAAAAATTTTAATAATTTGATAAAATGGAATTTAAGAGGCCTTAATGTTAAGCTGAGTTAAATTAAATTAAATCAGAATTAGAAAAAAAATATGGATTTTTGAAACCAGAAATGAACCATAAAATATCAGAATATGACAATAGAAGAGCTTTAGAGAATAGATTTAGACAAGATCCAATTTAAACTAAAATAGCTGAGGCTAGAGAATATTTAGGTTAGAAATATTATTAAAGAGATTTATATAAATAAGAATAGAGAAATAGTTATCATGAAGAATCATCAATTAATGATCGTTTAGGATTAGAAAAAGGAAATTTTAGATCTAATTTGAATAATAGAGCTATTGAAGATATATTACAAGGAAAAGCCTTAAGTAAATATATTGAAAGAGAGAAAAATTAAAATAGAATGGTAGATAGATTTGGAAATTTTATTAATAGTAATGTTAATTATTAAAAATCTCCAGTTGGAAATAGAGAATAAAAATTAGGATATGATAGATTAAACCAATAGCAAAAAGGAACTATAAATGATAGATATATAATAAATGAATATAAAAAAAGATAAACTTCTGATTAAAATTTATCAAAATGTAATTATTTAACTTATTTATAGATTGCAGTCCTACTAGTTTAATAAGTAAATAATTTGGAAATTATGATATAAAATAGAGAAGAATTTGATAATATAAAATTTTTTTATTTATATTCACTTTTTATGAATATAAAAAAATAAGTAATTATTTTTAATCAAGGGTTTTTCTCTATTCACATAAATATTTTGGGAAAATTTAGATAGAAATTAAAAGTAAGATGAGGCTGTTAAACAAAATTTAATTAATTAGATTAGAGTATTAAGAAATCAAGAATTACTTCATTAAATAAATATCAAAGCTAAATAATATATAGTATTAGAACTTAGATAGTTCAAAATTTTTAAGAATTAGATGTTAATTGTTGTTATTTAGATTTGAGTTGTTAAAGAAGTTATATTTTCGTTTATAAAAATTATTACTATATTTAGTGAATAAATGATTTAACTTATGAATAATAAATCACACAAAGAGGAAATTTCTTAGAGTTCTATAATCAATTAAGTGTTAAAAGCTTCTTTAAACACCAAAGTCTACAAGTACAATCTTCATTTTCATCATAGAGATTTAGCAACAAATGAATTTTAATTTATTTAATCTATTCTGATGTATATGTTGAATTGAGAATGTTCATTGTAGAGTCAAATGAATCAAAAGTACAATTTAGAATAGAAACTTCTCCTCCATTGAATTTTAATTAGAAAGTTAATTCTAAAAATTTAATTATTCAATACTTGCTTCTTCTTTTGTTTAAGATATTTAGGAAAGATCAGCATGATTGATTTCGTAAATATTTTCAGTTTCAATTTCTGTTATTGTTTAATCAGTTGATTATGGTTTCATGAATTCGTTAAAGTCATTTTCAATTGATTCAACTTCTGATTTATCTTATTATTCTAATTCTATTCCTTCAATTTATTAAATTTGTTCAGTTTTTTATTGTTTTTGCTAAACTTTCTCTTTTTTTTTATTTTGAACCAACTTCTTTTGATTTGGTTTTCTAATTTGCTTTTATTCTTTCATAATATCTTATTTTATTTTGGGCATAGTTGGTGGAATTTTATCATAATAAAATGAAAACAATTAAAATAGTTAAGCAATTAATACAATGAGTTAGAAATAGATTGTTATCATATTCATTGTTTTAGGCATAAATAAACTATATATAAAATACAATAGATTACTTCAAATTTTAGATGATAACTGATGTTCCTACTAAAATACTGTTACTCATTTATATTTTATTATTCTTATCTACTAATGCAAGCGTAGCGAAACCTGCTAGTAAATTGATATACTAAAATAAGAATTATAATTACCTAATTTGATTAAAAAATAGGAGTAAGCTTTGGATGTGACATCATTTGATTAGTGTCCCAGAATTCTACTGGCTGATTCTCATAAATTTATAGTAAAGCATTTAATGACAAGAATGAAACAATTGATCTGATAGCTGAAAGGTTCATTTTAATTAAAAAAAAAAAGTATTTGAAAACACAATTATTAATATCCTGCCTTAAAACATAAAAAAATAATACATATTAAATTTATTTTATATGTTCTCATTCATCACTTTTATAATAAAAAATATCATATTCTAAGTCATCCAAACTTTTTAAATTTTACTATTTACAATAAAACTCTTTAATAGACTTATGTAAAATAAATTTTAAAATAAATTATTTTCTTCATTATTTTTATAAAAATCACTTAAAAAATTTATTCATGCATCTAATTGCAATATATATCAATAGAAAAATTATAATTTATACAAAATATATAAGTACCCTCTTAACAATCTTTGTATTTTATAATAAAAAAAGATTTAGAAGCAAAATACAAATAAAACGGATTAAAGTTTTTATTATAAATATTTTTTATTTTGTAAAAACATTTATCTTAATTAATTTTTGAATATCACTAAATTGAACTTCTGCAATAACTAGTTGAATTACTTGATAATTATACATTATAGTTGTTTGAAATACAATTTTAAAATCTTTGATTAACTTTTGTTGAAAAATGTTTAATGTATTGCTCTATAGTTTTATTTTCAAGTTTCTAATATATCCATGTTTGAATTATATTTAGGAAAAAATGAGACAATTTATTGATTATTATTATGATAACAGTTTTAATATAATTCTGCTTTAATATTTTTTTCAAGTCTACAAGTTACTTGAAATTTAAGCAGGATTTATTTTTTTATTAATTTTGTAAATGAAAGTACCCAGAGTAGTATATGATTTATCGAAATCATTAAAAAGAATCAATATTTAAGGTTGTAATAAATATTAATAATCTCTTATCTTCCTTATTCTAAGAGTAGAACATGAATATCTAGTAATCGTTAGTGTATTATGGAAAAGGTAATTCATTAAAAATTATGAATTTTTAAACTTGAAATATTCAAAGTAAGATATTTTAATAAATTATCCTAAATATCTCATATCTATTTCTTGATGTATATTTCCGTTTGGAGATCCATCCAATAATACAATAAGGGAACTTTATATGTTTCTACAATCTGCCATGAAAAACCTGTGTTAACCACTCTTATTTTTAATGATACAGATTATGTATATATTATTCCTTAATTGACCCCATGTAATAAAATTCACATAAGGTATTCTTGACTAGAAATTCATAAGCTCCTTATTTTATCAATCTTTAGGCTAAGAAGTAAGGCTTTCTGTAATCCTAAGAATTACTTAATATCGAGTTGATAGTAGATTAGCAACCATTACAGGATTTTAGGTAAGGGAACCAGTGAGATCATAAGCAGTTATTGATATATTCTTTTTAATAAGATATTTAATACTTAGAATCAAAAATCAATAAGAACTTGCTAAACTAAAATTGTTGATGACAACTTCATTTTTTTAAAAGTTCTTCAAAATATTTTCTTAATTATTTAACGAATATTATGTAAAAAGTTAACTATATGTTGTTATATACATATTTATAAACTGAAGTCAACTAATGTATTTAT